CTAATCTGGTACAGCTCTTTACTTGTTATATGTCAATGAATAGGGTACCTCTCTATACGCCTCAGTTTCCTCATTTATAAAATGAGAGAGTTGGCTTAAATGACGTTCATTATTGCATTCTTAAGCTAGAATGCAATAATAATTCAATCTGTCTAACTCCAAAGTTGTAGAGTGAGCTATACTGCTTTGGCCTTCAAAACTTCCATAGTTTTCCTAGTCACCGCAGAATTAAAAGTAAAATGCCTTTATTGCAATGAGGTGTAACTGGATGCTAACAAATTTTATCAGTACTTTTTTTTTTTGGAGACAGAGTTTTGCTCTTGTTACCCAGCCGGGAGTGCAATGGCGTGATCTCAGCTCACCGCAACCTCCGCCTCCTGGGTTCAGGTAATTCTCGTGCCTCAGCCTCCTGAGTAGCTGGGATTACAGGCACGCGCCACTATGCCCAGCTAATTTTTTGTATTTTTAGTAGAGATGGGGCTTCACCATGTTGACCAGGATGGTCTCAATCTCTTGACCTCGTGATCCACCCGCCTCGGCCTCCCAAAGTGCTGGGATTACAGGCTTGAGCCACCGCGCCTGGCCCAATACTTTTTTTATTTTGAGACAGAGTCTCGCTCTGTTGTTGCCCAGGCTGGAATGCAGGCATGATTTTGGCTCACTGCAACCTCCGCCTCCTGGGTTCAAGCAATTCTCCTGCCTCAGCCTCCCCAGTAGCTGGGATTACAGGCGCATGCCATCACGCTTGGCTAATTTTTGTACTTTTAGTAGAGATGGGGTTTCACCATGTTGGCCAGGCCAGTTTCAAACTCCGGACATCGTCATCTGCCCACCTCGGCCTCCCAAAGTGCTGATTACAGGCGTGCCCTGCTATATCAATAAAAATCTTCCAAGTGACTACCATATGCATACATCAAAAATATCCAACACTCAGAGGATGGCCTCCCACCCTGGCTCCAAGTATCTGCTAACTGCAAAGGGCCCTAAACTCTGAAACTCAATCCTCTACCTCTTTGGCTGAGCAACCCAGCATTTGAAACATCTCAGTTGATACTTCCACATTAAAGACTGATCAACCATACAGCTCGAAACTTACTCTTTTTTTGTTTTCAGGGTTTTGTGTGTGTTTGTTTTGAGATGGAGTCTTACTCTGTTGCCCAGGCTGGAGTGCAGTCGCATAATCTTGGCCTCCTGAGTTCAAGTAATTCTCCTGCTTTAGCCTCCTGAGTAGCTAGGATTACTGACATGCATTACCACACCTGGCTAATTTTGTAGTTTTAGTAGAGATGGGGTTTTCACCTGGCCAGACTGGTCTTGAATTCCTGACCTCAAGTAATCTGCCTGCCTGGGCCTCCCAAAATGTTAGGATTACAGGAGTTAGCCACCATGCCTGGCCTGTTTTTTGTTTTCTTGAGACAGAGTCTCACTGTCACCCAAGCTGGAATGTGGTGGTGCAATCATAGCTCACTGCAGTTCTCGACTTTGCAGGCTCAAGCAATCCTCCCACCTCAGCTTCCTAAGTAGCTGGGACTAAAGGAAGGTACCACCACACCCAGCTAATTCTTAAATTTTGTGTAGATAAAGGGTCTACCATGTTGTCTATCCTGGTCTTGAACTCCTAGGCTCAAGCGATCTGCTCACCCCAGCCTCCCAAAGTGCTGGCATTACAGGCATGAACCACCATGCCCAGCCAAGACTCCACTCTAAAAAAAACATTAGGAAGGAATAAGCCTAACCTTTGCCCTTGATGTATTCACAGTCCAGGAAGTAGGGAGAGACAGACTATTAAACATAATATAATATAAGGATAACCTTTGACATATACACAAAATGCTGTGTAAGCCCCAGATTAGTTAGCTCATGAACCTGGTAGAAATACGACACAACCAGGCCGGCTGTCTCTATCTAGTGGGGTACACATATCGGGGTCTGCTGAATGATTAAGATGACAAGTGAAGTTCAGGCCGGGTTTAGTGGCTCATGCCTGTAATCCCAACACTTTGGGAACCTGAGACGGGTGGATCACTAGGTCAGGAGTTCAAGACCAGCCAGGCCAATACGGTGAAACCTCATCTTTACTAAAAATACAAAAATTAGTGGTGCTTGCCTGTAGTCCCAGCTACTTGGGAGGGTGGGGCAGAAGAATCGCTTGAACCCGGAGGTGGAGGCTGCAGGGAGCTGAGATCATGCCACTGCACTCCAACCTGGGTGACACAGCAAGACTTCGTCTCAAAACAACAACAATAACAAGTGAAGTCCAAAGGTTCACAGGCTACCACATTTGTAGTTCCCCATTCTCCTCTCATTCACATTTTTCCCCAACTCCTTAGCTTTGCCAAGAATTCAAAGCTAATAAGTTTAAGTGGAAACCTCACCTTTCAGGTCACCAAAGTCATAAATCAGCTGGAGATCATGCAGGCACTGGATATGCTTAGCCTGACAAGGGTAGCACACTTTGGGCAGTGAAGTGAAAGTAGATATTGGCTGTAATAGCCATTGCAGCTGCTGCCTGCCCTTCACCCCCACCCCTGCCTCCTACCATCATCAGAAAGCACATCCTCCAGGCCAGTTGAATTGATAAGGGTTTTTTTTTTTTGAGACAGTTTCACTCTGTCACCCAGGTTAGAGTGCAGTGGCGTAATCTCAGCTCACTGCAACCTCCACCTTCCAGGTTCAAGGGATTCTCGGGCCTCAGCCTCCCAAGTAGCTGGGAATACAAGCACACACCACAATGGCTGGCTAATTTTTGCATTTTTAGTAGAGATGGGGTTTCACCACGTTGACCAGGCTCGTTTCGAACTTCTGACCTCGAGTGATCTGGCCGCCTCAGCCTCTCAAAGTGCTGGGATTCCAGGCGTGAGACACAGTGCCTAGCCAAAAAGCTTTTTAAATAAAAGTTTTCAAATTTGGGAGCACCTAAGTTTGCATCTTTGGTTCTTCAATTCCTATCCCATCAAATTCATATTTTTCAGCCTGGCTTCCTCCCTACCTGGCCTTCCTCTCTCACTCTTTCCTATATGCACTGTAGCTTTCCATACACCCTAAACTTCTTACACATCTTTAAAGATCCAATCCAGGTGTCACTTGCACCAGAATCTTTCAGAACAGAACTATCCTCTATGAACTTCTGAGGCCTTTACAGCCTGGATGGTTCACATGCTAATCAATCAGCAACATAGTGAAATATCTAAACATCTATAAAACCTCCCTGAGTTTTTCATTGCCACAGTGCCTTAGTTCAGACTTTATCCCTTGCTCCTTCTTGAACAATTGCAGTGGCCTCCAAAATGATCTTCCCGACTCTAACCTTGCCAGCACAGATTCATGACACAGGAGTAGCCACAGCGATCTTTATTAGACACATACCTGACTGCATCATCCTCCTACTTTGACAAACTTTGACGACTTTCTATTGCCTTGGGGTTAAAGTTCAAACTCCTTAGTAGGACACACAAATTACCTTAATATGGTCCAACCAGCTACCTTATTTCACCACTCTCCACCAAATGACTTACACTCCAGCCACACTGAACCACCTGTCATTCTAACATGCCCATCACTTTCATCCTCAGTAATCTGGCTACTGCCAGCTTCTCTCTCTAGAATCTCTCCTCACCTTCACTCCTTCACTGCCCAGTTCACTATTTTTTTTAAGACAGGTCTTACTTTGTCACTCACGTTGTAATGCAGTGGCTTGATCATAACTCACTGCAGCCTCAACCTCCTGGGCTCAAGGGATCCTCCTGCCTCAGCCTCTTAAGCAGCTAGGATTATACGCACATGCCAACATGCCCGGGTAATTTTTGTAGAAATGGGGTCTCAAAATGTTGCCCAGGATGGTCTTAAACTCTGGGCTCAAGTGATCCTCCCACACTGGCCCCCCAAAGTGCTTGGATTACAGGTGTGGGCCACCATGCCTGGCCATATCAACCATTTTAAGTGAGAAATTTAATGACTGTTAGTATATTTAAAATAAGATGCAACTGGCAGGGCACATGCCTGTAATCCTAGTACTCTGGGAGGCCAAGATGGGCAGATCACCTGAGGTCAGGAGATCAAGACCACCCTGGGCAACATGGTGAAACCCTGTCTCTACTAAAAATACAAAAATTAGCTAGGTGCAGTAGTGCACACCTGTAACCCCAGCTACTAGGGAGGCTGAGGCAGGAGAATCGCTTGAACCCAAGAAGTGGAGTTTGCAGTGAGCCAAGATTGCACAACTGCACTCCAGCCTGGGTGACAAAAGGAGACTGTCAAAAAAAAAAAAAAAAAAAGAGTCAGGTGTGATGGTAAGCACCTGCTATCCCAGTTACTCAGGAGGCTGAGGCAGAAGAACCACTTGAACCCGGGAGGCAGAGGCTGCAGTGAGCTAAGACCACACCTTTGCACTCCAGGCTGGGTGAGAGGCAGACTCTGTCTTCAAAATAATAATAACAATAATAAATAAGATAAAATAAGATGCAACCATCTTATTTTAAATCATTTCCATCCCTCTTTAAAAAAAACCCTCATGCTCATTTACTAAGTCCTCATTCCCACCCTCAAACCCTGTAAACATTAATCTCTTTTATACTGCTACATATTTGCCTTTTCTGGATCTTTCATGCAAATGAATTCATTCAGCAGCTGAATGTGATAGAATATGCCTGTAATCCCAGCTACTCTGTGGAGGGTGAGAGGGGAAAATCACATGAGTCAGGAGTTACAGACCAGCCTGAACAACACAGCAAGATCCTATCTCAAAAATAAATAAATAAATAAATTCATTGAGTATGTGATCTTTTGTGACTGTCTTTTTTTCACTTATCAAAATGTTTTCAAGGATCACCCATCACCATGTTACAGCACTTATCAGTTCACTCCTTTTCTTAGTAAATAATATTCCATTGCACAGCCAGACACATTTTATTTATCCATTCATCTGTTGATGGACATTTTGGTTGTTTCTACTTAGGGGCTATTATGAATAATGTTCGTATCAATACTTGTGTACTTGTGTATAAGTTTCTGTGTGGATTTTTCCTTTTTTTTTTTTTTTTTTTCTGTGTTTAGAAGAGAATTTTAAAACAGAGTCAAAAGAACGGAAATCAGTTATCTGTCCTCTTCCCAGGCAGGGAGAAAACCTCCTTCCCCACAGGTTTGAGACTATGGCTAGGTGGTGAGGAAGGCAGGCTCAGCCACCCAGCCTTGGGGAAACACAGAAAGAGCCCACCCCAGGCACTCAGCTGGATGCGAGCATAGCCTCTGGGCCACAAGCCCTGATGGCCACTGAGGTGCTGGTCTGGAATCAAGTCCTCATCTTCCCAGAAATGTCATCTTTTGTCTGCAGCAGCTGGCTGGAGGATTTCAGAAAGGTGTGTGCCTGGAGCACCCAAAGGCATACCTTCCTTTATCCTTGGCATAGGCCTTACAACACTGAGGAAAGGCCATGATTTGACAATGGAGCCTTCAATAGTCTTCATCCTTATAGAGCTCAGTGGCTCCTAGGGTGACAGGAGAGGAGGCAAGCTCACTTGGGAAGTCTTGGTCTTTCAGCTTCTCCCCCAGTGAAACACTATATGCTGGGGCCACAGTTCATGGCAACACACACACACATTCTCATTCTTTCTTTCTCTCTCTCTCTCTCACACACACACACACACACACACACACACACACACACACGTTGACAGCTTGGCGGCAGGTAGCTCTGGGTATTGTTGTCTGGCATTTGCCCACTCGGCATCTAGGTTGTCCTGAAGCTCTTTCCAATCACTTCTCTCTGTTTCTGGGCCGTGTGGTGAGGTGCTCCAGCTTCCACTCTGTCACACTAATCATAAAGGCACAGTGTGGGAAAGTCCCCTACTGGGATGGCCTGGAAGCAGGGAAGGCAAAGGGGCCCGTAGCTGCCCAAGGCTGGTGTAGACGTCCTCTGCTCCGCTCAGCTCCTCAAAGATTGGGATTAGGTTCAGCAACTCGGTGTCTGCCATGTCATCAAACCAGGACTACACAGGCACTGCATTCTCAGGGTGGAAGATTTAAGAAGCAGGCAAGTTGCCCAGGATGACAGTCTTTCTTAGGTTCCTCCCCAGGCGGCTGAGGTCCTTGACGTAGCAGCCCTGATGAAACACGCAGGACTCACGGAATAGGCGGGCCTGGAACACCCCACATCGGTCCAGCAGGTCTGTCACAGGGTCGGCATACTTGGCCAGACTGGCAGTGAAGAGAACACATTCAAAGAGTTCCCCCATGCGTCTCAGGAACTCATCCATATAAGGCCTCTTGAGCACATACAGCTGGTGAGTGGTCCCCTCAATCTCTATAGGCATTATGAAGTCAGCATTGTTGATTGACTTAAAGGAGGCTGTGCACGAGGGTTTCGTCCAGGTCAGTGACCACACAGATCCTTCCTTGATCTTCCTCTGTCACCTCTGGGAGCAGGCAGGTCCCCGGGATCTGGCAGAAGTGGTAGTGGAGACACTGGAGCAGATCCGACTTAGCAATGGTGTTCGCTTCCTCAATATATGCAGCAAGCTCAGTGGAGCAACTTGACTGGCCAACATGCTGGGAGCAAAAATAGCAGAAAAGGGACTTGAAGATGTCACGTCCACGAGACTTCTTAGGAGAGGACTTAGCACCAGGGCGTCTTCCCTCTGCACCTGGGTGATGATGGAGCCGTGTTCCATCTAACAATCCTGCAGGCCCGGGCAGGCTGGGCAGGAGGACGGGTGGGCGCGCAGGCTGGGCTGGGCTGAGGTGGGGGGCCTGGGCGGGGGCCCGATACTCCAACTTCCACAGCTGTTCACATCCCCCCTCTCATTTCCTTCCCGGGCCAGGAAGGGAGGCGGCCTGTACAGAGGGCGGGCGGCCTGGGCAGTGGCTCCCCCAAGTGCCCCTGGCCCCGATTCCCCGGCGGCAGCTCCGGGCTCCTCAGTTTGGGTCCAACATGGAGAATCCAGAGTGAAAACCTCTTTTTTTTTTTTTTAAAGACAGAGTCTTACTCTGTCACTCTATTACCCACGCTGGAGTGCAGTGGCAAAAACATAGCTCACTCCAGCCTCGACCTCCTGGGCTCAAGCAATACTCCCATCTCAGCCTCCCAAGTAGCAGGGACTACAGAAACGAGCTACCACGTCTGGCTATTTTTTTATTTTCTGGGAAAATGGGGTCTCCCTATGTTGCCCAAGCTGGTCTTGAACTCCTGGGTTCAAGCAATCCACCCTCCTCGGCCTCCCAAAGTAGGATTACAGGCACAAGCCACTGGGCCCGAAATTTTGCCCCATTTTTTACTAGGTTATTTATTTCTTATTGATCAGCTGTAAAAGCTCTTTATATGTTCTGTAAACAAATCCCTTATTAACATATGATTTGCAAATAATTTCTCCCATTTAGCCATCCTAGTGGATCTGAAATTGCTCACGGATCATTTGAGTCTTATACATTCATCTTTGTATTTCAGAGAACTAGCTCGTAATCTGGTATACTGTAGGTGTTCAATAAATGACGGACAGACGTCAAGTAATATTAACTGCTTTGGAAACAAGGCTAAATGGCTTACTTGTTCAGCATCCCCCTCACACTTCACACCTAGTACTAGACACAAAGCAAATGCTTGGGAAATACTCAGACACTGAGTAATTCTTAATTGTCTCTTGAACAAACAGTGGGGATGATGCTGCAGAAGAATCCAGAGGAACTGGGAAAGCTATCTGAAACAAACTTAGCCAATAGTGGATAAGTGTAAAAGTGACTCCTTTTGACACAGTGGCCATGTGGAAAAATTAAAAATCTTTTTTTTTTTTTTTGAGACGTTGTTTCGCTCTTGTTACCTAGGCTGGAGTGCAATGGCGCGATCTCGGCTCACCGCAACCTCCGCCTCCTGGGTTCAGCCAATTCTCCTGCCTCACCCTCCTGAGTAGCTGGGATTGCAGGCACGCGCCACCATGCCCAGCTAATTTTTTGTATTTTTAGTAGAGATGGGGTTTCACCATGTTGACCAGGATGGTCTCGATCTCTTGACCCCATGATCCACCCGCCTCGGCCTCCCAAAGTGCTGGGATTACAGGCGTGAGCCACCGCGCCCAGCCCTAAAAATCTTAAAAATAAATGAAAGTGACTCTTGGCCAGGCATGGTGGCTCATGCCTGTAATCTCAACACTTTGGGAGGCCAAGGCAGAAGGGTCACTTGAGGCCAGGAGTTGGGAGACCCACATGGGTAACACAGCAAGACTCCATCTCTACAAAAAACTTAAAAATTAGCCAGGTGTGATGGCACACACCTGTAGTCCCAGCTACTCAAGAGGCTGAGGCAGGAGGATCACTTGAGCCCAGGAGGTTTCAGACTGCAGTGAGCCATGATCTCGCCACTGCCCTCTAGCCCGGGTGACAGAACGAGACCCTGTCTCAAAAAAAAAAAACAAAAAAAGTGACTCTTCTTTGTAAGAGAAATACTAACATAATTCGACTTATCTTTAATAGCCAGCAGTAAATACTTTCCAAATTTAACACAGCATACAGCTAGGACTGAAGGAAGCTTAAGGGAGAAGGGAAACCCAAAGTTCACAGCTGCTGGTATCAGAAGGCCTAGGTCAGTGGGGTAAGAAATATGTGTACTAACTTTTCCTTCCTTCCTATTACTCAAAAGCTACAAACTTAATCTAGGTCCTTCAACCTCATGTACTTCTCGAGTCACTGTGTCACCCAAGTCCAAATCTTCTGGTGTCTTCATGCTGCCTGTGAAAGTAATAATTCCTTAGTAGACTACACAATGCCCTCCACAGGAGCATTGAGTGAGCTCTTGGGACCACACAAAGCCATGACCTGACCCCTAACTGTCTTTGCAGTTTTACCTTCCTCTGCTCCCAGCTCCTTTGGTACATAACATATACTCCCCTGCAGTATATATATAATACACCAGAAATTATGTGCACTTTAGAATTAGATAAATTTGGTAACCCTACTTGCCTGAATTAAGGCAAATTTTCCCTGCCCCTTAATCCCTCCTCCACTTCTGCCCCAAGAATGATCTTTCTAAAATGCAAATCTGATCCATGTCATTCACCTAAGTTCATTTTTTTTTTTTTTTTGAGATGGAGTCTCGCTCTGTCTCCCAGGCTGGAGTGCAGTGGCACAATTTTGGCTCACTGCAACCTCCACCTCCCCGGTTCAAGCAATTCTCCTGCCTCAGTCTAGCTGGGATTACAGGTTCATGCCACCACGCCCAGCTAATTTTTTGTATTTTTAGTAGAGATGTGGTTTCATCATGCTGGCCAGGCTGGTCTCAAACTCCTGACCTCAAATGATCCACTTACCTCGGCCTCCCAAAGTGCTGGGATTACAGGCGTGAGCTACCTCATCCAACCAATCTAAGTTCTTAGAGCTCTTCTGTAGCTAATCATCAGCTACAGATAAAAATCCAAACTCCTCAGCACAGCATATAAAGTTATGTGACATCACACCTGCCTTGCTTTCCAGCCTCCCTACTTCATCATTACTCCCCATCTTCTACTCTGATGCTCCAGTAATACTAAACTGCATACAGTTCCCTGAAGGTGCCATTTCCTTTCTCACCTCCCATCTTGCACATGCTGCTCCTCCTGCCTAGAGGGTTCTTCTATTCTTTCTTGAGCTGGTTAATTTCTAGTCACTTTCTCACTCAGCTATGGTATCACTTCTAGGAAACCTTTTCTGATCCCTGCCTGCCATTTTTTGGGCTCCCTGAAATCTCTCCTTCTTCATATTACAGCAATTATTACATCTGTTCACTTTCCTAACTTTTCTACTGCACTATGAGCGGCCTGAGAGCAAGGCCTATGTCTTTGTTATCCTTCATATCTAATGTAGTAACTTGGTAAATTCAGTGTGTGATCAATCAATAAACAAATGAAAAGGATTCTCCCAACATACACATGAGGCTAGCATAACAAATGACTTTATTATTATTTTAAAGCTGACAGCATTGCCTTACTGATTTGTCACATGTAACAGCTGCATGGCAGAGCTAGGATAAAAAGACCGATCTTCAAAGTCCCAGAACAATGTCAAACCTCTCCCCTGAGCTATAAACTGCATTTCCAACTGCCTAATTAACATGGTACCTAATGGCACCATGTAACACTGGCGCCTGCCACCATGACCAGCCAATTTTTTGTATTTTCAGTAGAAACAGGGTTTCACCGTGTTGGCCAGGCTGGTCTCAAACTCCTGGTTTCAAGTAATCCACCCACCTCGGCCTCCCAAAGTGCTGGGATTACAGGCATGAACCACTGTACCCGGCCAAATTTCTGTTGTTTATAAATTACCCAGTCTAAGGTATTTTACTATGGCAGCCCAAAAGGACTAAACCACTCCCCCCCCCCATTCCAAAACACTATCATCTCCCATCTGGACTATTAAAATAGCATCCTAACCCTCTCATTGAGTCACCTCCTACAATCTATTCTTCTCAAAGCAGCCAGAAAAATCTTTTTAAAAATGTACATCAGCTCATATCACTCCCATTCTCATTATACTCTCAATAAAATTCAACATGTACCAGCAGCTACAGGTCCTTATAAATCTGACCTTGACAGACTCCTTGACCTCATTCGGCACTATTTTTATTTGCTAACTATGATCTGTCGCACTGGCTTTCTTTCTGGTCCCAGGACATGCCTTGCACATTCCCATTCATTTGTACTTGCTTCTGCCTCCACTTGAAACATACCTGCTTCCAAATCTCAAAAGTGCTAGGTCGTTACCATTCAGGTCTTGGTTCAAATAGCAACTCTTCAGAGGCTTTCCATAACCACCCTATTTAAAGTAGTCCTTCTCTTCTAGTCATCTTTATCACATTACATTACTTTTCTCAAAGCACTTGTCACCATCTGGAGTTATCCTGTTTATTTGTTATGTATTCATTATTTGCTTTACCACATTAGAAACTAAACTTAGTATAAGCAAGGACCTCGGTTGTCTTGTTCACTGCTGAATTACTGGAACCTAGAAAAATGTTTAACATTGAAGTCACAAGTATTTGAAAAAGAAAATAACGAATAAATAATACAGACTACAAACTTAATAAATTTTACTGAATATGTGAATGAATTAATTAGGGAGAGAAATAGAAAGGGCAAAACACAATAAGGGAAAGCACTGCTACTTAACATTTTTATAACTGCTCACTTTTCTCCAACCTTATTGTCTTTGCTCAAGCTCAGGTCCTCATCATCTCACTCCTAAACTACTTTAATACCTCCTAACTGTTCTCCTTTTCCCAACCTGATCCCTCCAAAAGTAACTTCCAAACTTCAACTAGACTTGATCATTCTGAGACATAGATCTAAACATGCTACTCCTCTGCTCAAGACTCTTCAGTGGCTCCCTAACACTGTGCTAAGCTTTTTAGCACAGTGTTAAAGGGGCTTCTTCAGCCTTGTCACTCACTGCTATCCCTTTACATTTTACCAAAACTCCAGTCATACAGAACTTCATACAGTTCCCATAAGATTCCACGTTGTTCAATGCCTCCAAGCCTTGCGTATCTTTTCATTTTGCTGGACCACTCACTCTTCTTTACCTTACTGACTCTGACTATCTACTGAACTCAACCTTAATCCTCAAGAACAAACTCAAGCATCTTCTCTGTTAAGTCTTTAAGGATTCCCAAAGCAGTTAATCACTCCCTCTTTGTGTCATCACAGTACTTAACACATGCTGACACTATACTACAACCACCTGTTCCCATTTCTGGTTTATCTCACGAGACTATTAATCTCCTGAGAGCAGGAGCCACATCTTCATCTTTGTGTCCCCAGCACAGTATCTGGCATGTATCAGCACTCAATAATTGGTGACTGAAGGAAAGAATAAATGCATCCAAACTCCTCAGGCTGGCCTTCAAAAACCAACCTGAGGTTGGCCCCAACCTACCCTTTTTAATTTAGTTCTTACTCTTCTCTTACTTGCTAATCACAAATACATACTCATTTCTCAACATTTACTTGGGGCGTTCATTCCTGATGCTCTAATGAAATTCAAATCATCCATGAAGGCCCAACTCAAATGGCTCCCTTCCCATGAAATCTTCCCTAGCCATACTAATGAGGGGGACTTTCTTCCCCTACAGTACTTTGCTTTTTCTACTGGTAAAAAACATTTAGTACGTCTTATTTTAGAATTATAGCCACTATCTCTCCAACTGGACTACATCTTATTTTCCTAACTATACTGTAAATTCCCTGAATGCAAGAAACATGGTTTTCTCTTGACCCAAATCCCTAACATAGTGACTTGCACAAAGCATGCAGTTATCAGTAACTATGTCATTAGAATCATATGCGTAAGGATTAGAGATTTCATGTCTTTATTCCTTCATACATATGCTTTTACCTTGGCCTAAACTGGTCTCCTATCAATATGGTAAACTTTTAAGAATCAGCCTAAATGCCATATCCTCTCTGAATTCTTCTCTAATGCACCTGAATAGGCTTAAGCACTCATTCTTCTGTAGACCTATGGCATCTTGCACATAATTTATAACTCCACTCATTATATTATATTTTCATTATCACCTGATGGGTTCCTCTCCCAACTAGACCAAAACCTCCTTAGAGCAGAGATAGTCTCTTTATCCATTTATTAATTCCCAAGACTAAAAAGAGTACCTGGCATAATTAAGTGCACAATAAATACATAGTGACTTATGAAAACAGTGAATCTTTCAGGATGGTTAGGAACAGAAAAAGAAAAAAAAATAAGAAAATAGTGAATCCATGTTATATTGTAAACCAGCAATAGTGTACACTGTAACATGAAGACATAGAGTTGCATTACCATGTTCAAATCCCACCTCCACTTACAAGCTGTGTGACCCTGAATAAATTACTTCTCTGTGTCTCAGTTTTTCTCATCTGGAAAATGAAGATCATAACAGCATTAAAATAGAATTAGCTCTTCCTCTTCCAGTAAGCAACCTAAGACGATCTGTGAAAATGGCTATTAACTTAACCCAGCACACCCCACAAAATCATGCAAATCAAGATATTAAAATCTTCATATTCACTTTAAGAAGACTCAAGAAACTGCCCAGGCCAATGGGGGTGGAGGGAGGTTGGGGGGTATGCAAATCCAGAAAGCCACAAAGTATCTGAAGGATGTCACTTTATAGAAGCAATGTAAGCCAATTCATTGTTACAACTGTGGAGTCAGTAAATGTGCCTAAGCCAAACAGTGAGGCTGGGCACAGGATTGGTGGCCCAAAAAGAGTGAATTTTTGCTGTACAAGCTTTAAAATGCAGAATAATGCTGAACTTCAGAGTTTAGATGAGCCAGGCATGGTGACTCACACCTGTAATCCCAGCACTTTGGGAGACCAAGGTGGGCAGATCACCTGAGGTCAGGAGTTTGAGACCAGCCTGGCCAACATGGTGAACCTCTGTCTCTAAAAATACAAAAATTAGCCAGGCATGATGTCGGGTGCCTATAATCCCAGCTACTGGGGAGGCTGAGGTGGGAAAATCACTTGAACTCAGGAGGCAGAGGTTGCAGTGAACCGAGATCGCACCATTGCACTCCAGCCTGGGCAACAGAGCAAGACTCCGTCTCAAAGAAAAACAAAACAAAACAAAAAAGAGTTTAGGTGTATTAATAGATTATCTAGTCATCGAACACATCCAGGTGCATGAAGCACCCAAGATGCACACTGCCATACTTACAGAGCTCAAGACCAAATTAACCTAGACATGAGTGCCCCTGACACACAGAGATGATCCTTACCAAAAAAGGAAAAAATGTTCCTTAACCAGAAGAGGTGGTTGCACAGAAGAAACTGATGAAACAAAAATTTATGGTAGGAGAATAAAATCAGGATAAAATCAACTCAAATACAAGGTTTCTTAAAAGAATTAAGAGGTTATACATGTAAAATGCTTAGTTTACTGCCTGGCACATGGTATGCACTAAAAAAGCTATTATTGTTGTAGTTAAAACAGGAGAAAAGGCTTTCTGCAGGGCACTAAATGACAAGCTCAGAGACAATTAGGCTCAATCCTATGGGCAACAGGGAGTAAAACATTACATGAGGTTTCTAAGCAACAGAATGCATTGAGTTATTGATAACACCCTGTGAAAGGAGGACAAAATGAACCAAAAACTTTGGCAGGGCTTGTGTTCTCTGTTTCCCCTTTTCCCAGTTTCTCTCTAGCTGCCGAGGCCAAAAGCCCCATGGCCATGATCCAGCAGCCTCTTGGGAGAGCCGCACTTTAGAGGGAACTAATGAGCTTGTGTTTACCTACAGATTTTTCTCTGAGGAGTAGAGGTAACAAATGACTTCAAGAAGGGAAAACAAAAAGAAATAACATGGAGATGAGAAATGGCACTAAATGGATTATGCTGGGTTGGCTTCCATGGAGTAAGCTTTCAGACCAAACAAAGCCAGGTATACTGGGCCTACATCCCCCAGAGGCATTCTCTGGCAGTGTTAGTGCCATGGCAAGTCAGAGGTGCAAAAAAAGCAGAATCTGGGAAACGGTACAACGAGGACTAAAAAGTTGAAGCAATACAGAAATAAGAATCTAATCCAATCTGAAGGACACCGCAACAGAGGCATTCAAAAGAATAGGCTGACCAATGAACAATTAGCTGGCTATCATTGGAGGGGTTCACATACACACTGCTGACCATTTTGGGGGGATGTTCAACACGGGTGTATGGACCAGATTTAAGATACAAGTTCAAATACAAAAATTAGCTGGGGGTGGTGGCGGCGTCTGTAATCCCAGCTACTCCAGAGGCTGAGGAAGGAAAATCGCTTGAACACAGGAGGCGGAGGTTGCAGTGAGCCAAGATCACACCACTTTACTCCAGCCTGAGTGAACACAGAGAGACTCCGTCTCAAAACAAGAAAAACAAAATTCAAGTTCAGTAAATATCTGAATAACTACTCCATGCTAGTCACTGTGCAAGATTAGGTGCTGAAAATACAGAGATGAAAAAAATGATAATGTGCACTCCCCTCAAGGAGTTCCCCGACTAATGGAAGAGACAATACGACATGGTAAGTGCTAACGGAAATCTGCACAGGGCGCTATGGGAGCAGAAAGCAGTGCCGATGACTCACTGGTAAGGAGCAATGTGGCATTAATTTAAATGAATCCAATAAAAATATTTCATAAGCAGCTTATAAACAAATACTGGTAGGGGATATTATGTTATTTCCAGAACAGATAGTACACATGCTAGTCAACCTTTGCAATTTAGTCAACATTACCTTTATCCTTAACAGAATCAACACCTACAAGCATTCTCATTCATTCAATAAATATATTGATATGGGCTATGTGCCAAGCACTGATCAAGGCACTGAGGAATGTACAAAGATGGAAAGATAGTCCTTGCACTCAAAGAATGAAAACATTCCTCTTCATCTTCACCTTTCCTGCCCCTCTCTCCTAACCCCTTTATTGACTAATTGATATCTTAAATTCCTTCTGGAAGTAGATGAGTTATTAAATCATAACAAAGAAGTGACCTGCAAAAAAAAGCAAGGGTGAGCTGGGGGTGACAGGTATTGGAATTGGAATTCAAATGGGAATCTGCCAGGGTATCTGTCAGAGCATGAGGTGCTGACTGCATTCCAAAGTCAAAAGTGGTGAAATTGGGGGTTATATGTAAGCCTTTTTGTCTACTCCTTCCCCATCACCATTTTTTCTTCTGTCATCCCAATATTAATTATTAGCATAGATTATTAAGAATAATTAGCCGGGCACGGTGGCTCACGCCTGTAATCCCAGAACTTTGGGAGGCCGAGGCAGGTGGATCACGAGGTCAAGAGATCGAGACCATCCTGGTCAACATGGTAAAACCCCGTCTCTACTAAAAATACAAAAAATTAGCTGGGCACGGTGGCACGTGCCTATAATCCCAGCTAGTGAGGAGGCTGAGGCAGGAGAATTGCCTGAACCCAGGAGGCGGAGGTTGCAGTGAGCCGAGATCGCGCCATTGCACTCCAGCCTGGGTAACAAAAGAGAAACTCTGTCTCAAAAAAAAAAAGAATAATTATAGACCCGGCACGGTAGCTCACACCTGTGATCCCAGCACTTTGGAAGGCCGAGGAGGGTAGATCATGAGGTCAGGAGATTGAGACCATCGTGAAACTAAAAATACAAAAAATTAGCCGGGCATGGTGGCATGCACCTGTAGTCCCAGCTACTTGGGAGGTTGAGGCAGGAGAATCGCTTGAACTCAGGAGACGGAAGTTGCAGTGAGCCGAGATCACACCACTGTACTCCAGACTGGGCGACAAAGCAAGACTCCTTCTCAGAAAAAAAAAAAAGAATAATTATACCTTCATTCAATCAGTCTTTCACTAGTATTTACTGAGTACCTGATGAGAGTTATAAGAAACATGGCCAAAATAAAACTCTGAGATCCAAGTCTTTCAAAGCTGCAAGAGATCTCAAAGGTCACCTAGTCCAAAACTATCAATTCACAGATGAAAAACTGAGGTACAGAAAAACTGGAATCGTTCCTGAGTTCACATATTTATACATTTATTGAGTCGTACTCTATGCCAGGCAAAGGGAATATAAGAATGAATAGGCCTTCTTTTCAAGGAGAACACAATGTGGTGAGAAAGACAAATATCATGACTCCAGTTAAATCACCTCCAGAAAGGAAGACCCAAATGTACACAATGGAAATGTCTAATGTAGAACAGGATGGGCAGTAGAGAGTACTCATACTGCCCCTTGTGGTTAACAGCACAAGCATTGATGTAGTCTTGGATTTGAACCCCAGTTCTGTCACTTACCTGGCTGTATAACATTGGGCAAGTTACTTAAATTCTCCATGCCTCAGTTTCCACATCTATAGAACGGGATAATAATAGTACATATCTTATAAGGCCATGGCATTAAATTCAACAATGAATCTAAGGTCCCAGCGCGGTGGCTCATGCCTGTAATCCAAACACTTTGGGAGGCCAAGGCAGGCGGATCGCTTGAGTCCAGGAGTTCAAGACCAGCCTGAGCAACATGGTGAAACTGTCTCTACAAAAAATTAGCCACACATGGTGGTGCACACCTGTGGTCCCAGCTACTTGGCAGGCTGAGGTGGGAGAATCGTTTGAGCCTAGGAGACTGAGGTTGCACTAAGCAAAGATCGCTCCACTGTAGTCCAGTGACAGAGCAAGACTGTCTCAAAAAAAAAAAAAAAAAAAAGGAATGCATCTAAAATACATGGCACAGGACTCAGTGCAGAATAAGTAATCTATATTATTTCACCCTCAGCACTCTTTTCTCCTAAGCCCTGGCCTCAGGATCCTACTCAACACAGGCTTCTAAGCATCTATGATCAGGTGGCTGTCTCTGAGATAAAACAAATCTGCTATTCCTAGTCTAGAATATGAGCCCACTGTTCACTACTCTATGGGTTTTTTCCCCACTACACTATGCCACCACTCATTTTACATGCCTAAAAAAATCCAGAGGTAGTCAGATATCCAAGATTAAACTTCAGTCACATATGCCTTGATCCCTCAGTAAGATCTTGGCTTGGACCAAAAATCTCTAGAGAAAAAAATTCCTGGCAACAAGGAACATTTACTAAATGTCTATAGGGAGAGAACCATGGGAGAAAGAACAAACACACAAAAAAATAGTGATTACTGCTTGAAGAAGCAAGGGATGGGAACTTCCACAGTCTGCCCACTGTGGGTTTACCAACCTAGCTGGGAAGAGGAGATGTAATACTGACTGCCACTACCTCCTTGATGTACCCACTGTACCCATTCCACTATCACAGCACCTGTGACACATTTTGCATGTATTTATCACTCTACTCATACCAGTCTGTGAACTTTTTGAGGGCAATTATCACACTTTATCTATCTTGGTATTATGAGGCACACCAAAGTGCCTGGCACACAGAAGGTGTTTCAGAAGTTTGAGGACTCAGTTGGGAATGAGGAAACAAACTTAAACAGAGAAAACCATAAAAGGCAGGGGAGAAAGTTATCAGTGCAGATCAGAATCTGTCTGCCTTTAAAGGGCAGGTAGAATTTCAAAAGGCAGTAAGGGAAAAGAAAGGTATTCTAGGCAGACAGGACAGCACCAACAACACCTGGCAGTAATGAGAAACAGTACAGAGAGGGCTGGAGCCAGGAAGAGTTAGAGACGATTTCATCCAATAATTCAATTCTCATGGGAATATTGTAAATGTTTAATTAAAAAGCATATACCATTAGGCAGAGGAGCTGGCAAATCACAAACATCCACTAAATGGTAGCTATTATTCTATTAATCAAAAATAATGGACCAGGCATGGTGGCTCACACCTGTAATCCAAGCACTTTGCAGGCCAAGGCGGGCAGATCACCTGAGGTCGGGAGTTCAAGACCAGCCTGACCAACATGGTGAAACCCCATCTTTAAAAAAAAAAAAAAAAAAGATTATCAAATACTTATTGGGTGCCTACAGTATGCCAGGAACATGCTGAGTGAAGAGAATACAATGGTGAGCAAGATACACTTGGTCTCTACTCTCTCATGAAGCTTACAGTCTAGTGGGAAAGGCAATTTTATAATAATGCTTGGTGGGGCTGGCCTAGGCAAAGCACAGGTGGACTGAGGGGACATAAAATGGGGTCACCCAATCAGTGGACTGTACCAGAAAAATCCTTGCTTTTCAAAGGGTGGCTTCAAGCACCTTAGGGGTTCTGTTGAATCCATTCAAGAACCACAAGGCTTCAGAGTGACATTTTGTTTGAATAAAAGATTTCATGACTAAATAAAGGTTTAAAAACCACCAATCTAGTGAAATTCTCCTCTTTCAACAGGAATAAAACAGGGCCAAAGAGAGGTAAATTATTTACTTGAGACAATCATATTAATCCTTCGAGTTAGCTGCAGGCTAGAACACCTGCTTTGAACTTCAGCTTGAGCTGGAAATTCTTCACTGATCTGCATGATCTCACATCATTTTGGCAGATTCACAGGCACTAGCTAGGCAATGCCCTGGCTGGCCCTATTGGGTACTGAAGTGCTTTTCTACCTTAATTCCCACACTAGCTTTCTGTGCCAAAAAGATGTATCTAATTCCTCTCAGAGGTTGGCTGGCCTCCCCTTTGAGGGGGGAAATCACTGGCTCCAGGAATAGATTGGCTTCTGGGGCACCTAACTGGTACCCACATCTTATCCTACAACATCTCCAGCATGCTGTACTTTGGCAGGGTGAGAGACAGAACTGAGCTTAGGCAGTCATTATAGCCAGTTTAATACCTGACCTGAGTTGGCTAGGCCCATCTCTGTCTCTCTTCTCCTTAACTACCAATGGGCTAATCATTCCTCCTGAACAGGGGTTCAACAGAATCCAGTTATCAGCAAGTTAAAGAACCTATATGGAAAAACTAATATTCTTTTGATTAACCCTCATTTTGATCCTCTCAGGGATGAAATGCTGCTTTATGTTTTGAAAATGGAACTTTTGGCTGAGCGCGGTGGCTCATGCCTATAATCCCAGCACTTTGTGAGGCTGAGACAGGAGGATCACCTGAGGTCAGGAGTTTAAGACCAGCCTGGCCAACATAGTAAAACCCTGTCTCTACCAAAAACACAAAAATTAGCTGGGCATGGTGATGGGCACCTGTAATCCCAGCTACTTGGGAGGCTGAGACGGGAGAATTGCTTGAACCAGGAGGCAGAAGTTGTAGTGAGCCAAGACCGTGCCATTGCACTCCAGCCTGGGCAAGAAGGGCGAAACTCCGTCTCAAAAACAAAAAAAAAAAAAAAAAGAAAAGAAAAAAGAAAATGGAACTTTTGTACACAAAGAAAAGGGTTTGGGTCTTTAGAATAGAAGAAAAACAAATACTCTGGAATCTGGAAACGTGGGTTTAAATCTTTGTGACACCACTTGGTAGTCTCAAAACCCTTGGCATATCTCAAATTCTCTGAACCTCAGCTTCCTCAATCGCAAATAGGGAATACTAATAAAACCTTCCTCACAAAGGTGAGGTTCAAAATGCTCTTTTGAATCACAGCCATTTATCAAATACATAGTATCAATGTTTACATACAATTAAGACTATACAATTTTAAATTACCTACCTCTAGAGCACAAATAGTGGAGTAAGAAATGGAACCCAGGAGCTCAGATAGCATGGGCCAAGCTCAGTATAGCTTAGGCAGGCCTGGATCAGAAGCTGTACTTCCCCACTCACAAACTGTGGAATCCTAGGAAAGTTCCTTAGCCTCTCTGAGCCTCAGTCTCATTTATCAAATGGGGTTAACTCCATCTAATTCACAAGCCTACTGTTAGTAATAAATAAGATGATGCAGGTAAAGGGTTTTAAACAAAGGTTGCTGTATGGTAAGGGCTGAATACAGTAGCCTTTTCTACTGGTAGCTCTTTTCCCAAGTCCTCTTTTCTATTTATCCCACTAAAGGAAGAGGCCATTAACAAAGCCTAAATTACCTGTCAACTTCTAGAGAAAGCATTAATGAAACCAGACAAAAAAAGAGAAAAGGAATATGAATGAATGCTATTCCAAACTACGTATCATGCTAATAGCATCTAATATTGGAAAACATAGGTATAATATCCTATAATCCCAAGAAGTAGAAACTCCATCTTAGGCTACCTATTACCCTATTATAATCTGCGCTCTACGATAGAGTCTATCAACCAAACACAAAGTGCTACAGAGAGGGTAACACTGATGCCACATGTAAACCACTGCTCTTTTGTAAACCCAACCTTTTTCAGCTCAAACCCATCTCTATCATAAAGACTTTACCTACTCCCCCTAGCAGACTCAAGCGCTTGATCTCCTGTGCCCCACTGCATTTGTTACATGCCTCCATTACAGCAATTATCTAGTATTATAATATGCTATTTGCATGTCTCTTCACTCAACTGTAAATTGGTGAAGATCCTGTTTTATTTATCTTTGAATTCTCAGTGCATGACAGAGGGTAGACCCTATAATTACATGCTAAATGATGAATTTCACCTTCTCTTTCACAAGCTAAGGCTGCAAAGAAACAGCTGGAGAGACATTAGTAGAAACTTGAATATAAACTAAGGCCCGATCAGACCTCTGTTATTTTTACAGCTTGAAGGGATAACTGTTCCTGCTTCTCATAGCTTACTTTCTCAAACATACAACAACAAAAAAGACAGACCCAGTCCATGCAGCATTTCCAGAAAACAAATCATACTTTTTCTCAGAAAATGAAACAAGTAACAAGGTTTCTTGGATGAATGCTAGTGGTTTCATAAAAAGTTAACTTCTAGGCATGATACTCTGTAAAATCTATTATACTACTAGAAGCTCTTAAGTCTTTAAAACAATAAAGAAAAGCTTAGAAACAAAATTTTAAAATGTCTCAATTAAAATGTTATTTTCTTGGCCAGGTGTGATGGCTCATGCCTGTAATCCCAGCACTTTTAGAGGCCAAGGCAGGAAGATCACCTGAGGTCGGGAGTTCGAGGCCAGCCTGACCAACATGGAGAAACCCCACCCCCACACCCCCGTCTCCACTAAAAATACAAAAAATTAGCCAGGTGTGGTGGCGCATGCTTGTAATCCCAGCTACTTGGGAGGCTGAGGCAGGAGAATTGCTTGAACCTGGGAGGCAGCGGTTACGGTGAACCGAGATCATACCATTGCACCACAGCCTGGGCAACAAGAGCAAAACTCCATCTCAAAAGAAAAGAAAATGTTATTTTCTCCTCTGCCAAAACTTCTGTTATCTTGATGAACCTTGACATATGTAACTAAAGCTTTCTTTGAGATATACATAAATGTCTCAAGGGAGAGCCCATGACTAACAAACCATAAATAAGAACTTCAATACAGTATTTACCCTTTCCAAAGTGCCTTCAAATATATCTCAATGAACCACAGCCAACTGTAATCACAGAAACATAAAAGCTAGGAGGGATTTTGGAGGTCATTTCCAGAACCACCCCACCTAACCAACTAACACCTGTAGTCTCTAGTGATTGGGAGGCAGAGGACTACAAAGTTTCTTTAAAAATCCCCCAGCTGTGATCACCTGTCGATTTCTCAGTCTCTTCCTCCTACCTTAATGATCCCAATCAGGTAATCCAACTCCTCCAGCTCATCCCACTACCAAGCAACAGTCTTCTTGCTTCCTAAGTCCACTTCTCCCTTTCTCTGAGCCTCATCTTCAGTCATCCCCAATCCTCCCCACTCTTCCTCCACCCAACACACAGCAAGGGACCTCTCAGACTCTGACCCATCAGAGATCTCACTGGTTCTATCTCCGACAACCAATTCCCTTCCTCCTATTCCTTTTGCCGTCTCTGTCCATATGCTGGCATGTACAAGATCACAAACGCCTCTAGCTATCAATTCTATAGCTTCACAATCTTTTCATTTTCCTTTCTCACCCTACTAGACAGGTAAAGGGGACATACAATCTCAAGGAGCTCACCTTGAAGGAACTCTTAAGTCTAGAAGAGAGAGACACTTATTTATCGTTTAAGACTCAGCAACTACGGGAAACTTTCCCTATCCCAAGGTGAACTGTTGAACTCTTCTCAATGTCACCATTACGCCTCTAATGTAATACCTAGTCTTCTTGTCTGTCTCCCACCACTAGACTGTGGGCTCTTCAACGGAGGCACCCCTTGTCTCCCTAGCACCTGGCCCAGGACCCGGAGCAAAGGTCATACTTAATGTTCATTAAGTGAATAAATGCATGAATTCGGGCAGACATTCATTTATCCACCTGTTCCTTCATTCGTTGACCAAAACTTTACTGAGCCCACATTAGATACAAGTCTTAGAATGTAAGGATAAATAAAACAGTTCCTACTTTAAGATAACTCAAAGCTATACTACTAGTGGATTAGTATTCTTTTCCGGTCTGTGTCCCCAGCCCCCATCCCAGGCTTAGACAGAGTCCTCTCTCACAGTGGAAGCCCGGGCTTCCCCTGCAAAAATTCACGCCCCTCCAACTCAAACGACCTCTCAGCCCTTCAGTCCTACCCTAAGACCCCCAGCTAGTAATCGCAAAATCTTAACACCCCCACTCCTCCGACCTCTCTCTCTGTCCTCTATCTCCACCCTTGAGGCTAAAGCAAGTTTTCCACTCCCAAGGCCGCCTCGGAGTCCCCAAGTCAGGAGTGCCTCTGACTTCCCTCTCCACGCACCCGCCCCCTAATCAGCTCCTTCCCTCTCAAGATCTTTCCCGTCTCTCCTAAGACCCCCTCCTCCCGGCACCTCACTGCCCCTCCCCTCTGTTTCAGGCTGAGTCTCTCCTTGCCTCTCAACTCCGCTTACCTCATCCAGCTCCCGTTCTCCAGCAGCACCACCTCCAACCTCCACCTCCACCACCGCCGCCATCTTCACGGCTCGCCCCCTCACCGCTGTCCCCGCGCGAGCCAGCTGCTTCCGCCGCTCAAGTGCTCCTAACCAATCGGCGGCTCGGGCTTCAGCAGAGTAGGCGGGGCATCAAAACAGGCGGAGACTATCAGGGATCAGGAGGTTATCTACCTGCGGCACGTTTCAGGATCAAGGAGCGACGAGTCGCGTGCCCTTCCAAGCTTCAGCAAGGGAGCGTTCTTCGAAAATGAGAAATATGAATCGCATTGTTCTCAGTGCGACTATTTAACCAATTCTTCTCTTTGGAGAGCCAAATGGGAGAGTTCCTAAACGGGCAACTTTCGCGACGCTCCCTCAGTCTCGGCTCCAGGGAGCGAGACGTGGGGACCAGGAACTACGTTTCCCAAGCTGCACTGAGGCTGACCCAGAAGTTTAAATTCCGCTCCCTCTACGAAAGAATTGTAGTGAGTGAAAATAAACATTAAAACACATGCAACAGTATTTTCCTGGCTGCAGCACCTGCTTTCTTGCCTCGGTAGGAATCATTTTCAAAAACAGCAGCTTCTTGAAGCCCCAGAACGCATTCCTATGCTACGGAAGGCGGAAGAGTGGCTCTAGGGGTCAGAAGGCGAAGGTCAGAGGACCGAATTGGCGGGAGAATAGATTGGTGGTCTACGATCGGAAGCAATGGTGGCTCCTTGAGGTCCACGGTCCTGGGTGAGGGGCGTTGGAATTTGTTGATGGGGAGGGGAGTGGCCGAGAGGGAGGAGTGGGTGGCCATCAAGGAAATGTATGGAGCAGCCTGTTCCGATGAACCGTGGAAGCAGCGATGCGGCTTCAGCTTCTGAAACAGAGCTCAAGAGCCTTGTTGGTGGGACCTCCATGGCCCCCATATGCAGCTTCTTTCTTAGGCTGTCAGGCGACTTCACACATCGCGGGACACTTTTCTACGCCACATCCTGCGTCCCCAGTTCCTACCTTACCCTCCTTTTTATATACCATTCACTGCCGCATCCCCACGTATACCTTTGTAACTGACTTTTCAACACCCTGTGAACTCGCTACCTTGCAAGGCTATAGCCCCAGCTCACACGCCTCTGGGCGTCCGCCTGGATCTGTCTGGTGAAAGGAACTAGGATGGCCTGTGAGCCCACAGAACCCCTGGAAAAGTCAGCTTTATATTGGGACCAACAGGAAATTACAGGGTATTGTTTACATCATCTACTGGCATCTCATTTACTTAAAAATAATTATTTTTATTTTACAAAACTTAATACGGAGAATATTATAAATACTGTACACCCATCACCCTAAATTGACTATTGACATTATGATGTGTTTGCATACTCATTTTTTAAAAGCTAGACAATACAATGAAAGTTAAGTTTGGCCGGGCACGGTGGCTCATGCCTGTAATCCCAGCACTTTGGGAGGCCAAGGCAGACAGATCACAAAATCAGGAGTTCAAGAGCAGCCTGGCCAACATAGCGAAATCCCGTCTCTACTAAAAATACAAAAAAAAATTTAGCTGGGAATGGTGGCGGGCACCTGTAATCCCAGCTACTTGGGAAGCTGAGGCAGAAGAATGGCTTGAACCCGGGAGGCGGAGGCTGCATTGAGCCTAGTTTGGGCCACTGCACTCCAGCCTGGGCGACACAGCAAGACTGCCTCAGAAAAAAAAAAGGTTACACTTGCATTTTCTACTCTCAAGCGCATTACCCTCTCATCCTCTCCAGAAGCAACTATTATGCATTAGAATTAGCTGTGTGTTCTCTAATCCCTTTTTAAAAATTGTACATATCCATGACTATATAGTATTGTACTGTGTTTCATTTTGCTTTTTAATTTGAGTGCTTTTTGTTTTCTTTGAGACGGTGTCTTGCTTTGTCATCAAGGCTGGAGTGCAGTGATGTAAACTGGGCTCGCTGCAGCCTCCTCCTCCCAGGTTCAATCGATTCTCATGTCTCAGCCTCCCGAGTAGCTGGGACTATGGGCACGAACCACCATCCTCGGATAATTTTTGTATTTTTAGTACAGATGGGGTTTTCACCATGTTAGCCTGACCTCAAGTGAGCCTCCGCCTCCCAAAGTGCTGGGATTACAGGCCAAGCCACTGTGCCTGGCCTGAGTGATACAGGATCAGGCTCTGTTCCCCAGGCTGGAGTGCAGTGGCAAGATTTTGGCTCACTGCAGCCTCAACCTCCGGAGTAGCTGGGACCACAGCTGTGTGCCACCATGCCCAGCTAATTTTTGTGTGTTTTTGTAGAGAGGGGGTTTCACCAGGTTGGCCAGGCTGGTCTCAAACTCCTGAGGTCCAGCAATCTGCCCTCCACCTCCCAAAGTGCTGGAATTACAGGCTTGAACAACCATGCCCTTGTTATTAAGTGCTATTTTCTATGTATCATTATGTAACTTAATTATTTCACACTATATATATTTTAAATTTTATAAATGGAGATGGGGTTTCACTATGTTGCCCAGGCTGGTCTTGAACTCCTGGACTCCAGCAATTCACCTGCCTTGCCTTCCCAAAATGCAGGGATTACAGGCATGAGCCACAGTGCCTGGCCATAATAATATTTTTGAATCCTGTTCATGTTTACATATGTTTATGTCTAATTCATCCTTTTAACTGTTGTGTAGTGCTGTATTGTGTGGTTTTATAAAATTTCATTTATTCGTTCCTCAATTGAGGGACATTAGAGTTTTATAATTTTTGCATTTAGAAACACTGTATGTCTTTTTGTACACATACAAATAAATTAGCTACTAGCCAGATATGCCTATTATGTTCCTGAAATGTGGCTAGTCAGAATTGAGATGTGCTGAATGTATTTATGAGGGGGACCCATTTCCCCACATTGTAGCCAGTCATTTATATTATCAGACTTTGAAGTTTTTGCCAGTCCTCGAGGTGAGAAACTGTATTTGTAATTTCCTTATAGCATGGCAGGTTGAAGATTTTTTTACACAGGTTTTTGGCCATTCGGATTTCATCTGATGTGAGTTGTCTGTTTATATTTTCTCCCCAGTTTCTGTCAGATTGCTTTCCCTTACTGATTTGTCATTTTAAAAAATACATATTTTCTACATACTGTCCAAGTTTACGTGTGTTGCAAAGATCTTTTTGTTAAGCATTTGTATTTTAACCTGGTTTGTGCCTTCTTACTGTTTTTCATATTTCTGTCTTTGATCCATTTTGGAATACAGATTTTTTTGAGACAGGGGCTCACTCTGTCACCCAGGCTGGAGTGCAATGGTGTGATCACTGCTCACTGCAGCCTCCATCTCCCAGGCTCAAGCAAATCTTCCACCTCAGCCTTCTGAGTAGCAGGGACTATAGGCATGTGACACCATACCTGCCAAATTTTTTAAAAATATTTTTTAGAGATGGGGTCTCACTATGTTGCTGGTCTTGAACTCCTGGGTTCAAGCAATCCTCCTGAGCCTCTGCCTCCCAGAGTACTGAGATTCAGGCATAAGCCACTGTGCCAAGCCTTTTAGGTATAATTATTTATTTTTATTTCATTTTATTTTTTGAGACAGAGTCTCAATCTGTCACCCAGGCTAGAGTGCAGAGGGGTGATCTTGGCTCACTGCAATCTTTGCCTCCCAGGTTCAAGCAATTATCCTGCCTCAGCCTCCCCAGTAGCTGGGATTACTGGGATGTGCCACCACGCCCAGCTAATTTTTATTTTTTGAGTAGAGACAGGGTTTCTATTGACCATTTTGGCCAGGCTAGTCTTGAACTCCTGACCTCAAGTGATCCACCCACCTCAGCATCCCAGAGTGCTAGGATTACAGGTGTGAGCCACCTCACCCAGTCTAGGTATAATTTTTTAAATATGCTGTGAGGTAGGGATCTACTTTTATTTTGCTTTACATTGTCAACGAATTTCCTGAACATAACTTATTACTTTATTGTTTCTGACAGAATCATGATGCTGCTCTGAAGTGTGGGAGATCATGAACGTGACAAAAATCCACATCCTTAAAAAGCTCACTACTTAGTGAGGAGGCACATAGGGTAAAATAATGGCAACAACAATTTTTATAAGGGAAGGCATTCTGTTTTTTTCTCTTTTTTTGAGACGGAGTTTCAATCTTGTTAACCAGGCTGGAGTGCAATGGCACGATCTCGGCTCACCGCAACCTCCGCCTCCTGGGTTCAGACAATTCTCCTGCCTCAGTAGCTGGGATTACAGCTAATATTTTGTATTTTTTTTGGTAGAGATGGGGTTTCACCATGTTGACCAGGATGGCCTTGATCTCTTGACCTCGTGATCCACCCGCCTCGGCCTCCCAAAGTGCTGGAATTACAGGCATGAGCCACTGCGCCCAGCCGGGAAAGCATTCTGAAAGAACTTAATCTTGGCTGGGCGCGGTGGCTCACGCCTGTAATCCCAGCACTTTGGGAGGCTGAGGCAGGTGGATCACAAGGTCAAGAGATCAAGACCATCCTGGTCAACATGGTGAAACCCCGTCTCTACTAAAAATACAAAAAAATTAGCTGGGCATGGTGGCGTGTGCCTGTAATCCCAGCTACTCAGGAGGCTGAGGCAGGAGAATTGCCTGAACCCAGGAGTCAGAGGTTGTGCCATTGCACTCCAGCCTGGGTAACAAGAGCGAAACTCCGTCTCAAAAAAAAGAACTTAATCTTGTGAGAACTACAAGCAGTTTGACAGGTGATAATCTTCATGAAAAATATTGTATGTGTCTTATTCACCACTGTGTATCTAGCACCTGGTACAGTGCCTGGTACCTACTAGATGCTCAACAAAATACTATCTGAATGAGATATCCAAGATTGACAGCTTCAGAATTGCCAAGCCAAAAGTGTTTGTTTATTTATGTATTTATTTATTTTTGAGACAGGGTTTCACTGCCTCCCAGGCTGGAGTGCAATGGTGTGATCTCAGCTCACTGCAACCTCTGCTTCCCAAGCTCAAGCAATCCTCCTGCCTCAGCCTCTTGAGTAGCTCAGACTCCAGGCACATGCCACACATCTGGCTAATTTGGGGTTTTTGTTTTTTTTTTTTTGTAGAGACAGGATTTGACCATGTTGCCCAAGCTAATCTTGAACTCCTAGGCTTAAAATATCCACCCTCCTTGGCCTCCCAATGTGCTGGGATTACAGGCGTGAGCTACCGTGCCTGGTCCAAGTGTTCATTGATGATGAGAGATGGTGGAGTTTTTCACGTGAAATCTCAAAAATATACTGTGAGTTTCTTCGAAACAGAGACTATGCCTTATTTATTTTTATGTCTCCAAAATCTAACAGAGATAAGGAAAGATTTTTATATTCCCAGTAAGTTCCTGTAGCAGGAACAGTGAGGCCTAATTAATCTGAGCCCTAGGGAAGAGACTCAGGATTCATCCTTCATTCTTCTGTCTTTGAAGCCTTAGTACTGTACGGGCTATGGCCTATGAGGAGTGATTGACGTTCGGATGGCATTCACTAAGAGTTTGTTACTGCTGTTGCTGCAATCTACCCCATTTTGAATGCTTTATGACTATGAGCCCTTTGGAGCACAATTTTTATGGTCATTCATTCAGCAGACATTTGCAAATCAGGAACTATATTCTCCCTTTTTTATTGGGCACACAGAAATGAATCAGACATAAAACCTGTCCTCCAAGAGCTTACAGTTTGTCAAGAGACAAAAGAAGACATATACCCATATGAGGCACTCTGTTAAAGGCTAAGTGAGAATTGACAGGATGGAGCTGTCACCCTGAGCTGTTTAAGCAGCGGAGAGATAACATTTGAGCACCATTAGATTTGCTAAGTGGGAAGAAGAAAGAACATTCCAAGCAGAGGCAATGGCATGAGCAAAATCTTGGAGAAAAGGGAAAAAATTTTGGTGGGAAGGGTAAGCAAAAAGACCATTATGGCCAGGAGTATATCAAGAGTCACGGACTCATATTTTCAGGAGCCAGATGGGTTATAAACATGAATAAAATGGACAAGCATAAATATCTGAAGAGAGATTTTCTAAAGACATTCAGACAACTTTAAAACTCCTCTCACCAAGGAATTGTTGAAGCAAGGTGATGGATACATGAGTATATTATACTAATATGTGTGTTTTTGCATATTTAAACTTAGATAAAATGTTTAGCAAAACATGAAGTACAAATACTCACAAGAACTTTTTTTTCTTTTAGAGTTAGGGTCTCACTCTCACCCAGGCTGGAATGCAGTGGCACCGTCATGGCTCACTGCACCCTCTAACTCCTGGGCTCAAGTGATCTTCCTGCCTCGCTCTCCTGAGTTGCTAGGACTACAGGCACAGGCTTAGTAGTCCTGTGCTAAACACCCAGCTTAGCAAGGGGTTTGCATAAAGCAGCAAGTCATTCAAGATGTCTAGTAGAGGAATAACTTCATGAAAAGCTAAATTTAGGAAGATTCATTTTAGGAGAAGAAGAAAAAAAGAGTTGTATCATATATTTAGTTGAACATTTGTTGCCTATCTTTACTATGCACTAGGCTCTAGTGATATGAAGGTGTACAATTTAAGGCACAATTCATGCCCTTGAGAGCTCACCTATATATAAACCCAACATTAACATCTTGATATATTATTTTGTACTTGCTGCTGTGTTGCCTTCTGGTTGCACTTGAGTTATTTCATGTTTGTTGGAGCCTCATCAGCTGATCCAAACCTACTCCCTCCCACCAGGCCCATGTTGGTCATCAGAAATGGACTGACTGCTGCAAATAACTCCTGTTATCATAGCCATGGCTATTTCATTTTTCTTCTGTTCTCTATTTCAGGAGTAATGTGAGGATTCTTGCTTTTCTGGAAGCTAACATATAGTGAGTGCCAAAGTGGTGACAGAAGAAATCTTGGGAGAAAGCATTTTTGCTTGTACTTGACACCGTGCTGGGCCCACCATGGCTCCTGTGAAGATCAGCCACGTGGTATCATTTTCTTCTCAGGTATCTTAATTAGCAGGCATGATTTGTTTTCTTGATAACTGAAAGGAGTGAAAAAAATAGGAGTCTTGGCTCCACTTTCAGAAAACTCCCAATCTAATAGAAGAGACATTGTGAGTTCAGAGTCTAAGAGAAGAAACAACTCTTGTCCTCAGGTTGTTCCCATAGAAGTACAGGAAGTGAAAAGAAGTGTTCTCAGAAGTGGAAAGTACAGAAAGAAGCACCCTCAGAATTCCACCCAGTTTGAAGGGTGCTGGCAAAGCTGTAGGCCCAGAAACTGCAGCAGGATCCTCAGAAGGGGAGTTTGATCATTCTGTCATTGAGAACAGGACAGGACACTTGAGGTAATCCCAGACCTGTGAGGTTATCACCACCATCAAGTGTGATCTCAACCTCCTTCCTAAAAGTTCTACAATATCCCAATTAGAGCTAGATCCTAGGCCCTGAGTCCAGGCCTGATCTGATGTGATTCTTAGGGACTTCCTACTTTTTCCTCTTTTGTCACTGCTCTATTTACTCCTACTCCCCCTCTTCCCCTTCTGTTACCCTGGTCTTTCTCAAGGGGTGCCATTGGCATTTAGGGGCATAAGTCTGTATTTTGTAGCAATTTCATTTGCATGATGGGATATTTAGCATCCCTTGCCCCCAGGTTTCCTAGTCATTGTGACTGTCAAAAATATCCCCCACACATTTCAGGGAGATCCTTAGACCGGGCACAGGTGATTCATGCTTGTAATTCCATACTTTGGGAGCCCAAGGCAGGAGGATCTCTTGAGTCTAGGAGTTCAAGGTCAGCCTGAGCAACACAGGGAGACCCCATTTCTATAAAAAATAAAGAATTAGCCCTGTGTGATAGCATGTGCCTATGGTCTCAGCTACTTAGGAAGCCAAGGTGGGAGAATTGCTTTGAGCCTAGGAGGTCAGGGCTAACCGTGAGCCATGACTGTGTCACGGTACTCCAGCCTGGGCAACAGGTTGAAAACCATGAGTCTGGTCTCCCTCTTTTACTTATGGATGAAGACATTTAGATTACAGGGCTCATACCTGTAATCCCAACACTTTGGGAGGCTGAGGTGGGAGGACAGCTTGAGGCCAGGGGTGGGAAACCAGCCTGAGCAATATAGCAAGACCTCATCTCTACAAGAAATTTAAAAATTAGCTAGGTCTGGTGGCTCACACCTATAATCTCAGTACTTTGGGAGGCTGAGGTGGACAGATTGCTTGAGCCCAGGAGTTCAAGACCAGCCTGGGAAACGTGGAGCCCCATCTCTACAAAATATACAAAAGTTAGCCGGGTGTGCTGGCATGCACCTGTAGTCCCAGCTTTTCAGGAGACTGAGGTGGGAGTATCCTGACCCTGGGAAGTTAAGGCTGCGTTGAGCTGTGATTGTACCAGTGTACTATACCGTGGGCAATGAGCAAGACCCTATCTCAATTAAAAATAAAAATTAGCTAGGTATGGTGGCACACACCTGTCGTCCCAGTTACTCGGGAGGCTGAGGTAGGAGGATCAATCAAGTGATCGATCCTCCCAGGGATTCGAGGCTGGAGTGAGCCATGATTTTATCACTGCACTCCAGCGTGGGTAAGACCATGTCTCTAAAAAAAAAAAAAAGAAAGAAAGAAATTTTTTTTTCAATTTTATTTTGAGACAGGGTCTCACTCTGTCATCCAGGCTGCAGTGCAGTGGCACAATGTCAGCTGATTGCAACCTCTACCTCCCAGGTTCAAGCGATTTTCCTGCCTTAGCCTCTCAAATAATTGGGATTACAGAAAGAAAGAAATTTAGACCCAGAGAGGGAAAGTTGTTTACTCAAGATCTCTCAACCAAAAAATATCTGACTTTAGGTTAGAACTCAGAATTTATATCTCAAGATCACTAATTAGACTTTATTAATCACTTTATATCTAAGTATCATTTATAAACTTAGAATAAAAATCTTTGACTTATCTCACAGGATAACTATAAAGATAAATAAATGTCCTTGAAAATGTCTTATAAATGAAATAGTATAACATGGTGATTAAGACCTCTGCTTTTAGAAACCTGGGAATTCTGTTTTGCTTGGTTATTTAGCCTGTGGCCTTCAGTAAGTTTCTGAACCTTTCTAAGCTTCCATATTGATCTGTTAACTTGGAAGTAGTAATATAACCAACTAAGAATTGTTACAGAGATTAAATGAGGTCATCTGGTAAATGGGATAGAGGCAAATGGTATCTGTAAACTACTTGGCACATGATAATGGTATTCCTATGGCCTCCCATCTAGTGCCTTTTCTATCATGTTAGGATGACTGGGAAGGTTTGAGATTGTAGGGATCCCTCATTTGTGGGCATCCTTTTTCCCTTGAGCTCAGTGAGACTGCTGATTTTCTCCTCCTCTCTTACTTAGGATCCCAAGTATCCTGTAGAGAACTTGCTAAACCCAGACAGTCCAATGAGACCTTGGCTCAGCTGCCCTCAGGACAAGAGTGGGCAACTGAAAGTGGAACTGCAGCTGGAGAGGGCAGTGCCCATTGGCTACATTGATGTGGGTGAGTTCTCTGTGGCCTAGGAACCTCAGAGGAAGAACACAGAAGTGATATTCCCCTCTAACCACTCCACTAACATGTCTCAGTTCATTCCAGCTGAGCAGCATTTACGGAATAAGTTTTGCCTGGGTGTCAAAAGGAAATGTGGCCCTTGCCCTTGGAGCAAATCTGTGTGATGAACTCCAAGGGCTCTATTCACGTGGAATACAATGTGAATGGTGCTCCTCAAATTATGCAACATAACTATCATGTTTTGATCTGAGTGGTCTGGGTAAAACCTTAGGACACTGACATAATGATAAATCCCAACCAGGCACAGTGGCTCACACCTATAATCCCAACACTTTGGGAGGCCAAGGTGGGAGGATCCCTTGAGCCCAGGAGTTTGAGATCAGCTTGGGCAACATGGCAAAATCCTGTCTCTACCAAAAATGCAAAAATTAGCCAGCTTTGGTGGTACATGCCTATAGTCCTAGCTACATGAGAGCCTGAGGTAGGAGGATCACCTGATCCCAGGAGGTCAAGGCTGCAATGAGCTGTGATGACGCCACCACACTCCAGCCTGGGCAACAGTGAGACCCTGTCTCAAAAAATAAAAATAGGACCAGGTGCGGTGGCTCACACCTATAATCCCAGCACTTTGGGAGGCCAAGGTGGGCAGATCACAAGGTCAAGAGATCAAAACCATCCTGGCCAACATAGTGAAACCCCATCTCTACTAAAATACAAAAATTAGCTTGGCATGGTGGCACATGCCTGTAGTCCCAGCTACTCGGGAGGCTGAAGCAGGAGAATTGCTTGAACCGGGGAGGCAGAGGTTGCAGTGAGCCAAGATTGCACCAGCCTGGCGCCTGGCAACAGAGTGAGACTCTGTCTCATAAATAAATAAATAAAAATCCCAACAAATAAAACCAGCATACACCTGTAAATATCAGTATCAGGAGGATGCTAGAGAGATGACCTGTGCAAGGATAATCTGAGAAGGCTAAAAAGGAGTTTATGAATTGAGAAGATTGACCTTAGAATTCTCTGGAATCTAGAACTGTCAAGTCCACTGGTCTCAGTTTTGTCAGGACAGAGAGATGTCAAGCTCCCTAGAAAGGAATTAAGAGACAGAATTTAGTGCTGACCACCAGGGCCAGAGGACAGAAAAGCCACAAGTCTCTTTAATCAGGGGAAGGTTTTTGGCTGGGAGCAACATGGTAAATGTGTGACATTGGTATTTAGTGGACTACAGTCTCATTCCACTACAGTCAATGATTCCCTGTGGGACTCCACACATCGGTGAACCTTTCTGGCTTTCAACTAGCTATAAAGTAGAGGAATGTCCTTCTTCCACCCTATTCCTTTGTCTTTAGTCGTCTCATCCCTCTTATCCTTCTCTCAACCTTTTGTCCCCAGGTAACTATGGCTGTGCATTCCTGCAAATTGATGTGGGCCGTTCTTCCTGGCCCCTGGACAGACCTTTTGTCACCCTGCTCCCTGCAGCCATGCTAATGTCTCTAACTGATTCAAAGCAGGGGAAGAACCGCTCCGGGGTCCGCATGTTTAAAGATGGTAAAGAGGGCAAAAGCAGAGAAGAGTGGGATGGTCTTTATGAGAAACAGAGATGCAGTACTAAAGAGCTGTGGGTGCTATTAGGTTGTAGACTATGGGAGGCAGTCTGTACAGGGGCTTAATTACATCTGTTGGAGGCAAAGGGTGGTTAAGGAATGGTGTGCTTGTGTGTGAGATTGGTTAAGGAATGGTGTGCTTGTGTGTGAGATTGGTTAAGGAATGGTGTGCTTGTGTGTGAGATCTGTGTGGTAAGGATGTGTGCCAGCTGGGGAGAGGGAGATTTATGAACTATTTATATTTATACATGTGATTCGGTAGGGCCCAATATATAGAACACACACACTTATTGATTAATACGTTTTTGTGGTCAGGCATGGTGGCTCACACCTGTAATCCTAGCACTTTAGGAGACCAGGGCAGGTGGATCATCTGAGGCCAGGAGTTCAAGACCAGTCTGGCCAACATGGTGAAACCCCATCTCTACTAAAAATACAAAAATTAGCCAGACTTGGTGGTGGGCACCTGTAATCCCAGCTATTCAGAAGGCTGAGGCAGGAGAATTGCTTCAATCTGGGAGGCAGAGGTTACAGTGAGCCAAGATCATGCCATTCATTGCATTCCAGCCTGGGTGACAAGAGGAAAACTGTCTCAAAATAATAATAATAATAATAATAATAATAATAATATGTTTGTGTGTGTAAGCGTGGATGTAGGATAGATGTTGATGTAAGTAATGGAAGGCTACATAGTGGTTATAGTTATGTAGCATATAATGTTTACTGAATTCTGTTTATACAAATCTGTGTTCACTAGGCACTACAGAAGAAACATAAGATCTGATTCCCAGCCTCTAGGGATGTACAGTTTCATAAGGATTTGTCCATTTTTAAGTTGGAAGTATTTGTAATGTTGTAAAGGAAGAGTGACATTAGAGGGCCATATTATTTGGAGGAATCGAGGTACTGACTGAACAGTGTTAGGAACTAAAGATGTTCAGGGTTTGTGATATCGGAGTGTGATACTGTGAGCATGTGGAGCACCTGGTGGTGTGAGGGAGGTTGAGGTCTTATGATCCAAGGAAGGTCAATATATATCTCAGCCAATCCACTAGGCCCCTACTCTACAGATAACTTCTTCTTAAAATGAGATATTGATGAGGTCCCTGGAGAGGTATAGAATTCATGCTGGGAATAGTGTGGAACTGTGACAGAGGAGTGATGGGGAAGGCAAGGGACTGGATATGAGAAGGCCCTGACTGGTCTGCTTGGCATGACCATACCCTGAGCACCCAAGCCTAAGGGGACATTTACTGATGACCGCCTTCTTCCTTTTGTTGGAGTTTACTCTCTATAGTGCCTTTCCTTAGTATTGACCTTTTCTTCCTCTTTCTCTCCCATTTATGCATTTCCATTCCTCTAATTTTCTTTCTCTTTTTTCATTGAGTTGACTTCCTGGCTCCAGCCTCTAGAGAGTCATGGGATCGACTTCGCCTGACCTGTTCCCAACCCTTCACACGCCATCAGTCCTTTGGCCTGGCCTTTCTACGGGTGCGTTCTTCTCTGGACTCCTTAGATGACCCTGTGTGGGGTCCCTCAGCCCGTGTGAGCTCTGTGCTGAACCAGGTATGTATGATGGTGGAGTGAGGATTTAATGTTCTCCCTTCCTTTTCAGGTTTCTGGTTAAGAAGATGGTGCTTGTTTGAGGCATAGAGAAACACACACACACACACACACACACACACACAAGCATCAGTGGGCTTGATACCCTTTCTTACAGGTAGGAGTGAACTCCTCTCCTTCCCTCACAGGTGGAATATGCAAGTGAGGGAGACTTGGATACAGCATACACAAAGCTTCTGGACCATTTGCTCTTTAGCCTAAATAAATTATTCTTGGATCCAAACTTAACTTCATACTTTCTTTCTAAGTTATTGGGTGACTGTAGCTTTTATCAGACTTTTCCTTTGAACACTGAAAGTCCCAAAGCTCCCATGTAGTTTCTCTGTCATTATTCCTTACAAAGATATGTCTTTATATGTGTGCTTTGCAGTTCCATTTGTTCCCCTGCTTTTCTCCCTGTACAACACACGTGTACAGACACACCTTGGAGATGTTCCAGATCTGGTTCCAGATCATGGCAATAAAACAAGTCACACACTGTCTTTGGTTTTTCAGTGTATATAAGCCAACAATTATCTGAACCTTCAGCGAGTCATATCTTTTTGCTGGTGGAGAATCTTGCCTCAGTGTTGATAGCTGCTGACAGATCAGGGTGGTGACTGCTGAGGGTTGGGCTGGCTGTAGCAATTTTGTAAAATAAGACAATGAAGTTTGCCACCTCAGTCTACTCTTCCTTTCATGAAAGAGTTCTGTGTAGCATTGATGCCATTTGATAGCATTTTAACCACAGTAGAACTTCTTTAAAAATTTGAGTCAATTCTCCCAAACACAGCCACTGCTTTATCAACTAAATTTATGTAATATTCTAAATCTTTTTTAATCATTTCAATGATGTTCACAGCATCTTCACCAGGAGTAGATTTCATCTTAAGAAGCCACTTTGCTCATCTGTAAGAAGCAATTTCTTATCTGTTCAGGTTTTATCTTGAGATTGCAGTAATTCTGTCATATCCTCATGTTCCATTTCTATTTTAGTTCTCTTACTATTTCTTTTTTTTCTTCCAAGACAAAGTCTCACTCTGTTGCTCAGGGCTGGAGTGCAATGGCACAATCTCGGCTCACTGCAACCTCTGCCTCCTGGGTTCAAGCAATTCTCCCACCTCAGCCTCCCGAGCAGCTAGAATTACAGGTGTGTACCACCACACCCAGCTCATTTTTTGTATTTTAGTAGAGATCGGGTTTCACCATGTTGGCCAGGCTGGTCTTGAACTCCTGCTCAAGTGATCCACCCACCTCAGTCCCCCAAAGTGCTGGGGATTGTGGGCATGTGCCCGGCCTAGTTCTCTTACTTCCTCCACTGAAGTCTTGAAAGCCCACCAGGAAATTTGGAATCAACTTCATCCCAACTTACGTTAATATTGATATTTTGACCTCCTCCTGTTAATCACCAGTATTCTTAATGGCATCCAAGATGGTAAATTATTTCCAGAAGGTTTTTGTTTACTTTCCTAGATCCATAAGAGGAGTCACTGTCTATGGCTGCTATACCCTTACAGAATATGTTTCTTAAACAGTAATGCTTGAAAGTTGAATTACTCCTTGATACATGGGCTGCAAAATGGATGTTATGTTAGTAGGCATGAAAACAACATTAAGCTCCTTGTACATCTCCATCAGAGCTCTTGGCTGACTAGGTACATTACCAGTGAGCAGAAATGTTTTGAAAATGAATCTTTATGAGTATTAGCTTTCAACCCTGGGTTTAAAATACTCAGGAAACCATGCTGTCAACAGATGTGCTGTCATCCAGACTTTATTGTTCCATTTATAGAGCTCAAGCAGAATAGATTCAACATAATTCTTAAGGGCCCTGGGACTTTTAGAATGGTAAAAGAGCATTGGCTTCAACTTAAAGCCACCAGCTGCATTAACCCTAAGGAGAGAGTCAGCTTGTCCTTTGAAGCTTTGAAGCCAGGCATTGACCTCTAGCTATGAAAGTCCTAGGTGGCATCTTCTTTCAATAGAAGGCAGTTTCATCTACACTGAAACTCTGTTGCTCATCAGTGATCTTAGCAAGATCTTCTGGATCTTGCCTCAGTGTTGATAGCTGCTGACAGATCAGGGTGGTGACTTCAGGGTGAAGCACTTGCTGCTTCGCCTTGCACTTTAATGTTAAGGAGACGGGTTTTTTTCCTTAAACTTCATGAACCAATCTCTGCTAGCTTTAGACTTCTCTTCAGCTTCCTCACCTCTCTCAGCCTTCATAGAACTGAAGAGACTTAGGGCCTTGCTGTAGATTAGGCTTTGGTTAAGTGTATATCGTGGCTGATTTGATCTACCTATACTGCTAAAACTTTCTCCATGTCAGCAATAAGGCTGTTTTGCTTTCTTATCATTCACGTGTTCATTACAGTAGCACTTTTAATTTCTTTCAAGAATTTTTTTCAGCTGGGCATGTTGGCTCCCTCATGTTATCCTAGCTCTGTGGGAGGTCAAGGCAGGTGGATTCCTTGAGCCCAAGAGTTTAAGACCAGCCTGGGCAACATGATAAAACCCCATCTCTACAAAAAAATACAAAAATTGGCCAGGCGTGGTGGTTCATGCCTGTAATCCTAGCACTTTGGGAGGCCAAGGCAGGTGGATTGCCTGAGGTCAGGAGTTCGAAACCAGCCTCAGCAATACTGTGAAACCTCGTCTCTACTAAAATACAAAAAATTAGCCAGGTGTGGTGGTGTGCACCTGTAGTCCCAGCTACTCGGGAGGCTGAGGCAGGAGAAGTGCTTGAACCTGGGAGGCGGAGGTTACAGTAAGCCAGGATTGTGCCACTGCACTCCAGCTTGGGTGATAGAGCAAGACTCCATCTCCAAAAATGATAGTAATAATATAAAAATTATCCAAGTGTGGTAGCATGTGCCTGTAGTCCCAGCTACTTGGGAGGCTGAGATGGGAGGATCACATGAGCCTGGGAGGTGGAGGTTGCAGTGAGTTGAGATTGCGCCACTGCACTCTTGCCTGGGTGACAGTGAGACCCTGTCTTAAAACAAAACAAAACAAAACTTTCTCTTTGCATTTACCACTTGGCTGTTTCCCACAGGAGGCCAGCTTTAGCCTACCTTGGCCTTTGCCATGCCTTTCTTACTAAGGCAGTCATCTCATCCCTCTTATCCTTCTCTCTGTGGCTGTGCTTTCCTACAGATTGATGTGGGCCATTCTTCCTGGCCCCTGGACAGAACTTTCATCTGCTCCCTGCAACCACAAAGTGAGAGGCATGTCACTCTCCACTTCATTTGAATACTTAGAGGCCATTGTAGGGTTATTAAATGGTCTAATTTCAATGTTGTTGTATCTCAGGGAGTAAGGAGGCCTGAAGAAAGGGAGAGAGACAGGAGAATGACCAGTCAGTGGAACACTCAGAACATATACAATATTTATCAATTAAGTTTGCCGTCTTAGGCTAGGCACAGTGTCTCATACCTGTAAGGCTAAGATGGGAGAATCACTTGAGATGAGGTGTTTAAGACCAGCCTGGGCAACATAGACCCCATCTCTTTAAAAAAAAAAAAAAAAAAGGGCTGGGCGCGGTGGCTCAAGCCTGTAATCCCAGCACTTTGGGAGGCCAAGGCGGGTGGATCACAAGGTCAAGAGATCGAGACCATCCTGGTCAACATGGTGAAACCCTGTCTCTACTAAAAATACAGAAAATCAGCTGGGCATGGTGGCGCGTGCCTGTAATCCCAGCTACTCGGGAGGCTGAGGCAGGAGAATTGCCTGAACCCAGGAGGCAGAGGTTGCGGTGAGCCGAGATCGCGCCATTGCACTCCAGCCTGGATAACAAGAGTGAAACTCCATCTCAAAAAAAAAAAAAAAAAAATTAACCAGGCATAGTAGCACACATCTGTAGTCCCAGCTACTTGGGACTGAGGCAGGAGGATCACCTGAGCCCAGGAGTTTGAGGCTGCAGTGAGATATGATTAGTGCCACTGCATTCATGCCTGGGTAACAGAGCGATACACTGTCTCAAAAAAAAAAAAAAAAAGTTTGCCGGCACGGTGGCTTACACCTTTAATCCCAGCACTTTGGGAAGCCGAGGCGGACAGATCATGAGGTCAGGAGTTCAAGATCATCCTGGCCAACATGGTGAAATTCCATCTCTACTAAAAATACAAAAATTATCTGGGCATGGTAGCACACACCTGTAGTCCCAGCTACTCAGGAGGCTGAGGCAGGAGAATCACTTGAACCTGGGAGGCGGAGGTTGCAGTGAGCCAAGATTGCGCCATTGCACTCCAGCCTGGCAACAGAACAAGACTGCCTCTCAAAAAAAAAAAAGTTTAGCATCTTATGTGAAGACAATTCATGGCACCCCTAAAACAGTTACAATAGTAACATTAAAGATTGCTGATCACAGATCACCTTAACAGATGTAATAATAATGAGAAGGTTTGAAATGTGAGAATTACCAAAATGTGACACAGCAACACGAAGTGAGCACATACTATTGGCAAAATGGTGCTCACAGACTTACAGCATTGCCACAAACTGTCTTTTTTTTTTTTTTAACCACACAGTATCTATGAAGCACAATAAAATGAGGTACACCTGTATTCCTAAGATAAGATACATGGATTTCTAGCCCTGAGGTTATATCAGTTTACTTTGATGTGCTCAACCAGGCTTCTGTTGTTTTCTTCTTGAGTCTGTTCTGACTGCTTTCCTCTTGCTTTCTTGTTACACTGGTTCATCTGTCTAAACCAGTACCCTCCATCATATTTCATTCCTAAAAAATGAGTGCTTCATCATACAAAGCTAGAGTCATGCAATTTTAGAGATCATCTAGCCCCCACCATCTCATTTTCCATCTCAGATAGGAAAACTTCTATATGTTCAAAGTCATACAGTGAGTCAGAGCAGCATAAGGACTAGGTCTCCTGTCACTACATTCTCTGCCTCTACTATACACTCTGCCTCTTGCACACACAATACATTTCTTTTTTTTTTTTGAACTACTTAGTTCTCTTTTTATTTTGTTATTTTTTTTTTTTGCTTTTATTTTATTTATTTATTTAATACATTTCTTAGAAGTTTTAAACCTATCACAACCACAAGAATCCCAGTTCACATGAGTAAACTTCACATGAGTCCCTCCTTTTGAGGTTCCTGAGAAAAAGCAGAGGCAGCATTAGGAAGAGAAAAATGAAGTCAGAGCAGAAAGAACAGGAGTAGATGCTTGTGTCATGCAGTTTGAGAAGAGATCCAGAGAGGTAAAACAAAGTCAGGTTTGGTCTGAAACTACTCTTCCATTGTGTAAAGGGGTGAAAAATGTAAAAGTACTGATGGCGGCAATTCAGTATGCTTTACCAGGTTCCACTATTGCAGTGTTAGGAGCTGACATGAGTGGAGCTAGATCTCTGTGATCCTGCCTAGTCAATAAAATGGAAGCTCCGTGAGATTAGAAACCTGTCTGTCTCATTCTGTAATACATACCTGGCACCTAGAACATTGCCCAGAGCAAAGTAGCCTTTTAGTGTAAATGTTCATTATATAAGTGACCTTTTAAAGGGGCGTTGTAGATAGAGTCACCATAAAATTTATCATCCAAACCAGGACACTTTAAGGGCAAAGGAGAGTGCTATTAATAATTATACTAGGGCCAGGCACAGGCACAGTGGCTCATGCCTTTAATTCTAGCACTTGTGGACACCAAAATGGGAGGATCATTTCAGTCCAGAAATTTGAGACCAGCTTGGGCAACATAGTGAGATGCTGTCTCCACAAAAAAATTCTCATTTATTATTTATTTATGAGACAGGGTCTTGCTCTGTCATCCAGGCTGGAGTGCAGTGGCATGATCAAGACTCAACACAGCCTCTACCTCCTGGGTTCAGGCAATCCTCCTGCCTCAGCCTCCCAGTAGCTGAAGCTACAAGTGTAAACTACCACGCCCAAATAATAATAATTATTATTTTAGATGAAGTCTCACTCTGCTGCCCAGACCGGAGTGCAGTGTCATGATTTCGGCTCACTGCAACCTCTGCCTCTATTTTTTTATAGAGACCAAGGTCTCACTATGTTATCCAGGCTGGCCTCAAACTCCTAGGCTCAAGCAGTCCTCTTTTCTCAGCCTCTCAATGTGCTCGTGTTACAGGTGTGTACCACCACCCCCAGCCTCTACAAAAAAAAATTAAAATTAGGTACAGTGACTCATGCCTGTAATCCCAACACTTTGGGAGGCCAAGGTGAATGGATCACTTGAGCCCAGGAGTTTGAGCCCAGCTTGGGTAATATGGCAAAACCCCATCTCTACAAAAAAAAAAAAATTAGGAATGGTGGTATGTGCCTATAGTCCCAGCTATAGTCAGGAGTCTGATGTGGTAGGATCATTTGAGCCTGGGAATTCAAGGCTGCAGTAAGCTGTGATTGTGCCACTGCTCTTCAGCCTAGGCAACAGAGTGAGACCCTGTCTGAAAAACACAAAAATTAAAAATTAGCCAGGCATGGTGTCCCACGCCTATCATCCCAGATACTTAGGAGGCTGAGGTAGGTGGATCACTTGAGCCCAGGATATCAAGGTTGCAGTGAGCTGTGATCATGCCACTACACTCCAACCTGCGTGACAGAGTTAGGCTCTGTCTCAAAAAATTATAATAATTATTACTGTACCAAGACAACAGATGTAAAGTAGGACTGTTCCAGGCAAACTAGTATATATGTTCACCCCAGTTTTAGGGTAAATAAACGTTTCCCAGAGTTCTTTTCCATTTTGGCCATCTACATTACATTGCTCTGCACTTCTAGGACCATGGTGGAATGGAAGTAGAAGGGAGTCAGCAACTGCAGAGCCGTGTCAGAAGGGCACTGAACACCAACAGCAGGGTGAAACATACATGCAGGTACCTCATGAAACTGTAGGGAAGGAAGGTCCTGAAATATTTCAATAAGAGACAGATGCTACATGTAAGCTGGGATTCCAAATTAATGACACTCAGTTTTATAATTTAGGATGCCTAAAACGTCATAGACTTTTTTTCTAATGAGTCATTCTAACTGAAAAGTTATAGTGAAAGCAAATCATAGGGCTTTTAACTCTGTGAAATAGGGTTATTATGATCACCAGTTTTCCAGTAAGAAAAACAGCACTGAGAAATTTAGTGGGGTGACCCCTGGTCACACTGCCAAATAACTGTTGGAGTGGATTTGAACCCAGGCCACTTGATTCCAACTAACCTTTGCTCAGAAGCTAATAATCATTTCCTAACAATTTCCCGATAATCTCATTTAGAGTTAAAGTTAAATAAACTATCTCTACACACCCTTCTAGTTACCCTTTCTAGTAGCATTCACTGTAACATTCATGAGACAAGGTAAAGAAAAAGTGAAAAACCTGGACAATTAAACAAAATATTTCAAGATTATTGCTAGGTCCAAGTAAAGATTGTAATGGCAATTAGAAAATATTAAAGAGTTAATGAGAATGAAAATACTACTCAAGCTTATAGAATGAAGCCAAAGTCATGCATAACAAGAAAGACATTTCCCTTTAAAATAACCTGTGATAGAAGAATCAGAGTTGAAAATTAAAGAAAAAAAATTTTAAGATAGGGGAAAAAGGAAATTTCAATAAATAAAAAAGGAATCGGGGTCAGGTGTGGTGGCTCACACCTATATTCCCAGCACTTTGGGAAGCCGAGGCAGGCAGATCACTTGAGACCGGGAATTCAAGACCAGCCTGGCCAACATGGCAAAACCCTGTCTCTACTAAAATACAAAAATTAACTGGGTGCGGTGGCACACGCCTATAATCCTAGCTACTCAGGAGGCTGAGGCATGAGAATTGCTTGAACCTGGGAAGCGGAGGTTGCAGTGATCCACTGTACTCCATCCTAAATGGCAGGGTGTGACTCTGTCTCAAAATATATATATATATAAAATAATAATAGTTAGGGGCTAGGTGCAATGGCACATGCCTGTAATCTCACTGCTTTGAGAGTCCAAAGAGGGAGAATTGCTTGAGCCCAGGAGTTTGAGACCAGCCTGGGCAACACAGTGAGACCTTGTCTCTATAAAAAATTTTTTTTAATTAGCTGGGCATGGTGGTATGAGCCTGCTGCCCCACAGGCTGAGGTGAGAGGATTGCTTGAGCCCCAGAGTTCAAGGCTACATGAACTATGATCCTGCCACTGCACCCCAGCCTGGGTAGAGCAAGATCCCGTCTTTTTTTTCTTCTTTTTTTTTTTTTTTTTTGAGACAGGGTCTTGCTCTGTCACCTAGGCTGGAATACAGTGGCGCAGTCACAGCTCGCTACAGCCTTGGCTTCTGAATTCCAAGCAGTCCTCCCACCTCAGCACCTCAGCCTCCCAAGTAGCTAGGATCACAGGCATGCACTACCATGCCTGGCTAATTTTTTTATTTTTGTATAGACAGTGTCTTACTATGTTGCTCAGGCTGGTCTCAAACTCCTGGGCTCAAGCAATCCTTCCACTTTGGCCTCCCAGAGTTCTGGGATTACAGGCATGAGCCACTGTACCTGGGCTGAGACCCCATCTCTTTTTTTAAAAAGTAGGGGTGTAATCACAGATAAATTGAATTTTGACAAAGAATTAAGAAACCAGCATGCTACAACATAAATAAGATATGCAGAAATTATCTTGGTAAGTAACTGCACATAGACATTTCTGGAGCAAGAAGGTTATAAAATCCCTGTGATAGTTAGATACAGTAGTTAACGCTAGAGACACGCTATGCCTCCATGCATACACACAAATCTCTTCATCGATAGCTAGAAATTGTGGCCAAAATTGGTAGGTTTTTAGTTGCAGTTTAGCAAAATTGTTCACAAAATGAATCATACTGAAAACTAAACAATATTATTAAATAATATTTAGAAGGAAATAATGAAATAAATGTCCCCAAAAGTTCAATCATTTAAGTTCGATAGTTTGACTAGGCCCCAGCACTAGGTAGCAGCGTCCCCTGGTGGTGAATCTTGGTATTTCACATCTCCATTTTTTTTTTCCTCAGGGTTCTTATGCTCAGGAGTCTGGTCCTAGCCCCTGGCTAGCTAATCCTTCCATCCAGAGGACATTCTTCCCACATCCCCACGCGTATGTACCTGACAGAGTGGAAGTCTCCAAGCCACCTCTCAGATCTTTCTCCAAAAAAGAAAAACGCTATCAAGTCACTAACAAGCACCAAGCCCAGCCTGGATTCAGCAAATTTATCACATACTCTGGGCCTAACCCTATCTTGCTTAAATACATACCATTGACTTGAGTGAGCAGAATGGGATCTATGTTCCAAGTGGAACCAAGTACTCTCTGTTTCCCTGCAGGGACACCAAGGAAATTTCAGACCTCAGGAATATCCTAACACAGCTGCAGCCAGGGACTCTAGGGCGTTCAGCCCACATGGTGCTTTCTGCTGCCCGCAGGGTACCTCCAGCCAGTGTGGCAAGCCCAAAGAACAGCCATGCAGAACCAGGTCCCAGTCATCCAGGCAGGGCAGGTGAGTGCACATGACCTGTTCCTTCCTGTCCCTAGCAGTATCCTTCCTCCTTGAATCTACCATTGCTCTACAGGGATGGCTCACAAGTGGGACTTCATGTGGTAGGAAAGATAATTGTTGGTGTCTTGTTACCAGAAGAAATCAAATATTGAAATATTGAATAGTATTTGAAAGAGCACTGGCCTAGGAATCAGAAATCCTTCTCTCTTTTGGCTTCAGTTTCCCTCATCTTCAAAGTGAAGGAATCAAACCAACTAGTATTTAGGCCTCTTACAGTATTAATGTTCTGTGATCATCTCAGAAAGACAAGTAAGTCATGGTGGTGATGTATGGAGTTTATTGGAGAAATAAGGCAGGGGAATAGTTTTATCACTGTGAAAGAAAGGATTGAAAAACAATCTACTTCTTCTTCACATCAGATATATTACTGGGAGCTTTCACTAACTTAGTTAATGTTCACAACCAACTTATGAAGTAGACACGGTTATCCTCATTTTACAAAAGAATCTGACATTCAGAAATGTTAAATTTTCTGAATCACACAGCTAGTAAGTGGCAGAGACAGGATTTGAACCCCAAAGCTCTTGTTCTTTACTATTCTAGACAACAAGAAAGAGAAAAGCCAGTAGAGTTCTAGCTGAAAAGTTAAGAAAACAGAATGGGGCAGGTGCAGTGGCTCATGCCTGTAGTCCCAGCACTTTGGGAACCCAAGGCAGGGGGATCACGAGGTCAGGAGTTCAAGACCAAGACCAGCCTGGACAACATGGTGAAACCCCATCTCTACTAAAAATACAAAAAAAAAAAAAAAAAAACTAGCCAGGCAAGGCGGCACATGCCTATAGTCCCAACTACTCAGGAGGTTGAGGTAGGAGAATCACTTGAACCAGGTGGGGGCAGCGGGGGTGGGGCAAAGGTTGCAGTGAGCCGAGATTATGCCACTGCCCTCCAGCCTGGGCGACACAGCGAGACTCTGTCTCAACAAAAAGAAAAAGAAAACAGGATGGTTCATTGTTTCTTTGGGAAGACATTAGAAAAGGAAAAGGTTTATTTGTTACTTCAAAGGACTAAACAAAATTATTGAAATAAAGAGTATATTATTTCATTGCAAAAATAGGGGATATTTGTTATCTCTTATTGTATAACAAATTTGCCTGGAAATGTAGTGTCTTAAGACAACATTTATTATCTCACCATTGTGCTGGTTAGAAATCCAGGCATGGCTTAGCTGGGACCTCTGGCCCTAGATCTGTCACAAGGCTACAGACATCTCAAACCTCAACTAGGAAGGATTTGCTCCCTCCGTCACTCACATGGTTGTTGATGAGATTCAGTACCTCATGGGCTATTGGACTGACGCTTCCTTTAGTTCCTTTGCCACAAGCACCTCTTCTTAGAGCATCCCACAGTATGTCGACTTGCCTCATCAGAGTGAGCAAACAGGAGAGCAAGAGAGAGTATTAGTAAGACAGAAGTCACAGCCTTTTACAACCCAGTCACAGTAGTGCATCCCATCACATTTGCCAAATTCTATTCATTAGAAGCAAGTTACCAGCCGGGCGCGGTGGCTCAAGCCTGTAATCCCAGCACTTTGGGAGGCCAAGGCGGGTGGATCACGAGGTCAAGAGATCAAGACCATCCTGGTCAACATGGTGAAACCCCGTCTCTACTAAAAGTACAGAAAATTAGCTGGGCATGGTGGTGTGTGTCTATAATCCCAGCTACTGAGGAGGCTGAGGCAGGAGAATTGCCTGAACCCAGGAGGCAGAGGTTGCGGTGAGCCGAGATCGCACCATTGCACTCCAGCCTGGGTAACAAGAGCGAAACTCCATCTTAAAAAAAAAAAAAAAAAAAAGAAGCAAGTTACCAAGCCCAGCCCACACTCATGTGGAGGCATGAATACCAGGAAGGCTACAATCGATGGGAGTCATTTCAGAAGCTGTCTATCACATAGGGAAAGATGTAGTTTATTATTTTAAGAGAAAGCGACTAGAAGGGAACTCATCATTTTTGGGCATCTGCTATAGGCTGGGCCCTGGAGCTATGAAAGCACTTTAAAATATATTAAATAAGTAAATAAGACCAGGTGCAGTGGCTCACACCTGCAATCCTAGCACTTTGGGAGGTCAAGGCAGGCAGGTCATGAAGTCAGGAGTTCGAGACCAGCCTGGCCAACATGGTGAAACCCTGTTTCTACAAAAAATACAAAATTATCTGGGTGTGGTGGCAGGCACCGGTAATCCCAGCTACTCGGGAGGCTAAGGCAGGAGATCGCTTGAACCCAGGAGGCGGAGGTTGCAGTGAGGTGAGACCATGCCATTGCACTCCAGCCTAGGCAACAGAGCGAGACTCCGTCTCAAATAAATAAAATATATTAAATGCTGTACAAAGTGTTTCACAAATTCGGAATAACTAGATGAATGGTGGTTGATGGTTTTTATTATCACTTATTTCACAGATATTTATTAAACATCTGTTTGTGCCAGGCTTTGTGCTAGCAGCAGGGATACCACAGTAAATAAAATAGCAATGCTTCTTCCCTGGTGGAGAAACACATGTCCGTGTCATACAAATAAGTTTAAATCCTCAAACTGTGATGAGTAGTTTCAAGGAAAAGCATAATTAGATGGCTAGATTTAGACTAGAGAATCCAGGGAAAGTACCTCATAGGAATTAGCATTTCATCTAAGACTTGAAGAGTGAGAAATAATTATCCAGGCAAAGAGGGTAGAAAGAATATTCTTAGAAGAAGGAACATCATATGTGAAGACTTTTGTTAAAGAGCTAAATTTAATGAGCATTTCTAATACAGAGCCCAGAGCAGAGGAGCAAAACTCTGAGAGTGATGTGGGCAGGATGAAAAGACGGAAAGTGCAGCACCAAAGGTAAGTAGGTCAACATGAAAGGCCCAAATCACCTCCCCAAAGTTGATTGCCGTTTTGCAGCTGTCCTTCCCTCAGCTCTTGTGTCAGTAAGGTCAGAGAGTATCCTTGTGTCTGGGTTTGACCTCTGGGTCCAAACCTAAGGGCAATGAACAAAAGACATCCTTATCCACATGGTATCAGGTTTGGAACTAGACAAAGAGATAGTTCTGTAGTGAACCGGAATCTGAAGATGAATATGCTCTATTTCGTGGGCTTCATCAAAATCTAAATCTTTTCTGCTTCAAAGGATACTATCAAGAAAGTAAAAGACAACCCATAGAATATGGAAGAAAGTATTTGCATGTCATATATTCAGTAAGGCTCTTGTATCTAAAATATATAAAGAACCTTTACAAGTCAACAATAGAAAGATATCCTCATTTTTAGAATAGACAAAGAATCTGAATTTTCTCCAAAGAAGATAGATAAATGTCTATTAAGCATGTCGAAGATGCTCAACATCATTAGCCATGAGAGAAATGCCAATCAAAACCCCAAATGATTATTTCATACCTACTAGGATGGCCGTAATAAGAAAGATGGACATTATAAAGAACAGGGATCTGGGAATAAAAAAAAAAAAAATAAGAAAGATGGACAATAACAAGTGTTGACAAAGATACGGAGAAATTAGCACTCTCATACTTATCACCAGTGGGAATGTAAAATAGTGCAGCTGATTAGAAAAAGTTTGGCAGTTTCTCAAAATGTTTATATAGAGTTGCTGTATGACCTAGCAGTTCAGCTCCTAGGTGTACATCTCCAAAGAATCGATAACAGGTGGTCACACAAAGATTTCCGGGCAAATGTTCAGAGCAGCATTATTCACAATAACCAGAAAATGGAAACAACCCAAGTATCTTTCAGCTGATAAATAAGATAAGGTATAACTGTGGAATGTTACTCAGCCATAAAAAAAGGAGGATAGTACCAATAGCTGCTTCAACGTGGATGAACCTTGAAACCATACTAAGTGTCAGAAGTCAGTCACAAAAGACCACATATGGCATAATTTCATTTACATGGAATGTCCAGAACAGACAAATCCAAACTAATAAAGTAGATTAGTGGTTGCCAGTCTATAGTTTTGGGTTTCCTTTCCTTTTTTTTTTTGAGACAGAATCTTGCTCTGTCACCCAGGCGGGAGTGCAGTGGCGCAGTCTCAGCTCACTGCAGCCTTCACTTGCATATCATATATTCAGTAAGGCTCTTATATCTAAAATATAAAGAAATACATAATCCCAGCTACTTGGGTGGCTGAGGCAGGAAAACCAGGAAGGTTCAAGCCATTCTCCTGCCTCAGCCACCCAAGTAGCTGGGATTACAGGTGTGCACCACCACACTCAGCTAATTTTTGTGTTTTTAGTAGAGATGGGGTTTTGCCATGTTGGCCAGGGTGGTGGTGAACTCCTGATCTCTGGTGATCCGTCCACCTTGGACTCTCAAAATTCTGTGATTACAGGTGTGAGCCAGTGTGCCTAGCCTGGGTTCGGGCTTTCTTTTGGGGGTAATGAAAAATGTTCTGGAATTACATGGTTGTGGTTATACAACCCTGTCAATACACTAAAACAATTGATGTATGTGTATATATATATATATACTTTTTTTTTTTTTTTTTTTTTTGAGACACAGTCTCACTTTCTCACCCAGTCTGGAGTGCAGTGGCATGATCTTGGCTCACTGCAACCTCTGCCTCCCGGATTCAAAGAATTCTCCTGCCTCGGCCTCCCAAGCTGGGACTACAGGTGCATACCACCACACCCAGCTAATTTTTGTATTTTTAGTAGAGACAGGGTTTCGCCATGTTGGCCAGGCTGGTCTCGAACTCCTGACCTCAGGTGATCCACCTGCCTCGGCCTCCCAAAGTGCTGGGATTATAGGGGTGAGCCATCACGCCTGGCCTTGAATTTATATTTTTAAAGGGTGAGTTTTATGGTATGTGTATTATATTTCAATTAAATAATAATAAGCCAAGGGCTGTAACAGAATCTATGTTCTCAGGTATTCAAAGATTAAATGTGTTCCCTCAAGTCTGGTATATCAGGTGGGAAAACCAGGACCCCAACCCAGAGTTTCTAGGTCTACATTAACTTTTCTACATTATTTTTGCTCTGATTCCAGGCTCCTTCAGCCCTTATGGCCTCTTACTAATACCTCTTTTTAATTGTTCTTTCTCACAGGCCTTTATCCCACTCTAATTCTCGGCCAAACAGGAGGGAGACAGCAAAAGCAGGGCAAAGAAAACAACACCGACCACAGGCCCAAAGCAGTAGCAGCCAGGATAGCAGACAGTGCCCAATTTGTGCAGGTAAGATGCTTGGGAGTTGTTGTATGACAACTAGGCATTCCTTGAGGGGGGAATAGGAGATCTGGGGATACTGCCAAAAAACATTTGAATTTGGAGTGCTGGCTTCCATCATCTCTGCAGCTCCCAGGTATGGAACTGTAATTTTAGTCAAGTGTAATTCAAGACAAGTCTGTACTGAGCACCTGTTCACACTATGCCAGCTCATCTGAGGAAGGGACATGGGCCCTGCCCTCAGGAGAAGCATGAAACTAAACAACGTAAAACGCTATTGGACAGGGCCTAGAATTTCCTCCGTAACTTTTTCCTGCATTTCCAAATGCTGCTTACTCTTTCAGTCTTTGTTCAAATGACCCTTCTTTGCCACGTGTTCTCCTTATCTGCCCAGATGATCTTTCCCAACCGAGCTTCTGCAGGATTCTCTGATTCCCTTGGACTTAGCACTTCTCACCATCTGCTGTGAATCAATGTTATTTGTCTTCATAGCTTATCCAGACTTTGTAGGGTGGCAGCCTGCCTGGGAGCAGGCCCCAGTTTTGTTCATCTCCTTCTCTCCCCCATAGGCTCCTTCAGGATTGAGATTCTTCCGCAACACGCTGCCACTTGTGGAGAGACCTCCCCACCTCACTCAGCTTCTCCCTCATCCTCATCATCATCGTCCCAGCCTGTACTGTGGGTGTCCTCCCCAGAGAACTCACCCCCCACCTCCTGGGTTCAGTGCCCTATCTGCCAGTTGCATTTCTCAGCAAGAGAAGTAGAAGAGCATGCCAGCGTGTGTGGGGACTTCCTATGACTATGACTGAGATTGGGACTAAATCGCTTGACAGCTGAGAAGCGCTGATGAGGCCGAAGCTCCCTCTCTCTCCCCACCTCTCCTTCCCTCAGGACTCTGCCTGAGGACACCTCTGTGCCTAACCTGATCCCCATTCCCAGTTGTCAAGGCTTCTGTGACCATGGCACCTGATTCTCCTAAGGCCAGCTCTGTTCTTTTCCCCCTTGGAAGTCTCCTTGGAACTTTTGGGCCTTGGGACACCATGTAGAATGTCTTTCCTTCTGTGAGTGGTGCACATTCTCATGCCCATTTTCCTGAAAGGAAAACTGTAGGCCCAGTGAAGAGCAAATGCTGCCTGACAAATAAAATCCTGTGGTATGCTGGGAATGTGCACGTTAGTTTTGAGCATAAGGCTGACATCCAGCATCCCGTGAACCGAGTTCTCAGTCTCCTTTGTGGGCTCCTATCCTGGGTATAATCAGGTAATGGTGATGCTGTTGACACCAGGCAAGTTATTTATCTTCATCCAGAATTACCTGAGAGAAAAAGTGTTCCAATCCTCCCACTCACAGAGCTATGATAGGGACCAGGTGGGTTAATGACTAAAGAGTAGTTCTAGGCCTGGCTGTGGAACCTTGGGCAGATCCCATTCCTCATCTACACAAGGAGGTGATTGGACCAGAGGGTGTTGAAGTTTCCCTCAAGCTGTGATATTCCAAATTCTGCTCCTACCTTCTTTGAGCAAATATGTCTTCTCTCCCCTTTCCCAGAAGATTTCACTGTGTGGCACTAACACCAGTTCCCCAGGGTACAGAGCAGAGGGGGAGCAGCTGGTCCTGTAAAGGGAGGGCCCAGGGCGGGGTTCTGAATGGACAGGAAAGAGGGTGCTAGGCACAGTCAGGGAGAAGACTGAGCAGGAGTTCAGTCCTTTGGTCCCTGCCAGCACAGGTTCCAGCATAGGTGGGCACAGCCATGGACCCCATCACGGTAAGAAGCCTGCTCTCCTACCTTCTCACATCCTTGTCTCATTTCTACCCATGAATGAAACAAAAGATTGGCCCAGACGCGCTGCAGGGGCATCCTAGCTGCCAGGCAGGTGGCGGACATCACTATGTGGGTGGGAGAAGAGCCCCTGGAACCTTGAGCCTGGACCCAGAATAGAAGAGCGATGAGGATGGGGCTGGGGCTGGGGCTGGTAGAAGAGAGGGACAAGGCAGTACCAAGGGGGAGAAATGCCCCCCCAAAGCAGGGGAGGGCAAAGCAGGAGGATTGGTGAAGAAAGCATATTGGAATCCTGCTGGGGCCCTGGTCAGAGCTGAGGGGCTTGGCGAAAGCCCAGTACAAAGACCCTCCTGTGTGGACATGTCTGGGCCTGCCCTTGGGAGAGGCTCTGGGACTTTGAGAGGAAAGAGCAGCTGGGAGATGAAGTCAACAAGAGGGGAGCTGAGTCCAAACAGATCCCATGCGCCTGTATGTGTGGTTAGACTCCCAGGGCCGCCCACCCCTGCTTTAACCTACCCTTGCTCAAGGTACCCACAGGTAGCCCTGCTGTGGGGGGTTCCTGTGAGGGTGGAAGTTGAGCTGAGAAAGTGGCCTGTAGTCTGTCCCCAGTGGGGGGAGAATTAAAAGCCCCTGCTGCACACAATGTAGATTTTCCTAACCTGAGAAGCTACACAATAAAATGATGAATAAGACAATATTTGCCAGTATGTGTTTGGGACAAGGAAGAATATAGTGGTGGCTACATATAGAGGGTTAAGAGCTAGAACATGGGAGGGTGAAAAAGGCCCCAAAACAAAGGGAGTTGGAACTCAGGGTCCCAGCATCTCCACTCCTTCATCTGCCAACAGCCTAACTGGACTGAGATCGTGAACAGGAAGCTCAGGTTCCCACCTCTACTCCTGGGTGCCATCCAGGAGGGCCGACTGGGCCTTGTGCAGCAGCTTCTGGAGTCAGGGGTTGAGGCCACACGCAGTGGGCCAGGCGGGCCCCTGTGGAATGTGGAAGAGGCCGAGGACCGCTCCTGGAGGGAAGCACTCAACCTGGCCATCCGCCTGCGCCACGAGGCCATCACTGATATGCTGTTGGCCAGTGTCAAGTTTGACTTCCGCCAGATCCATGAGGCCCTGCTAGTGGCAGTGGACACAAACCAGCTGGAAGTGGTGCGTCACCTGCTGGCCCGGCTGGAACGGGAGAAGGGTCGTAAAGTAGACACCAGATCTTTCTCACTGGCTTTCTTTGACTCATCAATCGATGGCTCCCGCTTTGCACCTGGTGTCACTCCCCTCACCCTGGCCTGCCAGAAGGACTTGTATGAGATAGCGCAGCTGCTCATGGACCAGGGTCACACCATTGCCTGGCCCCACCCAGTCTCCTGTGCCTGCCTCGAGTGCAGCAACGCCCGCCGCTACGACCTGCTAAAGTTCTCGCTGTCCCGCATCAACACCTACCGTGGCATCGCCAGCAAAGCCCACCTCTCACTGGCCAGTGAGGACGCCATGCTGGCTGCCTTCCAGCTGAGCCACGAGCTCAGGCGCCTTGCACACAAGGAGCCTGAATTTAAGGTTGGTTTCTCATACTTCCCTCTTCCCTTGGTGCCCCATGTCTGTTCTTCCACCAGAGCATGGGTGGGCCTATCGTGGGTGTTCTGGGAAGCTGGAAGCCACAGAGAGAGGGATGGGGACTGTGGAACATCTAGTTTGATAGGGAGTCACAGAATCCCCCCTGAGGGGATTTCATTCTAATGGCAGAGAACAGCCACTTCAGAGGGGCCTAGTCTTATGGGAGAGGTATAACCCCCAACCCAGGGGAGCCCTGGGTCTGTCTGAGGGAAGAGAGAGAACAGAGACAACTAGAAAAGAAGTTGGACGGACTTGGAGATGACATTCAGTAGAATACATTACGTCTGAATATCTACTAGGTGCTCCCGCCCAGAGCACTGTTGCGGCTCTCAAGCTTATGATTACAGCAGGGAGAAGGCAGAGAGAGGGGGACAAGGCACTCCCAGTACACTCGTCTTCATTCAGTGCTGCAGCGAATGGTGCTAACAGGGCTTCCAAAGCCCAGAAAACAGAGGTCAGGAAAGCTACAGCTGTTGTGTTCAGAGAGGACTCCTTGAAAGAAGTAGCATTAAGCTGTGCTGCCAAAGTGGGTGGCTTCAAACACGTGAAGAGGAACAGGGAGGGTATTTCAGGTAGGGCTGCAGTCCACGCAAAGGCTCTCAGGTAATGAAGTATATGCACAGGAAGGTCTAAGAATGCACGAAGCAGAGCCTGGAGGCAGGGACTAGTGAGGGTCCTGGAATGCCGCCAGTCCAGTTTGTCTATCCCTCACGCCCTAAGGGTCCCTGAGTGTCAAGCTAGACTCATCCCCAACCCCAGGATGACCACTAGGTAGGGAAACTAACACAGATGTTAAAATAGTGGGTTAAGGAGGTTGTGACCGGGGTGGTGGAAGGATAGAATGAAAAGCCCCCACTGCACAGCTAGAAGGAAAGGGCAGTCCTTTCCAAAGGACTTTCCCTCCATTCTCACAGCAGCCTAAGAGAGAGGCATAGCAGGAAGTATCGTCCCCACTTACAGTAGGGAAGCTGAAGCCTGGGAAGGGGAAGTACCTTGCCCAATCTCGATAGTTCAAGATACCACCTGAGGACAGTGTTGGGACTAAGACCTCGCCTCCTGAAAGCCATCTCTGGATGCTCTCTAGGGTAAGGGACCCAAGTAAAATCCAGGAGAGGACAGATAAAGGGGAGCCAAGGGCTGCCTTAGGCCAGGCACAGTGGCTAACGCCTCTGACCCCAGCAGTTTAAGAGGCTGAAACAGGAGGATGAGGAGGCCAGGAGTTCAAAACCAGCCTGGGCAACATAGTAAGATCTCACCTCTATTTATTTTTTTGAAACGGAGTCTCACTCTGTAACTCAGGCTCGAGTGCAGTGGCACAATCTTGGCTTACTGCAACCTCCGCCTCCCTGGTTCAAGCGATTCTTCTGCCTCAGCTTCCTAAGTAGCTGGGAATACAGACACACACCACTGCACTTGCTAATTTTTGTATTTTTAGTAGAGACAGGGTTTCACCAGATTGGTCATACTGGTCTCAAACTCCTGACTTCATGATCCGCCCACCTCAACCTCCCAAAGTGCTGAGATTATAGGCGTGAGCCTCCACGTCTGGCCTTTTTTTTTTTTTTTTTTAAATGTTTTGGAGACAGTTTTACTCTTGTCACCCAGACTGGAGTACAGTGGTGCCATCTTGGCTCACCGCAATCTCCGCCTCCCGGGTTCAAACAATTCTCCTGCCTCAGCCTCCCAAGTAGCTGGGATTACAGGTCCACGCCACCATGCCCGGCTAATTTTTGTATTATTAGTAGAGACAAGGTTTCATCATGTTGGCCAGGCTGGTCTTGAACTCCTGACCTCAGGTGATCTGCCTGCCTCGGCCTCCCAAAGTGCTGGGATTACAGGCGTGAGCCACCAAACCCAGCTATTTTTTAAAAATAATAAATAAATAATAACTGCCTTGGGGCCAGACATGGTGGGTCATGCCAATGGTCCCAGCACTTTGGGAGGCCAAGGCAGGCGGATCATGAGGTCAGGAGTTCAAAACCAGCCTGGCCAACATGGTGAAATCCCACCTCTACTAAATATACAACAATTAGCCAGGCATGGTGGCACATGCCTGTAATCCCAGCTGCTCAGGAGGCTAAAGCAGGAGAATCACTTGAACCCAGGAGGCGGAGGTTGCAGTGAGCCAAGATTGCACCATTGCACTCCAGCCAGGGCAACAAAAGCCAAATTCTGTCTCAAAAAAAAAAAAAGAAAAAAAAAAACCCTGCCTTATTTATCTTATTTATTACTGCATCTCCTAAAATTGCCCACACAGGTTCTCATATAAGGTAAGTATTCCAATAAATTAATTAAATGAGTACATCAAGGGTGTAAGGAATAGGAGTAAAAGTGGGACAAGAAACAGAGATTAGAAAAGGAAGAACAAGAGACAGAAAATGACAGAGGGGTTTGGTTTGAAGTGACTTAGTGATGAGGTAGAGATAGCACTAGATAAGCAGTGACCCAGGAGATACCTCATCAGAGCAAGAAGGATGAGTGAGGTGGCAAAGAAGAAAAATCAATGCCCCAGTGACACCAGATGTAGGAAGTGATGGTGCAGAGGCAGGACACAGGTGGCCCAGGCCCACTATTTGTGGCTGTGTGGAGCAGGGAGGAGTGGGCTGATTTAATGGGGTTGAGTCCACAGGGTAGTAGGTACATACAGACCTGCTTCCCTACAGCCTGAGTACATTGCCCTGGAGTCACTGAGCCAGGACTATGGCTTTGAGCTGCTGGGCATGTGCCGGAACCAGATCGAGGTCACTGCAGTGCTCAATGACCTGGGTGAGGACAGCAAGACTGAGCCTGAGACTGAGGGCCCAAGCCTGGCCTTTGAGGAAGGCATCCCCAACCTGGCAAGGCTGCGACTGGCCATCAACTACAACCAGAAGCAGGTCAGCTGGGCCCTACCTATATCCCCTCCCTGTCCTTTTCTCTTGCCCTGCTACCTCTAGGTCTCCCTGACCCAGCCCTAAGCAACTCCTTTACCTGCCCTCAAGACCCTCTCAGTCCTTGGTCCTGAGCACCCTTCTCGCTAGGCCCTTGACCCTGTGGGTCCCCTCCCTTCTTACCTTCAGTCTAAGCCCCTAATCTCTCCCCAGGCCTTGGAAGACCCACTACCCCACCAAGACCTCACCTTCAGACCAGGACATCTGGTCTTAGCCAGCTTTGCTCTGACCTGCTGAATGACCTCAATCCAGTCTTTTTCTGTTGTTCCACTTCAGTACATCACTCTATAAAGCAAGATAGGGCTAGATTTCTCAGACCTTGAATAGCCCCAGAAGTCTCTATTATTCCCTGCCTCCTCAGACATCTTCCCCTCTAAGCTAAAGACAGGCTCCTTTTCTAGCCTCCCCAAGTCCCTTGCTCCTCACTCTCATCCACCTTCAGACATCCTAGCCCACCAGGAACTTAACCAAAAGTTAATAATGGCTCCCCTGGCCCTGGCCCCCAATACAGCAAACCCCAGTTTCCCTCTTCTGCCCTCCTCAAGACCATCCAGGCTGATGTCCCACATCTCTAAGAAGGCAGGGGACCCTGGGGGTTCTATATCTTGGGTCCCCATTTCTACCCACCACTCTCTAACTTGGACTCAAGAATGTGGGTCCAGAGAGTTCAGGAATATCTTTGATTTCAGTTTCCCCTCCACAGACCAAGGCCTAGAGAGGGATGGGTCTGTCCATGATCACATGACAAGTGAGTTGGCTGGTGTGGGGAGAAAAGGATCGTTCAATCTCTGCAGGGAAGGAAGGGCTGTGTTCCTAACTGGCTCCCCCATCCTCCTGCCTTCCTGGTGGTCTTCCCCTCTGCTAATGCCCCATCTCTGCTTAGTTTGTAGCACACCCCATCTGCCAACAAGTCCTGTCCTCCATCTGGTGTGGGAACCTGGCTGGCTGGCGTGAAAGTACCACCATCTGGAAGCTCTTCATTGCCTTCCTCATCTTCCTCACCATGCCCTTTCTCTGCCTTGGCTACTGGCTGGCACCAAAGTCCCGGGTACTAAGTTTAAGATTAATGATAACTGTTACTTATTGAGCACTTGTTTCATGAGGCCCTGGGCTGGACACTTGGTGAATATAACTTTGTGAATGTTTTCATTAAGTAGCTGGAAGTGTAGCCCTGAGGAAGGCAGACATTCTGCTTCAGTGGTGCAGGGGAGCAACATGAGGCACAGGAAAGGCAATGTTCTTTTTGTCAAAAGTACAGAGGAAATAGCGGAGTCAGGATTTAAAGCAAAGTCTCTCTACCTCCAAAATCTTAATCCTATTAACAGCCCTATCCTCTCCCAAAGAGAGTTCCACTCCAACTACAAATTATTTGGGAGCCCTTTATCCAACCAATAGATCCTTGAGACTCAACTATGAGCCAAGCATGATGCCTGGCACTGGGGCTATCATGAAGAAAAGCCCTGTTCCTGCTGAGCAGGTGAGGAATGGGGAGAGGGGTGTTCCAGGAAGCAGGAGCAGTACATGTGGAGGCCTGGGGCAGGAGGGGAACCCTAAGTGTTAGAGAACCTGAAAGGAATTAGATAAGAATGGTATAGATGTGCACAGGGGCCAGATCACACAGAGCCTTATAAGCCACGGAGGATGGAAGCCATTGTAGGATTACTGAGGTGTGCCCCCCATCAGTCTTGTGTTTCAGAAAGTGCCCTCTGCTAGGGGTGTGAAAGGTGGGCTGGGAGCATGGGGACAGGAGTTAGGGAGACTGAGTGTGTAAGAGGACAAGCACGTAGAGCTGCCTCATATTCCTGGCCTGGGTGACTGGTCATTTCATGAGGTGGGGACACAGGAGAAGGAGGAACAAGATGGGATAGAAGCCTTTGTTTTTAATGTGGTTGAGTTTGAAGAGCCTGTGGGGCCTCCAAGGGAAAGTTACTTCTGTGATCCTCAGTTCTTGAAAAAAAAAGGCCAGGCATGGTGGCTCATGCCTGTAATCCCAGCACTTTGGGAGGCCAAGGTAGGCTAATCACCAGATCAGGAGTTGGAGACCAGCCTGGTCAATATGGTAAAACCCAGTTCTCTACTAAAAATGTAAAAAATTAGCTAGGCATGGTGGCATGTACCTGTAATCCCAGCTACTTGGGAGGCTGTGGCGGGAGAATTGTTTGAACCCAGGAGGTGAATGTTGCAGTGAGCCGAGATCACGTCACTCTCTCTAGCCCAGGTGACAGTGCAAGACTCTGTCTCAAAAAAAAAAAGAAAAAAAATGGGAATAATAATGGCTACCTCATAAGGTTGGATAGGAGACAATAGATATGAGTCTAGGGCCTGATACGTAGCACATTCTCAAGATATGTCTCAATAATGCGTGACTGAATCTGAGCAAGGGGAGTCACATGTGGGCTGAGCAGTCTAGAAGGGCTCACAGGAGGGAGAGATACCCAGGACTGAGAGCCCTACTCTCCCTCCTTCCCCTGGAAGCTGGGCCGCCTTCTAAAGATCCCAGTACTGAAGTTCCTTCTGCACTCCGCCTCCTATCTGTGGTTCCTCATCTTCCTGCTGGGAGAGTCCCTGGTCATGGAGACACAGCTGAGCACCTTCCGTGGCCGCAGCCAGAGTGTCTGGGAAACCTCACTACACATGATTTGGGTCACAGGTATATGTGCAGGAACCTTTATTTGTGGCCGTCTCCCTTAGGGCCCCCCCGCCCCGCTTACTGTCCTTCGCAATAAGCACCCCACCAGGGGGATCCTGCTTTGTAGATGACCTCTGAACATATGGCCAGACCCTTCTGGGCTGCAGCACAGCACAGGGCCCTTTCCCTTCAGCCCTAGTCGGGGACCTAACCCTGTGGCAGACTCCCTGATCAAGGACTCCTTCTTTCCCTTCCCTGGCATCAACCACTACCCACCCTGGACATTCCTGTCCTCACACAAATAAGACCGTGGTTCATAGTGTGAGGTGGGAAACTACCTTGATGTCATGGCAGCCTGCAAGTACTGCGAGAGGCTCTCCTGGAGGTCATTGGAGCAGAAAGGCTTACAGACCAAATGAAAGGACTCAAATCATATAGCGAGTTAAATCTATAAGTGCTATAGTTATGATGGTGTTGTTATGAGGGCCAGAGGTGGGGTTTGAGTGTCTGGGGTTGGGGTGTGGTACAATGGACAGAAGGGTCTTGGAGCCAGGCATGGTGGCTCATGCCTGTAATCTCAGCAACTCAAGAGGCTAAAATGGGAGGATTGCTTGAGGCCAGAAGTTCAAGACCAGCCTGGACAACACAGAGAGACTCTATCCCTTAAAAATAACATCAGATTGGCCAGGTGTGGTGGCTCACGCCTGTAATCCTAGCACTTTGGGAGGCCAAGTCAGGTGGATTACCTGAGCTCAGGAGTTCAAGACCAGTCTGGGCAACATGATGAAACCCCGTCTCTAATAAAATACAAAAAATTAGCTGGGCATCGTGGCGTGCGTCTGTAATTCCAGCTACTCAGGAGGTTGAGGCAGGAGAACTGCTTGAATCTGGGAGGTGGAGATCGCAGTGAGCCAAGATCACGCCACTGCACTCCAGCCTGGGTGACAGAGTGAGACTCCATCTCCAAAAAATAAAATAACAAATAATAATAATAAAAGAATATACCTTGGCCCAAGACTTGATCTATGGGAAAAGCACAGTGACAAGTATGTTTCGCCACAGCTATAGCTTGCCAGTTATCCTGATGAGCAGCTGTAAATTTTATATGCATTATTTGGGCAGAGGAAATGTGGAAACAGAATGGCTGGTGCCAGTGTGTAGCTGATTTAAGATCTCCTGAATACTGAGGGCCTCACATGCTTCATGCATATTCAGTGTATCACGAATATTTAGAGTCTGTCCTTCTCTTTCTATGTATGTTTCACATACACATGCTCTACTATTTGTTCAACATGTCACCAAAGTAACTAACCTATACTTAACACATAAGTTTCATCCATTCCATTGGTTTTCTTTTCTTCTACACCAGAATTGAGTATTCTCAAACAATTTAGCAAATGCAGTTTACAAGAATCCCCAGAGCTTTGGCCAGCCTCGGGCCATCAGCTTAGCAGGGGCAGAATTGGTGGCACCGTCCTCGGCTGTCCTCCTCTCATTTAGCTCTGCCTTGGTTAGTAAACTCCAGAGCCACAGTTTACCGAGTCTACTGCTCCACCCTGTACCAGGTCAGTCAGTGAAGTCAGAAAGGAAATCAGGAAATCTGGCTCAGAAACTTTAGGGAAAGAAAATAAGAGCAGCCTGAGAGGGAAAGTTTCTCATCCTATTATTTACTAAACATTTATTGACCTGAGCTGAGTGGAGAGGAAACCAGTACAATTCCTACCCATGGGAGAAGAAAAGTCTTAGAAACATATGAAACAGACGGGTGCAGTGGTTCACACCTATAATTCCAGCACTTTGGGAGGCCGAGGCAGGCGGATCACAAGGTCAGGAGATGGAGACCATCCTGGCTAACACAGTGAAACCCTGCCTCTACTAAAAATACAAAAATTAGCCGGGAGTGGCAGTGCGTGCCTGTAGTCCCAGCTACTCAGGAGGCTGAGGCAGGAGAATTGCTTGAACCTGTGAGGCGGAGGCTGCAGTGAGCTGAGATTGTGCCACTGCACTCCAGCCTGGTTCTGGGCACCAAGGACAGAGATGAGTGGACATGGTCCCTGCCCTTGAGGGGCTCCAAGTTCAGGGGGAGGCAGGGTAGAGACAGGCCTGTGGAGAGATATCCTGCAGTGCCTGTAGCAATGGCATCACAGAGATATGAGCTGTGAGAACACAGAACCCCGAGAAATTCACTCCACCTGCTTAGGGAAGGCTACTTGGAGGAGATAACACGTGACCTAGGCCACAAAGGTGAGCTGGGCTTCCAGAGGGTATGGAAGGGCATTCTAGGCAGAGGGAACAGTGAGTGGAAAAGCACATGATTGTATCCAGGGAATGAGAAGGGTGTAATGTGGCAGGGCCACCTGGCTAATGGGAGCCAGCTCCCAAGACCCCCAGCCCCAGGTCTGGTTCTGGGCCTCACTGAAACACAGGCACCCTGAGCAGCCTGAAAATTTGGAGCCCCTTCAAGTCAATATTCTGTATTTTTAAATTAAAAAAAAAAAAAGTTAATAAAGATGGGGTTTCACCATGTTGCCCAGGCAGGTATCAAACTCCTGGGCTCAAGCTGTCTTCCTGCCTCGGCCTCCCAAAGTGCTGGGATTACAGGTGTGAGCCACTGCACCCAGCCTCAAATCAATATTCTTTGTTTGTCCAGTATTTGCTTGGTAGAGGGCATGGAGAAACAAATTTCAGTCATTCCCTCCTAATAAACAGCCTGCCCCCAGCAATACTCACTTTCTGAGTGTCTGCTGACTGAGCTCATTGGTGCAGGTCACACCAGCAATGTCTACATCAGTCTTTTTTGTGTTTACAGAAGATCAATTGTTCCTGAGTAGATTACATGTTTACAGGTCATTGACTTCACCCCAAAATGTTTTAGGTCCCCACTGCCATTCATAGGATCCCCCTGCCTCGTAATCTAGCTCTGACGTAGGAGGAAGCGTTCTGTTCTATCCTGTCCTGGCTCCCTGCTACCCCCTTCAGGCTTCCTGTGGTTTGAGTGTAAGGAAGTATGGATTGAGGGCCTGCGCAGTTACCTCCTGGACTGGTGGAACTTACTGGATATGGTCATCCTGTCCCTGTACCTGGCAGCCTTCGCACTGCGCCTCCTCCTGGCTGGACTTGCCCACATGCACTGCCAGGAGGACTCCCAGGGGGCTGCCTGCCACTATTTCACCATGGCTGGTGAGTATCCCCTAACTCAGCCCTGAATCCCCCAGTTCCTCTTCTTTCTTGGCTCTTGGCTCCCAGCCACAGCCCCCATTCCACCCCGCACAGAACGCAGCGAGTGGCGCACCGAGGATCCCCAGTTCTTGGCTGAGGTGCTGTTCGCTGTTACCAGCATGCTCAGCTTCACCCGCCTGGCCTACATTCTGCCAGCACACGAGTCACTGGGCACTCTGCAGATTTCCATTGGCAAGATGATCGATGACATGATCCGGTGCGTACCGGCCCTGCTCCAAGCTCGCTCCTCTCTGCAGACTCCCCTTGACCTCCTTCCAAAATTCCCCAGCTCTTGGGTAACACAGGAGTCCTTGACCTGCATTCCTCCAGAGGTATGGGCTCCAGAGACCTCTGACCCCCTGAAACCACAGGCAAAACTTGAGGATAAATGTGTATTTCTCTGCAGAGAGGGTCTACAACTCTCATCTAATTCTCAAAGAGGCCCATGATACCAGAAAAGATTACAAACCATGAATAGCAGAAAGAGCCCTCAGCTGGGCGTTCCAATCCCAGTTCTGTCCGTCTCCATGACCCCTCTGCAGGCCTCGGTTTTCCCATCATTAAGGAAAAAGCAAAGGCACTGGACTCAGGGGTCCCTTTGGATCCTTTCCACTCTGCAGCTGCTCTTTGAATCCCTGATCTTATCTGGTCTTCTTGGTGCTCATCACCTAATCATGGGCAGCCAAACCTGGCCTCTCACCTAATCAGGGGCCATAGTTAATGCCCACCTCCCTGGGAATCCCCAGCCTGAGGTAGGACTACAGTGAGTGTCATCAGTGGGAAAAACCTTCGCTACATTTAATATTAACAGCTTCAGCTCAGTTTAGCTTGGGGGAGAACTTCCAGCCCCACCCCAGGATTCTTCTGGCTTCCCTGCAGCAGGCTAACTCATTCTCACATGTGGCTCTGATTCTTCTGGCCATAACTCCTGTTCAGTGGGATTCTGACTCCCAGCTGTCCCTGTGCCATTCCTGTATAATCTCAGCATCTCATTCCCTCCCTGGGAGACTACTCCATCCTCAACTTTGACTGCTTGGACTCAGTACCCATTATTCTTAAAAGGAGAGCCTCCACTTGGCACTCACTTTATTAAAAAAAAAAAAAAAAATATATATATATATATATATATATATATATATATATATATATTTGAGACAAGGTCTCATACTGTCACCCAGGCTGAAGTGCAGTGGTGCCATCTCAGCTCACTGCAGCCTCGACCTCCTGGGCTCAAGCAATCCTCTCACCTCAGCCTCCTGGGTAGCTGGGACTACATGTATGCGCCACCATACCTGGTTAATTTTTTGTAGTTTTTGTAGAGACAGGGTTTGGTCTCCCAAAGTGCTGGGATTGTAGCACCTCAGCCTTTTGAGTGGCTGGGACCGCAGGCATGCACCACACAAAAATACAAATTTTTGCATTTTTTTGGTAGAGACAGAGTTTCACCATGTTGAATACTTGCTCAACAGCTATTCAATTTGGCCTCCCAAAGTGCTGGGATTACAGTCGTGAGCCACTGCACCCAGCCCAGCACTCACTTTAAATCCCTCTTGGCTGGGCACAGTAACTCACGCTTGTAATCCCAGCACTTTGGGAGGCTGAGGCAGGTGGATCATGAAGTCAGGAGTTCAAGACCAGCCTGACCAACATGGTGAAATCCTGTCTCTACTAAAAATACAAAAATTAGCTGGACGTGGTGGCATATGCCTATAATCTCAGCTGCTTGAGAGGCTGAGGCAGTAGAATTGCTTGAACCTGGGAGGTCGAGGTTGCAGTGAGCTGAGATCACATCACTGCACTCCAGCCTGGGTGACAGAGCAAGTCTCCATCTCAAACAAACAAGAAAAAATCCCTCTCATTTTCCACCCCCTAATTTATCTATTCTTAATAATAACTAAATTGGGCTGGGTGAGGTGGCTTATGCCTGTAACTCTAGCACTTCGAGAGGCCAAGGTTGGGGGATCACTTGAGGTCAGGAGTTGTAGACCAGCCTGGCCAACATGGTGAAACCCCCCATCTCTACTAAAAGTACAAAAATTAGCCAGTTGTGGTGGCACATGCCTGTAGTCCCAGGTACTTGAGAGGCTGAGGCAGGAGAATCGCTTGAAACTGAGATGAGGAGGTTGCAGTGAGCCAAGACGGTGCCACAGCACTCTAGCCTGGGTGACAAAATGAGACTCCATCTCAAAAATAAATAAATAACCAGGCCGGGCACAGTGGCTCACACCTGTAATTCTAGCACTTTGGGAGGCCAAGGCAGGTAGATTGCCTGAGTTCAGATGTTCAAGACCAGCATGGGCAACATGGTGAAACCCCATCTCTACTAAAATACAAAAAATTAGTGGGTGTGGCAGTGTGCACCTGTAATCCCAGCTACTCGGGAGGCTGAAACAGGTGAATCACTTGAACCTGGAAGACAGAGGTTGTGTGAGCTGAGATCATGCCACTGCACTCCAGCCTGGGCGACAGAGTGAGACTCCGTCTCACAAAATAAAAATAAATAACCAAATTGAATACTTGTTGAGCAGAGAGCCAGGACGCCTACATCCCTCTTCCTGGAGCCTGACTTCTCTCAAGGTGGGGACCTTCTCTGATCCTTTCACATCCCACTCCCTGCCAGGTTTATGTTCATTCTCATGATCATCCTGACTGCCTTCCTCTGTGGCCTCAACAATATCTATGTGCCCTACCAGGAGACAGAGCGGCTGGGCAAGTATGCAGGGGCAGAGGCAGAGGCAGGATGGGAGGTGGAGAGCCTGGGATCTTGCAGCTTGGAGCCCTAGTGATCTCTCCTTTGTCCCTCCCTCCCTCATTTATTCACTCAATGAATTCTCTTGTTTGCTCATTCCCTCTTTGATTCACTGTCACTCATTCATTTGTTCATTTATACATTCATTAATTTTCTCATTTTCTCCCCAAACTTCTTATTTTGAAAAATGTCAATTCTATGAAAAGTAGATGCCCCTATACCCTTCACCTGGCTTCACCAATTGTTAACCTTTTGCCACACTTGCTTGATCTATTGCTCCCCCTTTTTTTTTTTTCCTGAAACACTTAAAAGGAAGTTGTAACTATCATGACCCTTAATCCCTAAACAGCTCAGGATGTCTCCTAAGAACATAACCACAAAAGTATTATCACACTCAAAAAATGTAACACCCAAAATGCCTAGATTGGTCTCCAACTCTTGGGCTCAAGCAATCTGCCCACTTCAGCCTCCCAAAATGCTAGGATTACAGGTGTGAGCCACCGCACCCTGCCACAATTTAAAATTGTTGGTATAAGTAGGGTCCATTCCATCCTGGCCCCACCCCAGAACATAAGGCCATGAAGACAGGAACATGCTTGTCTTGTCCACTGATGTATCCTTAGCACCTGTGACACTACTGTGCACTCAGTAAATACTGGTGCAAAGAATAACATTTGGAGCTCAGAAACAGCAAGTATCTACACCAGCTGAGGTGGTCCAAAGGGCTGCATAGAAGTGGGCACTCTTGGCCAGGTCCTGGGGGTAGCAGGGAGTGTGTCTGGGTGAGCTCAGGCTCTTCTCCCACCCCTCATTTCCTGTTCCTTACTTGGCCCAATATGCAAGATTCAATGAGACGTTCCAGTTTCTGTTCTGGACCATGTTTGGCATGGAGGAGCACAGTGTGGTGGACATGCCTCAGTTTCTGGTGCCCGAATTTGTGGGACGGGCCCTATATGGCATCTTCACCATTGTCATGGTCATTGTGCTGCTCAACATGCTCATTGCTATGATCACCAACTCCTTCCAGAAGATCGAGGTGAGTAACCGGAGGCCAATTTAGGCCAGGGAGAAGAAGGGAGAAAGGAATGGAGAAGAATAGGGTGCAAGACATTGGTGTCATGCTCTGCCTCCACTGTTGTCTTGTTCGTGGCTTTAGACAAGTGTTCCTCTGTAAAATGAGGGTCTTAGTGATGCTGTTAGTATTTCCAGACACCAAGTCTAGTGCTCATTCCCCTTTAGGGTTGGGCAGAGGAGTGGTGTTGTAGAAAAGTAAATGGGAACATGAGAGGGAGATGATGGGTTAGGGTCTGCAGGCTGGAGAACAGGCTGGGCAGGAACTGGATGTCAGAAAGATGAAAGAGTGGTGGGGAGAGAGGAAGCGGGGGACAGGCAGGAGAAATGTGGGTGATAGGGAAGGCTGGAGATAAGACTGGGGAGAATAAAGAGCCTGGCACACCACACTGGAGAATCAAAATTGTGAGGACTGGAGAAAAGAGAGGCAGTTTGAGTGGGCAGGAGGGTCATGTGCCAAAGGGGTCCTTGCACCACCCCCTGCTGCCCGGCCCCCAGGATGATGCCGACGTGGAGTGGAAGTTCGCACGCTCCAAGCTCTATCTGTCCTACTTCCGGGAGGGCCTGACGCTGCCTGTGCCTTTCAACATCCTGCCCTCCCCGAAGGCTGTCTTTTACCTTCTCAGGTGCTGACCTCAGAGCTCCCACTCACACCCCCAAGTCCCCAGGCCCTGCCCCCATTTCCCTAGGTCCTGTCCTCTAACCGACCTCTTCCCACCACTGAAATCTCTCAGGAGAACTTGCCAGTTCATCTGCTGTTGCTGTTCCTGCTGCAACACCAAGAAGCCAGAAAATCCCCCCGTCCCTACCTTTGTGAGTACCTCCTCAGCCTGTTGCTGGTCTCCCTGGCATCAGGCCTTCAACTCTATGTCTATACCATCAATTTGTCTGCATACCCCGGGCTTATCTATCTCTCCAGGTATGTTCTCCAGAAAGACTGTCCCAATTCCTACTCTCGGACATGGCTTCCCTTTCCCTCTTCCTGGCTCTGGCCATTTCCTAAATTTCCAACTCTGTGTCATGAAACCTAAACAGAAGTCCTTGCCACCCTCCTTCCAAGCTAGAAATACCCCTAAGCTCCAGACAGACCTTTTTTGTCCTAAACTGCTCCAAGACTTAGTTGAACATTTTTCAAAAACACATGTTAAGAAGCCAAAGGTAAATGTCCCACAAACTGAGCAGTTAGACGGCTAAGTGGCCTGAAAGAGGAGGCCAGGAGGCCGGGCATCCAAGGAGCTCACTTGCCCTCGAGGTCTACTCTCCAGCCCAGTCTGGCCTGGCATGAGGGTGCCTTCCTAATTCAGGCACTGCAGGTCTGTAGGGGGTTCTCCCCTCCTTACCATCGGCCTCCCAGCCCTCACCCATCCGTTCCTGGTTCTCTGTCCATCAGCCCTTCCCCAGCTTCTGGCCCCTGTCCTTCTACCTTCCAGATCCACACTGTGAGATGGAGGCCAGGGCCTAGGCGGGTCAGGGACAGAAAAGTCTACACAGACTTTGCCCTGGGTCTTTTTTGCCCAGGGCTGGAGAGGCATGAACAGTGATCAGAAGAAGATTGAAGAGAATCTCTCTCGCCCTCCTGTCTTCCCATTCCAGGCCAATCCCGGGGCAGGGGCCATGCCTGGGGAGGGAGAGCGTGGATCCTACCACCTTCGCGTCATCAAGGCCCTGGTACAACGCTACATAGAGACTGCCCGGCGTGAGTTTGAGGAGACCCGGCGGAAAGGTGCGTCACCCTCCTCTAAGCTCTCCCCATTCCTGTTCCTTCCTCAGCTGGGATAAAGGCCCCATATCAGGGTCAGGTCCGCATTCAGCCTGCATAATATGTGGCCCCCTCCTGCCCTTGGAAGGGCAGCCTGCACAACGCAGCCCCTTGCACTCCATTACCCTCTGACCCATTCGGCATTGATTCCACTCATTTCATTTAAGTGCTCCTTCTTGCCTTCGTGTGTATTCAGTTATTCTCCCATCCAGTCCCTTACCCAGTCACTCATTCACCTCCTTCATTCACTCACTCATTTACTGACTCATCCCACCAACATTCATTGCTATGGCCTCCTTCGCTCCAGGCCCTGTCTTGGGACAGACGGGGCACTGTAGAGCAGGGGCACATGGGAAGCTTTCAGTCTAGTGAGGAAGAGAAACCGTCACACTGGGCATGAAGTGCAGCTAAGAGAGATGCGAATTGCTATGGGCGCCGAAGGAAGAAGGAGCTTGTCATTTTGAGAGGCAGAAGGAGAGAGCAGCAGAATGGATAAAGGAGGGGCGGGGATCTGAATGGGACCCTGAAGGCTGGATGTGAGCTGGCTGGCCGTGACTGGGGAGAGGGCAGGTGGGTGGACGCACGAGTCTCTACCCAGTAACAGCTTTCCCCATGGCTCATTACCCTTCTCTGGCCCCCAGACTTTCCTTCTTTCCAGCTCCTCCCTCCCACCCCTGCTAGGATTCACCTGCCCCGGCTTCACCCACCCACCTGAGTCTTAGCCCACAAGCCTGATCTTCACTTCTTCCAGTTCTCCCTCAGAAACCCCAGATAGGGCAACCCCTGGGATTCTATAAAGGGTAAAAGGGGTACAGGGCAGGCTCATGCTCTGAAAGGCCCCTTGGTACTCCACCTCCTCCAGACCTGGGCAACAGACTCACAGAGCTGACGAAGACCGTATCTCGACTACAAAGCGAGGTAGCCGGCGTGCGGCGGACTCTGGCAGAGGGAGGAACACCCCGGCCTCCCGATGGTGCCAGTGTCCTCAGTCGCTGTATCACCCAAATGCGCAACAGTTTCCAAAACCTGGGGCCCCCCATTCCTGAGACCCCAGAGCTGACAGGACCCAGGATTGTGGGGACCCAGGAATCATCAGGAACCAGGCGTCAGGACACTGGAGAGGTGAGGACTCTGGCTTCTGGAGAGTCTGGCCCCAGATCCCCAGCTCATGTGCTAGTGCACAGGCAGCAGGAAACAGAGGGGGCTGAGGACCTGCCCCACAGGGAGGATTCAGGGACGGAGGAGAGGATCTGATACAGCAGAAGTGTCCCTTCTGTTGCTGAGCGCAGTAGCCTAGGAGGGTGAGGGTGGGAGCCCCGTGGGAGGAACCTGTGCTGCTTTCCTTGCTTCAATAAAGTTTCTCTTCTGGATGTGCAAGGCCTCTGGGCTGTGTGAGAATCTCTGTCTCTTGATGTTTTGAGGTGCTCCTGCTTCTTTCCCCTGAAATGGACCCTTGTGGAAACAGGGCAGAAAAATGTGCTCTTGAGCTTAGGATCCTACTTTGAGCTTCCTCAGATCTTTCATGGAGAGAGTTCTGGACCATGAGGCGGGAGGCCGGGGAGGCGGGAGGCCAGGGAGGCAGGAGGCCGGGGTTCAATGGGAACCCTCTGACCAATTGCTTCCTTCCTTGGCTGTGCATTCCTCACCTGACAAGTGGGGCTGAGGAATCACCTGCCTGCTTTCCTGCTTTCGTGGTTGTCATGAGGACCCTCTAGCTGTTTAAGCTTCTGGATTTGCAAGTTAGAGTGTGTGACATGGGTCTGCACAGGAGACCATGTCTACAAGTGACCAAGAAGTGAGTTTTTTTAGTCCCTCAGTCAGTCCCTCAGCCTTGCAAGGCCAGAGTGAAGCAGTCTCATAGAAGAAGCCAATCATAAAATTCCATTGCTCCACACTGCAATACTGTTTAATCAAATGGCTGACTCATAAAACTCCATGTCTCCACACTACAACACCGCTTAATCAAGTGGCTGCCTCAGTACTTCCCTTGCTTATCCCAGGAAGTCCCCACCACATAGTAGAGTTTCCTCATCCCTGCCATGGCCTCCCCAGCCCCACATCCTGGTTGGGGAGAAGGCTGCTAGGACTGGGTCTGGAACCATGTTCTTGCTTCTCGAGGCTTCTGGAGGCGCCTCTTCTTCATATGAAGGTCACCCGTTCCCAGGGCTCCTAAGTGGCAGGTTTTGGACTTTCAGGGCCCAATCCCTGAGAGCTGGAACTCCCCAGGGGCCAAGGGCAGGGTCTTCCAGGGAGGCAGAAAGAAGGCACCCTCAGATTGTGACTCTGGCTGCACCCCTGCTGGAGGGAGAAGAGGAAGGGGTCAGCAGGGCGAGGGGGAGTCAAAGCAGCTGAGGGAGGATGGAAGAGCAACTCACCTGGTGCAGACACACAGCCCTGCCTCTTCTCCCCTGCAACAGACAGCAGGGTGAGGCCTCTGTGCTGACAGACTCACACCCAAACTACCTGGCCCACCAGGCCCTTGCAGGGCCATTTCCCCTCTCAATCTATCTTTCCCTTCACCTAAAGGTAAACTTGTGACTTCCCTTCTTCCTCCTTCCTCCAGGAAGTCTTTACAGATTGACTTTCCATCCCTCTTCCCACCCAAGACCCAGCCACTCCTCCATCTGTCCCTGCCTGAGCACTTGGGAATGGCACGTAAGTCCCCTGTCACCTCCATCAAGCCCAGGGCCTCCTGAGATCTGAAGCAGTCTTTCTGCTGCTTGCTAATCTCCTTAACCAGGTTCTTTTGGTCTATTAGACTGTAGCAGATGGACCCATCTGAGACTATTCAGAAATCTGGAAAACATAGGACCCAAAAAACTTGCGTCACAGAAGACAGTAACGCCAGCTGACTTCCACCCCTCAAGTCCCCTTTCACCAATTGGGTCTCCCAAAGGCCCCAAGGATTATTTTGAAGGGACGTCCTGGCTTATTTCACCCACCCTGCCAGTCCTGCTTCCCCCATGCATAGCTCACCACCCAGAAAGGCGCAGTTAAAGTGGCTACAGGTCTGATTATAGCTCCAGAGAGTCACCAGGCTCTGGGCTCCATCCTGGGAGAATCTGGTAACCAAGAAGACTTCATGGGGGGGAATCAACACCTCACGCTCCTTGGGAAAGACAGACAAGGCCTGGATAGGGGCCCCAAAGCAAGTTGTTAGAGAGAAGAGGGTGGCATTACCAAATCTGCGGGCCACTGACTTATCCAGGGAGCTGGAGGCAAACTGGCCTAAGCGGACAGAGTCCCCGAGCCTCTTGGGTTCAAAGCGAAGGCTGCCCACACCTCGGAACACCACCTCCCCAGACCCCCTGCTGCAGCCCCCATCGCCTCGAAGCAGCTGCAGGGCCCGGATCAGGTAGAAATGCAAGGCCTTGAAGGGAAAGTGCCTCATGTAGAGCTCCCGGGAGCCTCCGCCCAACCGCACGGCCTGATTTAACTCCCAGTACAAGGTGTTAGATGAGTTGGTGTAGACCATAATGGCTATTCCATGATGGGCTTTGAAGCCGGGAGGCAAGGTGAGCCCTCGTTGCCTGTGCTCCCAGGCCGCCTGGGCTGCCTCCCAGGATTCCCGCAGCAGGGCATGGTGGGCCATTTCCTCCTTCAGCAAGGGGACTGCCTTCTTCTCCATCTCCTCTGCACAACCCACATAGGCATCATCAAAGGTGTCTGGAGCCAGGCCCAGGGGCAGGATGGGAACAGCCTGGGCCTGTGTAGGAAGGAAGAGAGGTGCCATATAGAAAAAAGCATGAGTTCAGAGCACTGGACAGGGGTACTGGTGACAGACCCATCCAGAAACACAGAATCTCATTTCTATCCCCAAATATCGATGTATGCAATTTGGCAAGGGCCCAAAAAAGGCTTAAATAACAGGTGCTGAAGTCAGACAGACATTAACTAAAATCTTTTTTTTTTTTTTTTGAGAGAGAGAATCTTGCTCTGTCGCTGAGGCTGGAATGCAGTGGTGAGATCTCTGCTCACTCCAGCCTCAGCCTCCCAGACTAGACTTATTCTCCCACCTCAGCCTTCTGAGTAACTGGAATTAACTGTGCATACCACCATGCCTGGCTAATTTTTTTCTTTTTTTGAGATGAAGTCTCAGTCTGTTGCCCAGGCTGGAGTGCAATGGCACAATCTCAGCTCACTGCAACTTCCACTTCCTGGGTTCAAGTGATTCTCCTGTCTCAGCCTCCCAAGTAGGTGGGATTAATGGCGCGTGCTACCATACCAGCTACTTTTCTGTATATTTAGTAGAGACAGGGTTTCACCATGTTGGCCAGACTGGTCTTGAACTTCTGACCTCAAGTGATCTACCAACCTCAGCCTCCTAAAGAGCTGGGATTACAGACATGAGCCACTGTGTCGGCCTAATTTTTGTATTTTTAGTAGAAATGGTGTTTTGCCATTTTGGCCAGGCTGGTCTCAAACTCCTGACCTCAAGTGATCCTCCCACCTTAGTCTCCCAACGTGCTGGGATTACAGGTGTGAACCATTGCTCCTGGCCTGAAATCTTGACTTTACCACCTATTTGCTGTGAGGTCTCGGGCAAGTGTTATAACTTTTCTGAACTTGAGGATGCTTCCAGCCTCACAGTTATTATGAAGAAAGCATAAAGAGCTTCACTTCTGTACAACCTAAAAGGGGTCATCCTGTCATTAGAAAGGTTCCTGCAGCTGGTGGGAGGTGGGAGGTGGGACTAGATGACTGCCAAGCACTTTTCTGGCTGTAAGATCTGGCACGCAGGCATCTGCAAATATTACACACAGCCAGTGTCCTGACCTTCAGCCGCATTCTCCTCAGGCTCTCTTTCCCGCTCACCCTGAAGGAGGCCCTTGCAGGTGCTCAGCCACCACACCAAATCGCTGTCAGCTCTGAGACACCTGAGTCCTCCCCTGCTCTATACCCACATTTGGGGTAGGGAAGGCGGGGAGGCCAAGCCTTGGTTAGGAGAAGCTGCCAGGACTGAAGCACACAGGTAGCCCAAGGAGGCTTGCCCGGGCTGTGCCTGCGCTGGGAGATGAGAGGTGGAAAGGAGAATGTTGGAGGCATCCAGGGAGGGATGGAGGCGGGGGTTCTAGGAGACAGAATGGGACTGGAGCTCCCTGCAGAGACAGAGATTTCTGAGAGGCGGAGAGTTAAGAGTGGAATCCTAGGGAAGAGTCCCTGAGAGAGGGTTGTGAGGAGTCTGCCCCGCAATGTCCTCCATGGGGGCAGGAAATGGTTCCTGGAGTTACCTGCCAGAAGGCTTGGAGGCCGAGGCAGCCCAGGGCGATCAACAGACCAGCCAGCGCCATCCCTGGTGGAGACGTGAGGGCCAGGTCCCAGGTCCGAGTGAGGGCGGGACCACCGGCGCTGGAGTCCTGGCTTCGAGGGGCTCCAGGCGCGCGGGGTCCCGGGTCCAGGACTGAGGCCCCGGCGGGGCGTGGGTGGGGTCTCGGAGTTTATGGATCCCCCGCCCCGAGTCTTCGCTCTCAACTCGCGAAGCCACTTCCTCAGAGCCTCCGGTCCCGGGACCTTTATGAGACGGTAAAGGCGGGGCCGCAGTTTGTCTCCGCCCGAGAGGGGAGGGCCGGGGGCCGAGGACCCACCTGCGGGTTGCGGAGGCCGCGAGCCGGAGGGAGCCTCAAGGGTTCGGGCGGGCGCTGCGCAGTCCCGGAGTCCGGCTGAAAGCGAGGTTCCCGGGGCTAACTATAGACCCCGCGCAGTAACCCGACACCCCGTTCCCAGCGCCGCACGCGGGGGCGAGAGCGGGCGCGGCTGGGCTGGGGGCCTGAGGCCAACTCCCCTTCCCAAGGACTGCGGGGTCTTTCTGCGGGACCCTCTGGCTGTGAGCGAGCGGGAGGGAACTTGTGAGACTGGGCCTCTCCCTCAGGTGGGCCCTACCGGGTTGTCCCCAGGCCCCCAGACCACCAGGCCAGGAGGCCCCGCGGGGATCCCGCCAGCTAAGAGGTCACCCTTCGAGCACTCGTATTTGCATACAGTTTGCATATGGCCCACACCCTGGGCCACGTGCTCCAGCATCTGAGCAGCGCCCGCTCCCTCCTTGCTCTGCGCCCTCTCCCCCTTCGCCTTCAGGAGCATTCAGAACCCTTGGTCGCCGATACACCAGGTCCAGGTTCGCCCCTCCCCCAGACCTCTGAGACTCAGGTGACCCGTGTTTGTAAACACTGGCCTTTCCCCCATCTCCTCTGGGCTTATCTATAAATAACCTGGCTCTGAGAGTTGGATGCCGCCTCAGAGGTCATGGGAGAAGGGGCCAGCAGAGGAACTGGTTGCTCAGGGAAGAGCTACCTAGTAGCCTGAGCCAGGAAGAGCTGGGATGTCACCCCTCCTCCCGCCAGCGGCCGGAGGACTTGAGAGATGCTAGAGCTACCCAAAGGACTCCATCCTGGTCTGGCTCATTAGTTTCCCCCATCCCTGTCCCCTTGCCCCCTCAGATTGTCAGCCAAATAAAAAGTTTCTTCCACCTAGAATCCTGCTGTCTCCCAAAATCCTTTCTGTAGACCAAACAGAAAGACAAACTGTTGGTCCAGGCTTGAAAGAGGGTGGGAAGGGAGGTGCTCCTAAGTGCTTGTTAGAAAAACGGCTCCAGGACAAGTTCTTTTGCCCCCTTCTTAGAGTCTAGTCATCCCAAAGCCCTCCCAGATTTTAAAATCAGCAATCACCCTACTGTTTACCGACATGGTGAAAAACAGCATTTGCTTGCGTATGCTGCCTGCGTATCCTTCCTCTCTCTGGAGGAAGCTGAATGTTTGCAGTTGCTTGAAGAGAAGATACCACCTGGAGTCAGCTTGGCCTCCTGGGACAGCCCCTGAGACCAGATCTACGGGGATAGCTGCTTTGTCCCCACACCCTCTGGCTTTGAGGAATTGTTTCTCCCATGCCAGAACTCAAAATAAGGTCCCAAGAGATGGACTCAAGTCTAGTCATTGGGTAGGGATCCTAAGTGTTGGCAGAAAGTCCTTCAAGATCACCTGGCAAGTCAGGACTGGGCTGGGACCCAGAACCCAGCCTCCTTAGTCCCAATCTCTCCTGGCACCTTAGTTAAGTCTCAGTGTTCACATGAAAGGAACAAAATCCAAGGAGATGCTCTCTGAGTCCAGGGCTCTGAAGCTTCCTCCTCTCTTCCTCCTCCCTGGCTGACCAGAGTGCAGGATCACAGCCAGTGAGGAGGCAGTTGTCCCAGCCTGGATCCCCAGTGCTTCAGTCCATCTCCTCTCTGGGATTCCCTTTTTTTTCTTTTTTCTGTGGAAAGAACACTGGGCAGGTCAGACTGGGAAGAGGCTGGTGTTCATGAGACCTGAGGAGACATCCAGAAATAGATGGGGAGTGTAGCCTTTCTGAGCAGCTGTGTGGGGGAGGTGCAAGGGGTGGGGATTGACAACATAAAAAAAAACTTGTCCTCTCCTTTCCTGGTGGCCATGGAGGAGACCAGCAGCAGCTTCCCCACACAGGACAAGGCTTAGGTAAGGAGCACACCATTCTCCTCCTGGGTGCTGGGCAGGAAAGATGATTTTGAGGTGAAGTTTGGGAGATGAATGGTGGAATTTTAGGAGTCGTGAGAAAGTTTCCAGGAAACTTTGATGCAGAAGTTTGGGATACCTAGGAAGATTGGGAGCCATGGGAAGTTTGGGATTCCTGGGGAGAGATTTGAGGTCACATTCCCAGAAGAGGATGTTCAGCAAGGGCCTTGATGAGAAACTGACAAAAGAATTGCCCCGAGTGGGATGAGAAGGAGGACAGAAAGCCAGCTCCCTTGGGCTAGAAAAGCAATTGCTTAGAGTCCCCGGCTCCTTGGGCCCGTGCCCACCCCATCCCTCTGGCTCCTGCCACATCTCCCCTAACACTGGTCACCAAGGCCAGCCACCCACCTGCTCTGCAGTGGTCTACACTGCTAGCTGTGCTGAGAAAGCTCCTCAGACTCTCAACAAACATTTTGGGGGCATCCCCTGTGCCTGGCCTTGGCATATATGGTCCCTGCCCTCAAGGAACTCACAGGCCAGGAGAGGAGCCAGGCACACATAAGGGCAGCACAGTGTGATAAGGACAGTGACAGAGGACAGCACAGGGTGATATGGGAGCTCAGAGGAGTCAGGGGGCTTCCTAGAGGAGGTGACCCCCAGGCTAGGTCTTCAAGAGTAGGTAGCCAGGAGAAATGTCCCAAGGAGAGGGGCGATGTGTGCAGAGCGACAGGGAGGGGAACCACGGAGCCCCACCTGGGACTTTGTTCTGTACTACAGAAGCCAAGCAGGAGTGGTGGGTGCGGGGCTGCAGAGGGCATAGAGGGCCAGGATAAGGATGCTGGCCTCTGTCCTGAGGGTATGGAGGGATGTTTTGTTTATTTGCTTTTTTTCCCCAGATGTATTCTTTTTTTTTTGGAGACGGAGTTTTGCTCTTGTTGCCCAGGCTGGAGTGCAATGGTGCATTCTCAGCTCACCGCAACCTCCGCCTCCTGGGTTCAAACGATTCTCCTGTGTCAGCCTCCCAAGTAGCTGGGATTACAGGCATGTGCCACCATGCCCAGCTAATTTTTTGTATTTAGTAGAGACAGGGTTTCACCATGTTGGCCAGGATGGTCTCGATCTCTTGACTTTGTGATCCGCCTAACTCGGCCTCCCAAAGTGCTGGGATTACAGGCGTGAGCTACCTCTCCTGGCCCTTAGATGTATTCTTATCTCTTCCCTCATAATTTTCATCTCTGCATTTTTACTCTGTATTTTGAGATATTTATTCTAGTCAGTTTTGGCACAGAGGGCTTTTAAGCAGGTAATGAACATGACCAGAGTTGCCCTTTAAAAACATCGCTCTTCCTGGCGCAGGTTAGTGGGGCTAATTTTGGAGGTGGGAGGTCAGCAAGGAGCCAGACAAACCTGAGCCAGGACAGAGGGTGCGGCTATTGAGGGGAAGGAGAATCTAGGATAGACTCCATCTCACCCAGCATTAGATGGCAACTATGTGAATGTTTGATGACTGACTGACTGAATGGACACCAGGTGACCACCACGGGTGAGTGGGTGAATAATAGGGATGGTTTATTATGTGAGACTTGCCATGGCAAATTAACAGGAGCCACCCTGAGATAAACTAAGCCTAAAGAGGATTTTTTTTTTTATGAGATGGAGTTTCGCTCTTGTTACCCAGGCTGGAGTGCAATGGCACGATCTCGGCTCACTGCAACCTCCACCTCCTGGGTTCAGGCAATTCTCCTGCCTCAGCCTCCCAAGTAGCTGGGATTACAGGCATGCATCACCACACCCAGCTAATTTTTTAGTATTTTTAGAAGAGACAGGGTTTCACCATGTTGACAAGGATGGTCTCGATCTCTTGACCTCGTGATCCACCCACCTCGGCCTCCCAAAGTGCTGGGATTATAGGCGTGAGCCACCTCACCCGGCCCCTAAAGAGGATTTTATCACAAGGATACCAGAGTGTCTCATGAAACCCAAGGGCCAAATGCAAAGAGCCTTTAGAAAGCCAAGGAGGAGTGTGGTTCCACCTGACCTCTGGCTTCATCCATCAAGCAGCTCGCCCTCTGCCTTTCAGCCTTCTTGCTCTGGGGACCTCACCTCTTCCCTGATTTCAATCACCTGTGACTCAGATGGCTCCTTGATTATCCATTCTACTACCTCTTCGACATTTGCTCCAGGGAGTTCACATTTCTCATCATTTCCCCTCCAAACCCAATAATTCATTCAATACATTTTTAACTGGGACTACAATAATGAGCAAGATGGGCTTTTCAAGTCTATTCGGATATAACATCGTGCCTATAGTAACAAAAAGTTATTGTGCACTTAAACATGAGTGAAGAGGATAGATCTCACATTAAGTGTTCTTGCTACATGAAAATCAAAAACAAAACAAAACAAAATAAAAATAAAAACAAGGCCGGGCGCGGTGGCTCAAGCCTGTAATCCGAGCACTTTGGGAGGCCAAGGTGGGTGGATCACGAGGTCAAGAGATCGAGACCATCCTGATCAACATGGTGAAACCCCGTCTCTACTAAAAATACAAAAAATTAGCTGGGCATGGTGGCGCGTGCCTGTAGTCCCAGCTACTCAGGAGGCTGAGGCAGGAGAATTGCCTGAACCCAGGAGGTGGAGGTTGCAGTGAGCCGAGATCACGACATTGCACTCCAGCCTGGGTAACAAGAGCGAAACTCCGTCTCAAACACAAATAATAAATAAAAATAAAAACAAGAGGCCGGGTATGGTGGCTTACACCTGTAATCTCAGTAGTTTGGGAGGCTGAGGCAGGCCAATCACCTGAGGTCAGGAGTTTGAGACCAGCATGGCCAACATGGAGAAACCCTGTCTCTACTAAAAATACAAAATTAGCCAGGCGTAGTGGCACATGCCTGTAATCCCAGCTATTTGGGAGGCTGAAGCAGGAGAATCTCTTGAACCCGGGAGATGGAGATTGTAGTGAGCTGAGATCACACATTGCACTCCAGCCTGGGCAACAAGAGTGAAACTCCATCTCAAAAAACAAAAAAAAAAAACCAAGGCTAGGTGCAGTGGCTCACACCTGTAATCCCAGCACTTTGAAAGGCCTAGGCAGGTGGATCACCTGAGGTCAGGAGTTTGAGACCAGCCTGGTCAACATGGTGAAAACCCTTCACAACTAAATACGAATGCAAAATCAGGTCCTCTGATCCCATGTCCTCAGTCTGTCTTCATGCTGCTCCTCCACCCCAAGCCTCTGATTTATCTCATTTACTGTAGAGCAGATGCAGACAGAAACAGAGCTGTGGAGATGCAATGAGAGATACAGTTGGGCATAGTGGTGGGCACCTGTAGTACCAGCTACTCAGGAGGCTGAGGTAGGAGAATCCTTTGAAGCTGGGAAGCAGAGATTCACTGCTCTCCAGCCTGGGCGACAGAGTGAGACCTTGTCTCAAAATAATAAATAAATAAATAAATAATGAAAACAAAGGGATACACAGAAACTTGGAGGTGTCAAAGCTGTTTATAACCTTGATTGTGGTAATGGTAACATGAATGTAGCTTATTTCCAAACTCACCAAATTGTATGTATTAATTTTGTGCAGTTTTTTTGTATACTAATTATACTTCAATGAGGCTGAAACAAAAAAAGTTGCGCAAGGCTGTGTTGGAGCAGGACACTCTGCAGTCACGTAAGAATGGTGAAAGAAGATGTGCAATAAAAGAGCAGCTTCATTTTTTTTAAGTCTACTCTGCTTTTCCTCTGCATTTCCAGTTTAAAGTATGAAACCTCGGTGTCATCCTTGATTTTTCCCTCTCTCACATCCGTCTCTATAACCCATCAGACATCAAGTCTTGTAAATTCTACCTCCTAACTCTGTGTCTATCCTCACTGCCATTCTCTTAGTCAGGTCCTCTGATTCCATGTCCTCCATCTGCCTTCATGCTTCTCCCCAATCCCAGGCCTCTGGTCTGTCTTGATTCCTGTAGAGCAGATACAGACAGAAAGAGAGCTGTAGAGACACAATGAGAGAGACAGCTCACCTGGTGAGCTTTTGCTGCATAATCATTTTGCCATGTGCCACAAAATCTTAGTGGCAAACACACATTTACTTCCATGCTCGAAGTCTTCAGGTTGATGCTGATTGGCTCATCTAAACTGGACTTGCTCGGGCAGCTCTGCTCAGGCTGCCCGTCTGGCTCAGCAGGGCTCTTCCTTGCTCTGGGCTGGGCCTGGGTCTGTTCCTCACCTGTTCATTCTGGTGGTCCAGACTAAAGAAGACCAAAGAAAACGCTCTCGGTTTCCTTCCCCCAAAAGCAGACCCGGAGACAAGTCCATGGGTGCAGTGAGCTTCATTGTAAAGCGATCCCAAGAAATACAAGTGAGGGGGTGGCAAAGTCAGACAAAGAAGAGAAAAACAGCCAATAAAAAGCCTGTTACCATTGTGATCAACTAGTCCCACTGGCAGCCCTCTAAGGGACAGGAAGTCTGACTTCCAGATCTCATTGGTTGAAGGCTGTCCTTGGGAACATTAAATTCCCTACACTTTCGGCCTTCCCTGTGCTTGCAGAAAACAGGCTCCCAGGGTGATGGAGAATGCCTCAGACACAGAAAAATGTGAGCCCTAAAAGTGGGAGGCTGACAGCCTGCATGAGAACTACCCACTGCACCTGCATGTGGGCTTGAAGATGGGCTCCGGGTATATGGACTGAGGAATCCACAGTGTCAGGTACACTCTCTTTGCATCCATAGATCAACTCTCAGGAAGACTCTGATTGGCCTTCTTGGGTCCTGTGTCCATCCATGAACCAATCACCATGGCCAAGACCTTAGGGCATCAGTTCTGGGGCATGTGTTCCCCTCTTGGAGTGCATAGAGTGAGAAAAGCCCCACCTGAGCCCATGACTGGAGTCTACACAGGAAAGTGAGGAACTAGTACAGTAGCTCAAGCCTCCTTGGTGGACTTCAAGAGACCACAGACAAAAGCTCAAGTTTTTTTTTTTTTTTTTTTTTTTTCTGAGACTGAGTCTCGCTCTGTCGCCTAGGCTAGAGTGCAATGGCGCAATATCAGCTCACTGCAACCTCTGCCTCCCGGGTTCAAGTGATTCTCCCACCTCAGCCTCTGGAGTAGCTGGGATTACAGGTGAGCACTACCACACCTGGCTAATTTTTTTGTATTTGTAGTAGAGACAGGGTTTCACCATGTTGGCCAGGTTGGTCTTGAACTTCTGACCTCAAGTGATCCACCTGCTTCAGCCTCCCAAAGTGCTGGGATTACAGGTGTGAGCCACTACGCCCAGCCTCCAGTCATTTTTTTTGGCTGCCACATACCCTGCCCAATAGCCTTCCATCCTGGAATGGGTTAGATCTCTCATGCTTTACATCCCACTGTGATGCCATTTTCTTCCTCTTCCTTATTCTGTTCCTGCTCCTGCTTCTTTTTTTTGAGACAGAGTCTCAGTTTGTTGCCAGGTGCCAGGCTGGAGTGCAGTGGCACAATCTTGGCTCACTGCAACCTCCGCCTCCAGGGTTCAAGCAATTCCCCTTCCTCAGCCTCCCGAGTAGCTGGGACTACAGGCACATGCCACCATGCCCAGCTAATTTTTGTATTTTTAGTATAGACAAGGTTTCACCATGTTGGTCAGGATGGTCTCAATCTCTTGACCTCGTGATCCGCCTGCCTCGGCCTCCCAAAGTGCTGGGATTATAGGCTTGAGCCACTGCACCCGGCCCTGCTTCTACTTCTTTGAGATGGAGTCTTGCTCCATCACCCAGGCTAGAGTGGTGTAGCCCAATCTCAGCTCACTGTAACCTCTGCCTCCCAGGTTCAACTGATTTTCCTGTCTTTGCCTCCCAAGTAGCTGGGATTACAGGTGAGTGCCACTGCGCCCAGCTCATTTTTTGTATTTTTAGTAGAGCCAGCGTTTCAACATTTTAGCCAGGCTGGTCTCAAATTCCTGACCTCAGATGATCTACTGCCTCGGCTTCCAAAAGTGCTGGATTACAGACATGAGCCCCCATGCTCAGACAGTTTTTATTTTTTTAATGAGACAAGCTGATCTCAAACTCCTGGGCTCAAGTGATCATCCTGCCTCAGCCTCCCAAGTAGCTGAGATTATAGGCATACGCCACCATGCCCAGCTGATGCTGTTCTGTATATACTGTGTGCTTCCTCTGGTTAGCTCCTCATTTAAATAGCACTCCTGCTACCAATTTGTTTTAGTTTGGTTCCTTTTACTACTTGAAATTATACACTTCTCTTTTTTTTTTGAAATGGAGTCTCACTGTGTCACCAAGGCTGGAGTGCAGTGGCACAATTTCAGCTCACTGCAACCTCCGCCTCCCATGTTCAAGCAATTCTCTGCTTCAGCCTCCCAAATAGCTGGGATTACAGGTGCCTGTCACCACACCCAGCTAATTTTTCTATTTTCAGTAGTGGCAAAAGTCAGACAGAGAAGGGAAAAAGAGTGGCAAAGTCAGAGAAGAGAAAAGCAGCCAATAAAAAGCCTGTTACCACTGTGATCAACTAGTCCCACTGGGGACCCTCTAAGGAACAGGAAGTCTGATGTCCAGCCCTCATTTTAGTAGAGACAGTTTCACCTTGTTGGCCAGGCTGGTCTTGAACTCCTGACCTCATGATCCACCAGCCTCAGCCTCCCAAAGTACTGGGATTATAGGCATGAGCCACCGCACCCTGCTCAGGGAAGTGGGTTTTCATAGCTCACTGCAGCCTCAACCTCCTGGTCTCAAGCAATCCTCCTAACTTCAGCCTGCAGAGTTGTTGGGACTACAGGTATGTACCACCACACACATATTGCCCAGGCTGGTTTCAAACTCCTGGGCTCAATTAATCCTCCAGCCTCAGTCTCCGAAAGTGCTGGGATTATAGGCTGGAGCCACCATGCCTGGCTGTAGTTGTTCATAATTATATCCTTAGCGCCTGACATGCTACAGATGCTAAAATAATGATAATTGTTGAGTAAATGAGTAAGAAGCTTTTGAGGGGGAGAAGATAATGAGCTCCATTTTGGACATGTGGAATTTAGTAAAAACTATGGCTAACCCCATTGCCCAGAGACGCTCATACCTCAAATTTAAATTGTATATTAGCAATTACAGAATCGTAAGTTTGAAGATTCATAAATTATAGACATATAGGATCTCAGGGTCTCAGAGTCACTGAGTTAACCAAACTCAGGTTTCCCAGAGCCAGAGTGGAGGATAAAGCACTGACATTTAACCTAAATGAGACTGGGGGCAGAGGCATAACCACCCTGATATTTATGTAACGTTTGTGTGAAGGTGCATATAATCATTTTCTGAAGTGGGGGTTTCAGCTTTTTATTTATTTTTATTTTTTTGATACGGAGTTTCGCTCTTGTTGCCCAAGCTGGAGTGCAGTGGCACGATCTCGGCTCACTGCAACCTCTGCCTCCTGGGTTCAAGTGATTCTCCTGCCTCAGCCTCCCGAGTAGCTGGAATTCCAGGCATGCGCCACCATGCCCGGCTAATTTTTGTATTTTTAGTAGAGACAGGGTTTCACCATGTTGACCAGGATGGTCTTGATCTCTTGACCTTGTGATCCACCTGCCTCGGCCTCCCACAGTGCTGGGATTACAGGCGTAAGCCACCGCGCCTGGTTTCAGCTTTTATCAGATTCGAAAAGATAAAGAATCACTCACTATATTAACATTTGTGTTCAGAAAGAAAACAGAGTCTGGGAGCTATGGTTCATGCCTGTAATCCCAACACTTTGGGAGGCCAAGGAGGGTGGATCCCTTGAGCCCAGCAACTCAAGATCAGCCTGGGCAACATGGCTAAGCTCCATCTCTACAAAAAAATATAAAAATAAGCCAGACATCATGGTGTGTGCCTATAGTCTCCGCTACTCGGGAGGCTGAGGCTGGACGATGGATTGAGCTCAAGAGGTTAAGGCTGCAGTGAGCTATGACTGTGCCACTGCACTCCAGCCTGGGCAATAGAGCAAGACGCTGTCTCAAACAAACAAAAACTAGATACCATTGTTCCTGCCAGTTAAATGGAAATTAAAAAGAGATCAATCATATTCAGCACTGGCAAAGATGTGGAATAAAGGGCACTCTCATCCATTGTTGGTGGGGTGGCAGTTTCTATCAAAATAAAAAATATTCATATTCTTTAAATCTCATTTTACTTCTCAAAATCTTTTCTATGAAAACACGCACACAAGTAGACAAGAATTTATATACCTGAATATTCACTGTAGTATTGTGTATAATATTTTAAAATTAGGAAGAAAACCTAAGTGTTCATAAGTTATGAAATGGTTTATGGTTTACACCATGAGATATACTAAGCTGCCATAATATGAGCAAAGGAGATATTTATGTACTGATATGGAAGAAAGTTCATGATGTATTTTTTCTGAGAAAAAAAGGTAATAAAATGTGTATGTGTAAGCATGTTTCCTTTTAGTTCTTAAAAAAAATGACAATAAGGCAGGACACGGTGGCTCACTCCTGTAATCCCAACACTTTGGGAGACCAAGGGTGGCAGATCCCTTGAGGTCAGGAGTTCAAGACTAGCCTGGTCAGCATGGTGAAACCCTGTCTCTACTAAGAATACAAAAATTAGCTGGGCATGGTGGCAGGTGCCTATAGTCCCAGCTACTCAGGAGTCTGAGGCAGGAGAATCGCTTGAACTCAGGAGGCAGAGGTTGCAGTGAGCTGAGATCACGCCCAGACAACAAAGTGAGACTCAGTCTCAGAAAAAAAGAAAGAATGAAAGAAAAGAAAAAAACCTGCCTGTTCCATTCGAGACCCGATGCCTGGAGCCACTTGGTACACTCTACCTGTCCCCCAACAGGGAGGGTGCAGAAGGCTTATGGTTCCCACCACTTCCCTTGGGGAAGCCAGTACCCTCTGTCCTCTCCTGCTCTTATGAGTCCCTATTCCCCTAGCACCCAGGGTTTATATCTGTCCCTCCCTGGAAGCACCAAAGACTCATTCCACAAGAGAACTGCAGGGAAAGGGAGCAACCCCTGGACCTGGAGTCCTGCTAAGGCCATATCAGCTGAACACTCCTTGATCTGCCCCTGTCCCAACCTCACAACCCCTGTGAGGTGATACCCAGGCCTCTCACATGGCAGTCGAGTCCCTTCATGAGTGGCCCCAGTCTTCCCAATGTTCCCACCCTGCAAGCTCTGCCAGCCTAGATGACATGTCTTTCCCTCTTCACATACTCAGAGTTCCCACCTCCAATACCTTTGCTTTTCCCATTCCCACTGCACAGAAGTCCTTTCCCAGCTGAAATGCCAATCTTTTCTCTCCCAGTCTCCACTTGCTGACATCTTAGTCTCCTATTCATCCTGCAAGACCCTGTTCACGTCACCTCCCCCAGGAAGTCACCCATGTTCCTTCCAGCAAGGACAGTCATCTCTCTTCTGAACCTCAACATCTATCTTATGACTCTCAGTGCCAAGCACTAGGAATGGCATAGACCAAGTGTCAATTCATGTTTATTAAACTATACAAATTAACAGTGCAATTCTCCAGATGAGGAAACTGAGACCCAAAGAGAGACAGCAACTGGCCCAGTGTCACCAGCATGCAGATGCCTGCCATGATGTCTCTGCTTCTTGTGTCTGTGGGCCTCATGGAAGCACTTCAGGTATGGGCATCCCTCATGGTCCCCATCCCAGCAGGGAACTGAGCTATCGGCTTCTTCTGAACCCTGGATGGAGAAAGAGAGAGAGAGAGGAAAGAATGCCTGATACTTCCCTTGGGGATCACTCATCCTGAGGGGACAGCCCCAGATGCTAGTCTTAGGGAAATTATAGCCAGAGGTTCCCAATCCCCTTCCCCTCCACGTGTGTTTGGGGCCCTTGGTGCCTTTCTCAGTGGAGGGCAGAGCTGGATGGCAGGGGACTCATTCTCCCAGGGGCCTATCCTCTCGATCCCTGCTGCTCCTGCCCCCTCAGGCCCAGAGTCACTCCATCACACGTCGAGACCTCTTCTCTCAAGAGATGCCACTGGACATGGCCCTGACCTCCTTTGATGACCAGTACGCTGGCTGTGCCACCGCCATGACAGCTGCTCTCCTGGATCTCAACCACACGGAGTTCCAGGCCAACAAGGTATATGCAGAAGGCTGGGCACTGGCAAGCAGCCAATGGCAGGAGCGCCAGGCCTGGGGTCCAGAGTGGAGCCTCAGCCCTACCCGTTCACCCCCGCCACCTCCAGGCTTCCGCGATGAGCATGGGGTAGCCCTCCTGGCCTACACAGCCAACAGCCCCCTGCACAAGGAGTTCAATGCAGCAGTGCGTGAGGCGGGCCGCTCCCGGGCCCACTACCTCCAACACTTCTCCTTCAAGACACTCCATTTCCTGCTGACCGAGGCCCTGCAGCTGCTGGGAAGGAGGCAGCATCCACCCCGGTGCCACCAGGTGTTCCGAGGCGTGAATGGCCTGCGCTTCCGACCAGCAGGGCCTGGGGCCACTGTTAGGCTGGGGGGCTTTGCCTCCGCCTCCCTGAAGAATGTTGCAGCCCAGCAGTTTGGTGAGGACACCTTCTTTGGCATCTGGACCTGCCTTGGGGCCCCTATCAAGGGCTACTCCTTCTTCCCTGGAGAGGAAGAGGTGCTGATCCCCCCCTTTGAGACCTTCCAAGTGATCAATGCCAGCAGACCGGCCCAGGGGCCTGCCCGCATCTACCTCCGGGCCCTGGGCAGGCGCAGCACCTACAACTGCGAGTACATCAAAGGTAGGAGGATAAGCGCTGGTCAGCACCTGTGCGGAAGGTGGGCCTTCCGCATCCACCAGGGACTTTGGCAAACCCAAGCCCCTATCCTGTGTCCTGTGTATCCTGTGTCCCAGAGATACATAAATACAGCCAGTCATATCCACTAGCTCACAACCCCTTCCATCTAAGGGGAGACATAAGCTTCTAAGGGGTGCACTTCCTGCCCCTGGAGCAATCTAAGCCATAGCTGACCACTTGCCTGCTGGGAGGCTGAAGAGGGTATCCTGGCCAAGGCAGGGGTCTCTGGCCATTTGAGTGGGCGAGCCGACCTGGTCGGGCTTTTCTCCTGGTTGGAGGCTGGAAGGGAATTATTTTCCAGATTACTGACACCTAGACTGCTGTTGCCAGAATTGAGTAGGATCCCCAACCTCAGTTTCTAAGAAAAGTACATTTATGAGATGGAAGAGGGATTCTGTGCTGCAGGGTGTGCTGGGTGGGGTGGCGGGGGCAGGAAGACAGCAGTCGGGTGCTGTGCTCCTAAGGTCCAGTTCAGGTTGTGATCGGGAAGTGGTGGATACTCCTCCTGTCCATGCCCCCAGCACAGGCCAGAAGAGGAACCATGAGGATGGGCCCAGGTTCTTAATTTCTGAAGGGCTGTGGGCTTCACTTCCTATTTTGGACAGCATCAGGAGTGTGCATCAGTTGACAGAAGGTGATGAAGGCATGTGAAGAAAACAAACCAGGCTGCTGTGAGGCATGGAAGAAGGAGCGATGAGTGCGGCAGAGAGGCAGAGTTACAGGCCCAGGGAGCAGGAGTGCCCCAGAGTGGACCCTGGCTTTAATGGCCCACTCCCTTCTGGCCCTGCTGCTCAGGGGTTGAGGCAAACCTAGTCAAGGGAGATTCCACCATGAAAGAGCAGAATTAGGGGGAAATGCACCAACTTCTCCTAGAACAAGTCAAGGATGGACCACCAGGGTTTGGGAGTCCCTTTCCCTCCTGAGAGCTCCTGAGCCTTTCATTCTTTACTGTTTCTTTTCTATAGACAAGAAGTGCAAGTCTGCGCCTTGCCGTCTAGATAATTCAGGTAAGTCCTGTAGGCACCTATGGGACTCAGTTCAGGGATGAGTGGACTGCCCTGGGGTTGGTCCCATCACCTGGATCTTTTTATTTCACAATGGTGCAATCTTGGCTCACTGCAACCTCCACCTCCTGGGTTCAAGTGATTCTCCTGCCTCAGCCTCCCAAGCAGCTGGGACTACAGGCACATGCCACTACATCCGGCTAATTTTTTGTATTTTTAGTAGAGACAGAGTTTCACCATGTTGATCAGGCTGGTCTTGAACTCCTGACCTCAGGTGATCCACCCGTCTCAGCCTCCCAAAGTGCTGGGATTACAGGCATGAGTCATTGTGCCTGGCCCACCTGGATCTTTTTATCAGAAAACCACCTCATAAATCGGGAAAAAAAAAAAAAAAGTGCACTCTCTGAAGTGGCACCTTGGGGGTTGCCAGCCTCAGCCAGGGGATGTGTGTGTGGGAGAGCAGATGGTTGGGGGAGCAGAGACACCTGCTCTCCAGCCTGAGTCTGCCTATCCCTTACAGGAAAAAGCCAGTCATTAGGCCCCTGAGAGATTCAGGCTGCACTGAGCTGAGGGACGAAAGGGCTGCTTCTCACAAAGTCCTCCTTGGGTCCTTCTCTGCCTCCCAGTTCAGAACCCAATGTCTCTGTAACTGCCCTCAGGGTTCCCTCAAACCCACCTTGGAAGGTCACAAGGCCAAGCTTTGGGTGCTGGAAGCCTGGGCTGTGGTCCAGGCTCTGCTCTTTGTCTATTACCAGCCCATTCTTTCTCTGTGCCTCTGTTTCTCCATGTGTATAAATAGCAAATTGGACTCTTCTCTTCCCTTGGACACTTGGTGTCTCTACATGGGAATGGGCCGTTTCCAGTGAAGAAACAGTAGCTCCTCCCCAAGTCTTGGGTGTTCCCTCTGTCCTTCAGAACTCTGTGAGTGGGCAGAAAGGACCCCCCCACCCCCAGCTTCCTCTGATCCACTTCAGGAACATCATGCCATTCATCCTCACCACACCCCAATGGTACTGTCATCACCTCTGTTCTGCACATGACAGAACCAAGGCACAAGGTGCAAAGAGGAGACAGCAACCAACTTGTACCACCCAGCTACTAAGAACTGGAGGCTAGGGAGCCTAGCTCTAGAGCCAAACTCTGAACTACCACACTAGGATGGTCCCTGCACCTCCCCAGACATCATCTCTTTTTTTTTTTGAGTCTTGCTCTTGTGGTGCAGGCTGGAGTGCAGTGGTGCAATCTCAGCTTACTGCAACCTCCACTTCCCAGGTTCAAGTGATTCCTTCCTGAGACTCTCGAGTACCTGGGATTACAGGAGTGGGCCACCATGCCCGGCTAATTTTTGTCATAGAGATAGGGTTTCGACATGTTGGCCAGTCTGGTCTTGAATCCTGACCTCAGGTGATCCTCTCGCCTCTGCCTCCCAAAGTGCTAGAATTACAGGCATGAGCCACAGCACCTGGCCTTCATCTCATCTTTACTGCACAATAATCTATGGGGAGGCGGCAGAACAGAAAGCATTACGCTCCTTATATGGTCAAGTGAGACCCAGAGAGAGAAGTTATTTGCTCAAGATGACATTGAGTTAGTGGCCAAGCCAGGACCAGAAGCCAGGTTTCCAGCCTCCAACCCAGGCATCTCTGAGTTCTCATTACCTAATTCTAGGCACTGAACGTTTAAGATTTCTCCTCCAAGTCCACCCCACACCTCTCCTACCAGGTTTTGGGCAGAGGACCCAAGTTCAGCCACAGCAGATCCCACTGCGATCTTGAATCCATGTTTCATCCCACTCTGCAGCACCTTATTTATGCCAAGAGAAGGCAGAAAGTTAGACCCAATGACCTCCGGAAGAGAAAGTGGGACTTAAATTGGTCTCCTCATCTGTCTACCTTCCTAAATTATTTAAAAAAATTTTTTTTGAGACATAGTCTCACTCTGTCACCCAGGTTGGAGTGCAGTGGTGCTACCACAACTCACTGTAGCCTCAAACTCTTGGGCTCAAGTGATCCTCCCACCTTCAGCCTCCCGAGTAGCTTGGACTACAGATACATGTCACCACGCCAGGCTAATTTTTGTATTTTTTGTAGAGAAGGGATCTCCCTATGTTGCCCAGGTTGCCTAAAATTTTTCTAAGCCGGTCTAATTTAGCAGTGGGGGGACTGTACATCAACTTCAGTGACTCTAGTGTTAGTAAGTTCTGATAACCCACTACCATTGGACCACCCCTCCCTAAACTTGATCTTCTCCTTTGCCCACGGCAATTTTAAGTCAGTCTGTCCAGCTCACTCTGCCAATCTCTCCACCTTGTATCTGCGTGTCCCGACTTTGCTCCTGTGCTGCTAAATACCTCTCTCCCTCTCTCCATCAACCCCTCTGCCCGTTTTCTCTGCAGCCATGGGACAGAGCCCCTTCTCTGCAGTCTGGGCTCTGCTGCTACTGCTCTGGTTCCTCACGGTGAGGCCCTTTCCAGACGGTACAGGCTTCCTTTGATGCGTGAGACACAGGACAGCCTTGCCCACCACCTCTGCCCAGTCTGAGGATGTTGGCCATGTGTGCTTTCATTGTAACCAAGATTCCTGGTAACCCCATCTGCAAGGAAATCCAGGACCTTCTCTGGTAGCTGTCAGACCTGCTGGGGGAGAAATAGGAGACAATCTGGGGACTGAACTTACCCAGGGCTCTAGGAATGAGACTCTGAATAATGGGTTGGGGCCAGTAGGGGAGATTGGGGGGCACTTCAAGACAGGCAGCAACTCACTTGGAGGTAGAAAGGATTTTTGCTGATTTGGGGGTGACTGGAGAGGAAAGCACTTGGCCATGATACCTGCTGGTGTTATTCAGATGCCTCATATGTCCATGTGCAAAGCTCCCGTTCACTCCTCCAGAAAGCCTTCTCTGACCTCTCCCACTGGGCTGGGCTAGGGACCCTGCCTCTACGCTCCCATACAGAGCCCTGGATGCTTCTCTATACCACGTGTCATGTCTGTCTGCCATGTCAGACTGTAAGCTTCCTGAGGGAAGGGACTGGGTCTGAGGCACAGAGGTGGTATCAGGAAATGTGTGAATCTCAGAAAGGAAAAAAATGCCTATGAGTGGCTGGTCCCTGCACTGCCCCTGCCTTGGACACTGTAAAGCTCTCAATGTCTATGTGTGGGAATGGGGTGAACAGTGTCTAACTACAGCACACTGAGAGGAGGAAAGTCGGAAAAGAGAGCTCTCGTCCTCTACCAGCACCGCAGTCAAATCCCAGTCATTATTTTTCTCAACACATGTGTAATTTCTGCTCTAATCATGATTTCTGAGGCTCCTCGCATCATGGCTCATGGTAGCCTTGAACTCCTGGGCTCAAGTGATCCTACCACCTCAGCCTCCCAAGTAGCTGGAACTACAGATGCGTGCCACCATGCCTATTTTTTTTTTTTTTAGACAGTTTTTTCACTCTTGTTGCCCAAGCTAGAGTGCAATGGTGCAATCTCGGCTCACTGCAACCTCCACCTCCTGGGTTCAAGCAATTCTCCTGTCTCAGCCTTCCGAGTAGCTGGAATTACAGGCACCTGCCACCACACCTAGCTAATTTTGTATTTTTAGTACAGACATGTATTTTTCCATGTTGGTCAGGCTGGTCCCAAACTCAGATAATAGGTAATCCACTGCCTTGACCTCCCAAAGTACTGGCTTTTTTTTTTTTTGAGATGGATTTTCACTCTTGTTGCCCAGGCTGGAGTACAGTGTTGTGATCTTGATTCACTGCAACCTCCGCCTCTCAGGTTCAAGGTCTTCTCCTGCCTCAGCCTCCTGAGTAGCTGGAATTACAGGTGCCTACCACCACACCTGGCTTATTTTTTGTATTTTTAGTGGAAACAGGGTTTCACTATATTGGCCAGGCTGGTCTTGAACTCCTGACCTTGTGATCTGCCTGCCTTGGACCCCCAGAGCCACCGCGCCCAGCCATAATTTTTGTATTTTTTGTAGAGATGGTCTCCCTATCTTGCCCAGGTTGCCTAAATTTTTTTCTTTTTAAGCTAGTCCAATTTATCAGTGGGGGGTTATATACCAACTTTAGTGACAGTGGCATTAATAAGTTATGATAACCCACCACCATGGACACCACTAATACCAGACAGCTGGGGAAGCATTATTTCTGGATGTGTCAGTGAGGTTTTTCAACAGGAGATTGGCATGTGAGTTGGTTGACTGAGTGAGCAAGTTCCAGTCTCAATGTGGGAGGGCATGGAGAGGACAAAAAGGCAGGAGAAAGGCAAATTCATGCTCTTTCCTAGAGCTGGGACATCCTTCTCTTACCATTGGACATCAGAACTTCAGGTTCTCAGGCTTTGAATTCCAGGACTTGCACCAGCAGCCATGAGACAGACCTGAAGTACGGATAGACCTGGACCTCCAGCTTCCACCACCACAGATCTCAAGGGTAATGCAGAATATCAAGGAGGTGCTAGGTACACGCTTACTTTATTGAACTGGGAATTTGGAGCCAAATGTCCATAGGGCCTCCTGTCTGGAAACTAGACTGAGAATCCCCAATCCTTTTCCCTGCGCCCCTAGGCAGGGAAAGGTAAGAGCCAAGGCCCTGCAAAGCAGCCATCTAGGAAGGAAGACAGGAAATGTGGCAGTCTGTTTCTCAAAATAACCAGCATGCTCACCACGGACAGCTCTAATACCCAGCACCAACAATTCTGTGCCTCCAAGACTGTACTCCGTGACATTGCCTTTGTAGAGTTCCTTTTTTTGGAATTAGGTCTCTGGACTTCCTTTAGAGTGTGTAGACAATGAGTGCTCCCTCGTGGATTGTGAAGTCAAGTGTACCAGGGTCTTAGGAGTAGTGGGGAGAGACTGGCTGGCCTAAAGACCAGCAGCCACTTGCCTTGGCTGTCCCTTTCTGGAGGAGCTGTGGCTGCAGCAGATCCCTGTGACTTAGTCCTAGTCCTCACAGGGCCTGCACCAGCACCAGGAGGCTCATGACCAGGGCCATGGAGAAGAAGATGCCCAGGAAGAAGCGGTCCATCACACGGGCAAGGCGCTTCCAGTCCTCATGGCAGCGCTGGGCAGCTCGGTGGCTGTGGAAGGTATTGGCAATGGTGGCTACATGGCGCAGCAGGGCTTCCTGGTGGCACAGACACCGTGGCTCATGGCAAGGGCCCTCTGGGTGGCCAGCCCCTCCCTCAGGAGGCTCAGGGATAGGGGATGACTCAGGTGGCCTGGACTGCCCACAGGGCTGTCCTCTTTCCCGCACACACAGGCCCCGTGCCAGGTGTCCCAGCAGGAGGGCCCTAGCCCAGGCTGGCACTGGGCGGGCACTGGGACCACAATAATGCAGGTTCATGATAAGGATGGTGAGTGCTGTCGAGAATGTGACCATGGTCATAGTAGCCATGTAGTACTTCCCTGCAAGAGAGAGAGCCAATTAAGACTCAAAACAAAAGCCTGTGGATCCTGAGCCTCCTCTGCACAAATGGAAATAAGCCCAGCCATGAGCCTCTCCTGACCCTCCAAGCCCCATGGATGGAAGCAGGAAGGAGGTAGGGGCCTAGTTCTTCCCATCCTTCATTCCTACATGTGGGACATCAGAAGCTACTGCTCCCTAATTGCTCCCCTCACTGCTGCAGGCTGTACTCATACACAATCCAGAAGAGTCCTGCTCTCAAATAACGATGGGCATGAGCTGGGGCAAGATACACATCCTTTCTGTACAAATGGAGATAACCAGAGGACCTACTTGCTAGGTTTGTGGTGATGCTTACCTGAGTTAATAAAGGTCAAGTGCTTAGGGGAGTGCCTGGCACACAGCGAGCACTCAGTGGATTTTGCCTATTAGTAGGCTCTAATGTTCCACCACCAAGTAGGCCTTGTTCCACCATCAAGGCCCAGTTATGACAGGCGTTCTCCCCAGAAGGGGCTAATTAGTCCTTTCCTCTCAGTCTGAAAATCAGGACACGTTCCCAGGACAACCCTCTCTCACGCTCTGAAGTAAGGCCATTCTGCAGACCCAGGCCCAGTCGAGGCCCCACCCTGGGGGGACCCCCGTGCATCGTCACCCCCCAACCCGCCCTGCGCCCCAGCTGCTCACCAATGAGCGGCACACTCTCGGCCGGCGGCATGCTCTCGGCCAGCAGCAGCTGGAAGACGGTCAGCGCCAGCAGCACGGTGACGCCCAGAGACACCTTCTCGCCAGAGTCGGCGGGCAGGTGGAAGGCGAGCGGCGCGAGCAGCGAGATGAGCACGCAGGGCAGCAGCAGGTTGCACACATAGGCGGCGGCGCGGCGGCGCAGCAGCAGCGTGAAGGTGACGTCAGGGTAGGGCTCGGAGCAGCAGCCGTAGGTGAGCACGCGCCGTCGCGCCGGCATGCCTAGCACGCGCCACTCCACGTTCTCCACGAAGTCCGCCAGGCTGGCGGCGGCGCCGCGCGGCCGCACATCCAACTGGTGCCCGCCGTGGGTCCAGGAGCCGAACGTCAGGCCGCAGCGCTGGGCGTCGAACGGGAAGGCCGCCACGTCCACGCGGCACGAGCTGCGCGTGATGGCCGGCGCGTCCCAGCGCACGGCGCCGTCGTGGCGCAGAACCACGTTGGTGCTGGCGGAGCCTGGCGGCTGCGCATCCGCCCTGTGGACAGGCGGGGCGGGGCTCACCCAGGCTGTTCTGCCGGAGGAGCAGCCGGCCGGGAGACGGAAACCAAAACTTCTCCCCAGAATATTGAGGCTGCTTAAGTTCGAGACACTCACGACGCAGGGGAGCACCCGGCCCCAGCCTCTACTGGCCTGTTGGCAGGACATCAGTCCTTCCTTGCTGGAGACAGCACTTGCTTATCCAAAGGGCACCAGCAGGCACCAGAGGAATCTGGGAACAGATTTCGCCCTCTTCCCACGTTTGCCTGCCTTTTAAAGACTGGAACTGCCCTCGCCTTTGTCTTGCCACCATTTACAACTTATTGGCTCTTTCTTGAATCTCTATTTAAACAAGGCCCCTAAGCCTCTACCTTCAGAGAAAAATACTTTTGAACTAAGGCCTCTCCTGTGAGGGGTAGAGCAGGTTAATAAACTTCTGCTTTTCTTTCGTTAATTTTATTTTTGTTTTCTTTTTTTTTTTTTTATGAGATGGAGTTTTGCTCTTGTTACTCAGGATGGAGTGCAATGGCGCGATCTCGGCTCACCGCAACCTCCGCCTCCTGGGTTCAGGCAATTCTCCTGCCTCAGCCTCCTGAGTAGCTGGGATTACAGGCACGTGCCACAATACCCAGCTAATTTTTTTTTTGTATTTTTAGTAGAGACGGGGTTTCACCATGTTGATCAGGATAGTCTCGATCTCGACCTCGTGATCCACCCACCTTGGCCTGGGATTACAGGCGTAAGCCACCGTGCCCGGCTTATTTTTGTTTTCAGAACAAAGCCACATAGAGGGTGAAGCACACCTAGAGAGATCCACTGCCTTTCAAGGCCTAGAAGGGGTGGTGCCTGAAGGGCCCAGAAGGGACACAGACTAGCTAGAGGATGTATAAAAAGGCCTTTGCAGGCCGGGCACTAGTAGTACTAATCTACTCGGGAGGCTGAGGCAAGAGAATTGCTTGAAACTAGAAAGCGGAAGTTGCAGTGAGCTGGGATTGCCCCACTGCACTCCAGCCTGGCGATAGAGCAAGACTCTGAAAAAAAAAAAAGGCCTCTACAGAACCCAGAGAGGTACCTCTGGGCCATACAGTGACTTCCCTTGGGGACCATCTGCAAAACTTGTAGAGGGGTTCCCAGAGAAAATATGCAGAGCTATATTTTGGCTGAGAGACACAAAACTGGTCTAGGAGACAATAAAGCAGTGTTCCAGAGGGCTATGTCCTGGAGGAAAGAGACCCTTAGACAGGCTCTTGAGAGAGCCCTGAAAGACCTAGAGCTAAAAGTGTGCCCTAGAGAGGCCCTTGTGATTCAGACATCTGCCCTGGACCACACAGTAGGTTCCCAGGAGACGTTTAGCCTGGGCTGGTCTGGGATGGCCTAAAGTGGGGGTGCCATGGAGGGGCTGTGAGTGCCGGGTACCTTAGAAGGGTCCTGGGGGAAAGCTTCCAGGGCAGCATGGCAACTGGGTTAGGTGGTAGGGAGAGGGCATCAGTGTATACCCAGGGCTAAGGGCAAGTCTAGAGAGGGGTAGGAGAGGGGAGGGGCTCAGATAGGCAGTACTTGTTATAGAGTACGATGTCTGGCCTCCACACAAGACTGCTGGGGATGCGGATGGCATCCAGGCCACCATAGGCATTGGGGTCCCATCGAAGGTAGGCATCTGTCCACTCCTGCCGTATCCACAGGTACAGAGTCAGTACCTGGTTCCGTTCATCCTAGTGGGGGCAGGGAGTGGCAGAGATGTGGACATGTATATGTATATCTTGCCCTGTCTGTGCACACTCACCTGTAGGGCTCTGGTCAGCACCCACAAACCCAACTTGTCCATTCTGTCCAGTTCCCACCCAGGCCTGACCTTGCCATGTGACCTTAGTGGGCTCTTCTTTTTTCTGGGCCTCAGTTTCCTCAGCAGTTATATGGGGTAAGAATCCTTGCTTAGCAAGGATTCAGTAAGTTCAAGTGTGCAAAATGTTGGGTACAAGGTAGGCACCCAACAGTCAGTACCCTACAGTTAGTAACCGTTACCGTTGTTGTTAATATTAATATTTATAGAAAAGGGATTCCATGGAGAAGAATCCCAGTCTCTCACCCCTTCATTTCTTGACACTAAGACAGCTAAGATTCCACAGCTGTATCATCACCACAACGCACCATGTCGATGATCTGGGACAGTGTCACCTCCAGGGTCACATTCAGAGTCTGGTCTGTGTCTGCCACAGGTCTCAAGGCACTTGTGTAATTGGTGAAGAGGTCACGGAACAGCTTGAGAGCCAGCCGGCCCTCAGCTCCCAGGCACTCTGTGGGGATAGTAAGGAGGGTTGTCCATCCCAGGCCCTAGTCCCAAAGCCTCTGCTCCCACCCTCCACTGCCAGGGCTGGGGCCCTGTCCTTATGAATGCCCTCCTGATGTATGCCCTCTCTTGCTCTAGCTGTGGCTCTAGTTTCTCCCTGGCCTGTCTGCAGTGACACATGAGGTAAAGGTCGTGGAGTGAACTGGTCTATTTTCTGGCACTAGGCTGACAAATTTCTCCTCCACCCTTTCCTTTCCAAGGACCTGGAGTCTGCCTGCCTCTCCACAAATGCCAGAGCAACCCAAATAAGCCCCAAGAGTATAGACTTTCACCCAGGGATTATGAACCCCACTGCTCTGCCCCCTCAAGTCTCTCTCAAACTTGTTTCTGTTAGGGTTATAACAAGAAGGGCCCATAGCCCACCCCCTCCATTCTCCCCTGTTAAGCCAAGCTTATAACAGAAACAGCCTCAGGCCTTATAAACAGGGCACCTAGATTTTGGGATGTGGTCACACGTGGCTCTCAAACCCACGATGTTGACCCCAGTGAACAGGATGTCAGCCCTAAGAACCAGAATACAGTTTTTCTTAGAATAGCACCTGACCACCTGCAAACCCCTATATAACCCCCACAGTCTGTAAGCTAGGCAGCTGTCTTCACTTCCTGTGATGAGACAGCCTGGCAGGTTAAATAAACTTGCTAAACCTGACCCTGGGTCTGTCTCTCCTTTCTTTCGAATAATCTTACAGTTTCCACTTCTCCATCTCAAGCTGGTTTCTTCAAAACTTCTGATACGATGGACCATTCCCTCTTTCTGCAAACACACTTTACTAGGCTTTCCTGACACACATTGTCCTCAATCCCAGAACTAAAGATTGTTCCTGAGAATCCTGTCCTTGGCTCCCTTCTTTTTCTTCATCCCAGATTTTTCTCTTGAGCTCGACCCAAATAGAGTACAGTCTACTCCACAGACACCCTAAACTCTGAGGGAACAAAATACGAACTCAGTTCTTCCCTCTATGCTCTGAAACTTGCTTCTTTTTTGAGACAGAGTCTTGCTCTTTCGCCAGGCCCCAGGCTGGAGTGCAGTGGCCGATCTCAGCTCACTGCTCACTGCAACCTCCGCCCACCGGCTTCAAGCAATTCTCCTGCCTCAGCCTCCCAAGTATCTGGGACTACAGGCATGTGCCACCATATCTAGCTAATTTTTGTATTTTAGTAGAGACAGGGTTTCACCATGTTGGCCAGAATGGCCTGTCTCTTGACCTCATGATCCGCCCGCCTCGGCCTCACAAAGTGCTGGTATTACAGGCGTGAGCCGCTGCACCTGGCAGAAAAGTGCTTCTTATCCCATGTTCCCTATCTTAGCAAATAGCATGCTCTCAGCTGGAAATGTGGGAATTATCCCTCCCTTCTCCCAATCCCACCTCCTCCCTAGAGAATCCAGTCAATCTCCAGATCCTGTCAGATCCTTCTAATTCTCCACATTTCGCTAAACATTGTCTTGAGTCCATCCTCTCCCCTCCAGGCCAGGACCCTCCCCTTACTGCCATCCCCTCCCTGAGGCTCACCTTTCCCTACCCATTACATGCCCATAGACCATGCTTTCAAGCATGCACATCTGTCCAGGCCAGTATGCTGCTGAAACCTTTCAGTGCTTCCCATTGTCTGCAAGAGAAAGTCCTGGCCTGGCAGGCAGGCCCTTCAGCATCTGGCCCCTCTGATTTTCCCAGCCCCCTTCTCTGGAGTCTCCCTGCTCACTGCTCCCACCCCAGCCAGGCAAGTCTCCTCTTACCCTCTTCAGCACCCTTCTCCTCTACACTCCCCGAATAGAGAGCTTGCTCTCAGAACAGGTACTGAGGAGAAAGACAAGAGAGACCACATGGAAAGGGATCTGGGGAGGACAGGCATAGCAGCACTGCCAGGAGAGGCCAGGGGTGGGGTACTGAGCTTCATACCTGGAGGGAGTAGAAACAGCAACAGAAGGCCCAGGCTGAGGTGGTGGCTCCGGAGCCCCATGGCCTTGCCACAGTAGGAATTGGGGCAGGTCTCTGTGTATGAGGCCTCCTGGCCAGACCTAGGGCAAAATTAGGCCCAGCTGGCAAGGATGATGTAGACAGTACCTAGAAGTCAGAAGTAAGACTAAGATCTCTGGCAGGTCCAGCCACCCTCTAAGGTGCCCTGCAGCCCCTCCAGTCTTCTGATCATCCAACTGGTGCTTGCCCTGGACTTGAGAGCTTGGTCCTTCTTCTCTGCTGGGCTTTGTTTGCTTCTTCTGGCCTCTGCCTCTGCCCTTTCCTATGCTCCCCACCCGCTTTGCCTTTTTTCTGTCTCTGCTTCCTTGTCTTTTCCTCTGTAATTTTCTTGGTCTCTCTGCCTCCCTGACTCTGATTGTCCCCTGTCCACCTCTTTCCACTCTCTCTCCCTTTCTCCTATTTCTGTTTCACCCTTCCTTCCTTCTTCCATTCCCCACACCTGGACTCTGTATGAGCCTGCTGCTCTCTCAGCACAACAGGGACCAGGGACTTCCCTTGATCAGCCTAGAGGAGTCCAAGGCACAGGACAGCAGCTCCTCCCTCTCTGTCCTTTCATTAGCTTAATTACACACGTGCATTACATAGGTGTTGAGACACCTGTGCCCATGACAACAGTGCAATGAAAACCGACACCTTAGGCTTCTGGCGCTTGAATTATTCAAACACTGTAAAGCAGCACTCAGACTCAAACTCAGCTCAGGCCCACCCTCGGGGGTTGGAGAGTACAGGTATGTGTGAAGGGCATGTGGAAGACCAGAGCTTCAGAGTGTGAGGGGCCAGGGTCAGTGGATGGGTAACTGTCCTCCCATCTTAGCCACCATTGCCTGAATTCTGGAGATGCAGGTTCTCCTTAGACCTGCAGCTCTTCTTGAAGTGCAGGACTAGACACTCCAGGCTAGGCGCTTTTGGCCAAGCAAGCCCTTCCCTCCGGGTGGGAGTGGTGTTGAGCCTCAGGCCACTCCAGGTGACTCAACGGAGCAGAAGATGGAACCCACATCCTTTCCTCAGACTCCCTGCAGTCATTCCCATCTAAGCCTGTTTTTTCACCTTGCCCAAACACTGTGGGCAGTGTGGCAGGGCAAGCACAGGCTTTAGAGTCACTTTCAGCCTTGTCTTAGGAGCACTCTCACCTGCGTAAGATATTGAAACTCTGGGTTTCAGTTTTCTCAGTCTGGGTAATGGGATTAACAGTGCTCAACGTGAACATTGCAAGGATCAAGTGAGATAACCTGATAGTGCGAGGCAGTCTAGCAGAGTGCCTAAGGTACAGCAAGTCATCAACAGTCTTTACACTGTGGTCCCAGTGAGGTAGTCAGGCTATCCTCAGGAACACACACTTACAGCCACAGGTATTTATTGTACACAGAGTTCTGATTATTTTTGGTCAAGTTGCCCAGCTGCCTGATCAACAGCAGCAGCACATACTTCCCTGACCATCATGTCAATAGCCATGACTTCGGGCATTGTGGATATGCCAGTGATTCCCTGCTCTTTCTTGATTCAGTTCCCTCTCCTAGACACTATGCTTATCTCCAACAACCTTCCTAACATTCCCCTCTGGATGTCACACAAGCATTCACATCATTTCAAACTGAAGCCTCAGAAATCCAACATTCACTCATTCAAACTAGTAGAGGGGAACTGTCCTTAACTTACTGAAGAACAACTATCAAAAAACCCTATCGCTAGGGTATACTTAATGGTGAGAAACTAGAAGTTTTCTCCCTAAAATTAGAATAAAGATGTCCCCCTTTTGCCACTCCTATTCAACATCATATTGAAACCCTAATTAGTTCAATAAGACAAGAAAAGAAAATAAAAGGTTGGGGAGGAGGAAATAAAACTATCTTTGTTAACTTTTTTTTTTTTTTGAGATGGAGTGTTGCTCTGTCACCAGGCTGGAGTGTAGTGTCATGATCTCGGCTCACTGCAACCTCCACCTCCCAGGTTTAAGCCATTCTCCTGCTTCAGTCTCCCAAGTAGCTGGGATTATTTTTGTATTTTTAGGAGATGGGGTTTCAACACCAGCCAACTGTTTTCTTTTTCCTTCCTTCCCTCCCTTCCCCCTTCCTTCCTTCCTCTCTTTTCTTTCCCTTCCTTCATTCCTCTTTGCTTTCTTCTTCTTTCCTTCCTTCCTTTCGATAGAATTTTGCTCTTCACCCAGGCTGGAGTGCTGTGGCGCGATCTCAGCTCACTGCAACCACGCCCCCCTAAATTTTGTATTTTTAGTAGAGATGGGGTTTCTCCATGTTGGCCAGGCCTGTCTCGAACTCCTGACCTCAGGTGATCCACTCGCCTCGGCCTACCAAAGTGCTGGGATTACAAGTGTGAGCCACTGCGCCCAGCTCAACTGTTTTTTTTTATATACTAGCAATGAACAATTAGAATTCCACACTAAAAACACATTGCTGGCCAGGGGCAGTGGCTCATGCCTATAATCCCAGCATTTTGAGAGGCTGAGGTAGATGGATCACCTGAGGTCAGGAGCGAGACCACCCTGGCAAACATGGTGAACCCTGTTCACCTCTACTAAAAATACAAAAATCAGCCGGGCGTGGTGGCGTGCATCTGTAGTCCCAGCTACATGGGAGGCTGAGGCAGGAGAATTGCTTGAACTCGGGAGGTGGTGGTTGCAGTTAGCCGAGACCACGCTGAGAGGGGAGACCCTCTCAACTTCTTCAATTTCACCTCCTCCCTCCCCCTTTCCAGAAGGGAAGGAGAGTGAAGAAGGAAAAGAAATAAAATACCAACGAGCTGGGAAAATGACTCCCTCTTCAGTTCCCAGCATCTCTGCTATCTGTTAACCTTGAAAGAGCTGCAAATGAAAGTTATCTCTGCCGGCTGGAGCCAGGCACTGGGTCACGCCCCCACATCTCCACGGACCAGGCTCCCTCCTGGAAACACCTCTGCCGACAAACAGCTTGCTGCTTTTGTCTGGTCTCTGTAATCCCTCTTCCCTTCCCTTCCCCCTCGAGCTGCGTATGAATTAGCAAATCAATGAAGTCAAAAGATTGTAAGGTCGGAAGTCCAGCAAATGGACAATGACATATTTCCGTCCCAGTTTCTCCTTTAGCATAAGCCTATAAAAGAGGAGAGAAGCTTGCAGCTCGGGGAGCTCCGTGAATGAGGCTGCAGCCCCCTGCAGCTCCAGGCCGAATAAAAAGCCACTTCCTCAGTTTGTTGTTCCAGAGGTTTGTTCAACTGCTTCAACACCACTGCACTCCAGCTTGGGCAACAGAGTGAGACCCTGTCTCAAAAAAACAAAAATAAAAAACACACTGCCGTTTTAATTTGCACCAAAAAAATACTTAAGAATGAATACATATAACTTGATCAAGACAGCTGCAGGTGGGAAAAAAAAAGAATACATACAACAAAATGTGGAGAAGATCTATATAAAGAGAACTACACAATTCTGATGAAAGATAATGTTTAAAAACAGCTATGTGAGTAGAGAGAGATGTAACATTCATGGGTAGGAAAACTCAATATTGTAAGATGCCAGTTCTTTCCACCTTGATATATACATTCTATGCAATCTTAATCAAAATCACAGAAAGCTATTTTGTGGTTATCAACAAACTAACTCTAAAGTTTAGAAGGAAAAGGAAAAGACCCAGAATACTAACTTTGAAGAAAAATTGGAGAACTGACACTACACTACCCAACTTTAAAAATTACCATAAAGCTACAGTAATCAAGACAGCATGATATTGGCAAAAGAATTAAGACATGGATTAATGGAACAGAACAGAGAGTTTGGAAACAGATCAACACAAATATAGTCAACTGATCTTTGATGAAGGACCAAATGCAATTCAATAGAGAAAGGATGGTCTTTTCAACAAATGGTGGTGGAACAACTAGATATCCATAAGCAAAAAAACAATGAAACAAAACAAAAAACCCCCCCAAAAACAAAAAGGAAATTGAAACTATACATAGATTTTACATTTTCACAAAAATTGACAAAACTGAGCTAAAGATGAAACATCTCAAAAGAGCAGCTACTCTGCGGGCCTTTGCTCAGCTATTCTAACATTTAATTCTCCAGACCTGTTAACATCCATTTTGGAATTATTTCAGGGTTCTGCTGAGAAAATAAATTATCTGGATGTTATAGATTCCACAGATCTATCAAATCTTGAGGTAACTAGTTCCTGTTTTATGTTTTTGAGCATTTTTTAGAAATGAAAACATTTTTTACTATTTCAAAGGAATTTTGAAATGTAGAAGAGATTGTTCATCACCCTTAACTTGAACTGGAAGTTGATATTCTCTATTATGCTACATGGCTTCTATGATAAATCTCTGATTTAGAACCTTTTTTTCCTTGCTCTGTTGCCCAGGCTGGAGTGCGGTGGCACGATCATGGCTCACTGCAGCCTTCAACTCCTGGGCTCAAGTGATCCTTGTGCCTTAGCCTCTTGAGTAGCTGGGACTATGGGCACACACCATCATGCCCAACTATTCTTTTTAGAGACAGAGTCTCGTCATGTTGCCTGGGCTGGTCTTGAAGTCCTGGCTTCAAACCTCCTCCCACCTTGGTCTCCCAAAGTGCTGGGAAAAGAGGTGTAAGCCACTGCTGCTGGCCCACAGTTCTTAACATCGCTAAGAGCTAACCATTTCTATAGCATACTCACTTTTTGAAACATTCCTCTGGTAAGGAAACCAGGTCAGGAGTTCTTTGTTGGAAGAGTCCTATAATGCTCTGTGACTCACTTAGGTTTACATTATGAGTCAGTTGTGAAGGGGATTCCAGCTGAGTAACTCTTGTCCTGATGCATCTAAGTTAAATGGAAATTCCAGCCACAGAGCTGACCTACTCTACTTTCTCATCCCTGAATTCCTCAAAGTCTTAGATGTCTTTGGTCTCATCTTAACTGGAATTTGCTCACATCTCTAGCTTGACAAATGAAAATAAGATCTGGATTAGTACTTATGCTACTCAATTGATTCCTCTTGAAAACAGCCCTGTGAAGTAACATCAGGGATCACTATCCCCTTTACAAAAGGGAATCTAGATTTAGAAAGGTGAAATGTCACTCAAGGTTTAAAAACAAAAACCACTAGAGTAGAAGAGCCAGGAGGCTTTGAATAGTATATTCTATTGGGTAATTTGAGACCTGGGAATCTACATGCATCAATATATGTACAGGAATCAGTATTAATCAATAATCAACTCCCTTACCCCTAAATCTGCCCTTGTAAATCTAGCCATTGGAATCTGTATCTCAGTTTAGCACCAAATTGTTCTCTCTTCAACCCATGGCCTATTTCCATTTAAAGACAAATTCAAAAACAGGCTAAATCAAACAAAGCCACCATAAAGATCCTCAGGGCAAGAAGGCCCAAAAATACAAAGGGAAAGCCAATACCAGGAATGCTATAAACATTTTATTTATTTATTTTTTTAAGAAAGTAGCTTCAGAAAAAGAGGAAAATAATCTAGATCATTTATATATATATATATATATATATATATATTTTTTTTTTTTAATAAAAACCTTTATATAATCTTCATGCATAAAGACCCAGGTATGGCCACATTGCCTAAGAGCCCTAACACTGGCTATCTCATGACATTACCTGGGGCTCCCTATAGCTGTTAGCAGTGTAGCAAAGGCCTTCTGCCTGCCCCTAACACCCAACTCCATGCCTGCCTCAGTCATGGTTTGTTGTTGCTTCTGGGAGGGTAGACGGAGAATGGAAAATGCTCTGGAGCTAACATGGGATGAACAGGGAGGGTTACCCAACTTGCCATCTTTTTATCCAAACTCTTCAAACAAATCCAGACAGTCTCAGTGAGATGACTGAAAACCAGGGACCAAACCAAATTCTGGGAGCTTCCCAAAGACATGTCACCCGTGACCAAGGGCTCCTGCACATGGTAGTAGCAAACGTATGGTGTTCATGGAACATTAAAGGCAGAAACAAAACCAGCCTTGAAGATCAACCCCTCCATAGCAGGCATTCACTTCTGCCCTAAGTGTGTCAGAAAGATCCTGTTCTATTTCCTAACTCAGGCCAATCCTCCTTTGACTCCAAAATTCTGTGTTAACTAACCAATTACTTAAGAGAGGGAATCCCTCTTCCTTCTGTGGATAGTTCATCTGTTAAGAGTCCATTATCATCTGTCTCACCCACCCCAAGGAGTCCTAGTATAAAAGGGCCAGGGTAGGAATAGGGTAGCTGGCATGGAGGGTCACAAGATCCAGAATGGCTAGGGGTGAAAAAGGATTCCCTGGTTCTTTGGGGGATTCTGCCAAAAGAGCTTTATTGACCATTTTTTAAAAGGAAAAACACTGAACGGTCTTGAGCATGGTAAAAGGAGACTTGTCTCCTCTTCTGGGTTCCAGAAGCCCTTATGCTATGTTCAGCATTAAGAAAAGCCATGAATGAGTGGAAGATGCTGCTTGTGGCAACAGGGAGGGAGGGGAGATTCTCTAGCCAACCCAAAGAATGGTAAACAACAGTGCCAATCTAAACAAGGCAGGGAACCTCTGTGTGGTGAGTGTGAACAGGCATGTGAGTGTGATGGAAAGAGCCTGGGGCTCACAGGCTCCCAACAGCCAGTTCTCGCAGATAGGACTGGGTAAGGCTGCGCAGTTCATCCATGGCATAGTCCTCAGGCATGGGGAGCCGGCCAATGTGGGGAGCCAAGAGGCGCAAAGGAACTCGCTGAGGGTCTGGTGTCGAGTCAGAGGTTGTATCAGGAGCATGATGCAGACTCAGCACCACCCGTAGCAGGTTGGCCACACGTTTCGCCATGTCTAAAGAGAAAAAGTAGAGTAAGCACTGAGAATGGGTCTGGAAACGGGTGGCAGGCACTGAGGGTGGGGTGTACTAATCATAAAAACAGGAAGCAAGAAGGCAGAAAGAGTGGGGAGGCTAGAGGCTTACCCGACTGAGCAAGGCGATCCTTAGCATTGTAACACTGAATCTGCTCTATCCGACTGCACAGTGAAATCACTTTGATGTGTAACTGCTCCAGGTCATAACCTGAGCAATCCACCTACAAAGAAGCAAAGAAGCCAATTAATACAAGAGGAGTTCCTATCACTCCAATCCCACCTATAGACTCTATACAAAACCCTGAAACCAACAGTGAGATGAGGGAGGGGAAGACCCAAGATGACACAGGGCCGAGCCACCACCATCTAGCAGGGGACAAGGCATTAATTATGCAGCAATACACAAGAGGAAGGTAACACAGTATACATAGCTTTGGACTAGGAATGTCTTGAGGTCCTGAACCACGCAGCAAGCTTTAACACAGCACCAAAAATCAAGATAAATTGGGTTCAGAGAGATGGTATGACTTCTTTTTTTTTTTGTTCTTTTTTTCGAGACGGAGTTTCGCTCTTGTTACCCAGGCTGGAGTGCAATGGCGCGATCTCGGCTCACCACAACCTCCGCCTCCTGGGTTCAGGCAATTCCCCTGCCTCAGCCTCCCGAGTAGCTGGGATTACAGGCACGCGCCACCGTGCCCAGCTAATTTTTTGTATTTTTAGTAGAGACGGGGTTTCACCATGTTGACCAGGATGGTCTCGATCTCTCGACCTCGTGATCCACCCGCCTCGGCCTCCCAAAGTGCTGGGATTACAGGCTTGAGCCACCGCGCCCGGCCGGTATGACTTCTTAAGAGCACAGAGGAAGTAAAAAATGCAGCCCAAACCAGTATTTATGTTCTCTGACTCCAAGTTTATAGCCCTTTCTCAAACACCAAAAAGGCTGGGTGTGGGGGTGAGGATCAAGAGCAAAGTTATTTGCTCTCAGGAAACTAATAGAAAATAAACAATAAGGCCGGGCGCAGTGGTTCATGCCTGTAATCCCAAAGCAGTCTGGGAGGCTGGGGCAGGTGGATCACCTGAGGTCGGGAGTTCTAGACCAGCCTGACCAACATGGAGAAACCTGGTCTCTACTAAAAATACAAAATTAGCTGGGTGTGGTGGCGTATGCCTGTAATCTCAGCCACTTGGCAGGCTGATGCAGGAGAATCAGTTGAACCTCGGAGGTGGAGGTTGCAGTGAGCTAAGATCGCACCATTGCACTCCAGCCTGGGCAAGAAGAGTGAAACTCTGTCTCAAAAAAAAAAAAAAGAAGGCCGGGCGCGGTGGCTCAAGCCTGTAATCCCAGCACTTTGGGAGGCCGAGGCGGGTGGATCACGAGGTCAAGAGATTGAGACCATCCTGGTCAACATGGTGAAACGCCGTCTCTACTAAAAATACAAAAAATTAGCTGGTCATGGTGGCGCGTGCCTGTAATCCCAGCTACTCAGGAGGCTGAGGCAGGAGAACTCCCTGAACCCAGGAGGCAGAGGTTGCGGTGAGCTGAGATCACGCCATTGCACTCCAGCCTGGGTAACAAGAGCGAAACTCCGTCTCAAAAATAAAAGAAAATAAACAATAAAACATGAAACAGTAATAAATCCTGAAAAATCACAAGCCATGCAGATAATTTAAACAGGTGGATGTGGCAGAGAGAAACTGGATGGCTACTTGAGACTGAAGGATAAGAGACGCTTCTTTAAGGAGGTCATATTTAAGTTGAGACCTGCTAAAAGAGAACAGCTAAAACCCCAAAAGGTGGGAATTCAAAGGAGATTTACATGGTAACATGTGGGGTAAGGAAGAGAAGTAGAATAAGATAATACTAGAGAGGTTTTATGTAACAAGATATCTTTTTTTTATTTTTTGGAGAAGGGAGGTCTCACTATGCTGTACGGGCTGGTCTCAAGCAATCCTACCTCAGCCTCCCAAAGTGCTAGTATTACAGGCATGCACCACCACATCCAGCTATGCGCTGGCATACTGACAGTACTCTTTGTTTAATGCTACACTTATCATGCTACAGTAATTGTTGCTTTACTTGTATCTCCCCCACCAAATCTTCACGTTGGTAAGGGCAGAACACATACTGTTTACTTTTACATTCCCCAAACCCACTAGAGTGCCTGGCACAGTGGGTTCTCAGTAATAGGTTGTGTGAATGAATCATTCAATATTCAATGAGAAAGTGGTTTCTTCAAGTGATTATTCAGAAATGATGCTCTTAATTCATACTAAAAGTACAGCAAACATTGAATTATGCCCATTATGTGCCAGGCACTATACTAGGAGTTGAAACTTTGATGAGGATAATAATAAATAACAATTATCAAGCATTTAGTAGAGGCCAAGGTGGGTGGATCATTTGAGGTCAGGAGTTTGAGACCACTCTGGCCAACATGGTGAAACCCCGTCTCTACTAAAAATAAAAATTAGTTGGGTGTGGTGGCACACACCTGTAATCCCAGCTACTGGGGAGGCTGAGGCAGGAGAATTGTTTGAAGCTGGGAGATGGAAAATGGAAGATGCAGTCAGCTGAGATTATGCCACTGCACTCCAACCTGGGTGACAGAGCAAAACTCTGCCTTAAAAAAAAAAAAAAGGTATTTAGTACATGAAAGGCACTATGCTAAACACTTTGAGTATATTTTGTTTAACCTTTGTGAAAATCTATCAGATATGAGCTATAATCTGTACCACTGTCTACCCCACCCACTTTTTTCTTTCAGACGAGACAAAGGGGGTGGTTAACTTGCACAAGATTGCACAGCCAGTGAATTTGGAAGCCATGAATTGAAATTATGAGTCTAATTCTAGAACTTGAGCTGTTAATTCCTATACTTTACTGCCTCTAACCTTAAAAGATTTCTCCATAAGGGGCTTATGGCAACCTGGAAATGTGAACAAGTAACTACAACATGGTCTGACGGTAGAAAAATGCACTAAGTATCTTGGTAGTAAGAAAGTGCAATTAATTATCTCTGGGGGAAAAGGAGGGAGAAGTAGGGCTAACAGCAACCTAGATGTTAAAGGATGGGTTTAAGTGTGCTAGGTAAAGTGTGGAACATAATATGGTTTGTTAGAAACACCAGAAGTAATTTAGTGTGAGTACAGCAGGGCAGCAAGGCTGGAATGTGAAATGAGTGGTAGGAGTAAGGCTGGAAAGGTAAAGGCCTCAAAAAGGACTTAAATCCTATATTTATTAAAATGAGTTTGGTTTTTGTACCATAAGCAAGCGGTGGAGACCCATTTTATGACTACAAAGACTGACCTTAAGGCTGGGTGCAGTAGCTCATGCGTACACCCAGCACTTTGGGAGGCCAAGGCGGGCTGATGATTTGAGGCCAGGAGTTCAAGACCAGCTTGGCCAATGTGGTAAAACACTGTTTCTACTAAAAATACAAA